TTTTTTGCTCGCAAGGAATATTAGAATCTCAATGCGAGGAGAGAGAAAAAAGTATGCCTAATTAAATCAAAACCTCAAAAACAGCTGCAGGCTGAGCAATAGAATGAAAATTGCAAGGTTTCAAACCGGTTGTATACCAAAGGGTTTGTTTGGAAATTTCATACGTTTTATCACTCTCAGGAAAAGTGAGGCTAATTTTTGGAATAAATTGCAAAACAAAAATAAACTTGTAGGAAGAACCATTATTTTAAGAATTTTTAGTTCAAGTTTTACAGAAAATTGTCTAATTAATCAGAAATAGTGTTATCTCTATAAGTCTTTTATAATGGCAATTTCCAGAGCTTGATTATTTTTCTCAACCACTTCTTTACAATAACTCGCATTGATCTCTACCATTTTTAATTTTATAAGAAAAAATTTAAAAATTATACAAAAACCAATAATTGTTGTTTTGTGAAAATTTTGTAAATTAATAATTTCAATTAATTTTATTTGTGCTTCAAACCAACTTTTCAGAAAATTAGAAGGCTTGCAAAACTTGCAGGCGGGTGGCAAATCCTGTAAACATGCTTTGTGCGTGGGAACGCAAACACGTACATTATATGTACGTCAAATCGATTTCTCACAGCAAAGTGGTCCCTTATTTCCGCGAAAAATTTCACCACGAAATTCAATCTGCGTCTAATGTATCAAGGAGAGGCGAGTGCGTGTGCCAGATATTGCAAAACGCGCGGCCCATTGAGCGCAGTATTGGAGGTGGGCCTGTTGAATTTTGAATGCTCCTTGCGCACATCTCTCGCCGCCCGGAATAACAAGCAGCGCGGTCTGTTGTTGGCACTTTATCAATAACGCGCGCGGCGAGAGAGGCTGCATGGCCATCAGAACCACCCACCGTTGCGGTTTTCCGAATTAAAATTTATGCTAATCCTCGGCGCACGGTGGTCGTATCGAGATTCAATTAGACTGTTGATGCTGCATGTGGATTGGGGTGCGAATAAGTACTGCTCGCCGACACGCGCCAAATGCACAAGCGAATTAGTTAGTCTGCCAGCGACTCCGATTCGTGTATTAATTTATTCCGTTTGCGCGCTTTGCATTCTCCATAAATATGCAGTGCGTTTTTCACTTTCTGAAAGGAGGCCGTTTAAATCGAGAGCGAATTATTCAAGTCGGAGTCAGAAAAAGCTTAACAGAGAGCTTATAAGAGCATGAAAATTTAATATCAGACTGAAGACTGAATGGTTTAAAAAAATCCTTCATTGACTTGTGCAGACTAAAATTCTGTGGTTTGCGTTTAAATTGTACCAAATATTTTGAAATTATTTTACAGAAACTCAAACAATAAAAATCAATGCTGAAAAAAATATTAAAATAAATGTAGATTAGTATTTCATTTTAAATCGAAATAAAATATTTTTTCAGAAAAAAATCATTCTTATTATTTATTGTTCTTGATGCAAAAAAATTTGAAATAATAATTTATATACTGCAATAAAAAATTTTAAATATTTAATTTGTTTTTCTAGTACTGACAACTGTAGATTTTATATAAAAATGAATTCAAGCATTAGTAAAGTTTGATCTGATTGTGAGTAATTGTAGATAAACGTAGATAATTTTAACAATTTTTTTTTAAATTAAAATGAAATATTTTATTCATAAAAAATAAGTAAGTCGAGTGCAATTAAATTTTTTATTAATTCTTACATTTAATTTTCTAGAATTAACAACTTCAGATTTTATTTACAAATGAACTCAAGCATTACAAAAGTTTAATCTGAGTAATCGTATTAAGCAGTGAAAGTCAATTTCATTATCATTAAGCTGCAAATTTCAAGACGTGAGAGGCTCAATGTTGAATTATTTCCTCGTCTCTAATGAGAGCTTTATGAAAAGTAATAGCTCCTTTGCGAGGCAAATTCAAGTGTTTAATCGCGATTTAATTGCTTTTGCAGCAACAGACAAAAAGCTCCGCAAAGAACGGTGCTGCAGTGAGCGTGTGAATTATAAATAATATTGCAATTAGCGTTTGTGGATTTTGTTTTGCAACTCTGGCAGTGGCTCGATGTGCATATTTATTTATCGTACTGTTTATTGCCCTCGACTGCATGTTAGCTTTTCCAAACAGCAGACGTGCACACACATGAATTACTTTTGCTGCAAACACAAGCTTTTGACTCGAAAATGGGAGATTGATATGAAAGGAAACAAATTCCCATGACACGTCCAGGGAAAATTGGAGCCATTGTTGTCGGAGAGCAGAATACAATAGTCTGCCGCATAATGAGATTATGCGAGTTTTTATTTTTAATTTGATAAAGTTCATTAAAAATGTTCATTTAAAAAAAGTGTTTGATATTAATTATTCAGAGTGGGTATTCAAGAGGTTTTTTTTAACAAAGGGCGGTGTCAATCACAACGAAAGCAATCACATCGGCTGGGAAAGAGTGCACGAAATTTGAACGCCCTTGCATTATTTTCGATTCACTAAAAAGCGATCAATATTCGCTGCACAACAATGGGGAGCTTTACAAGTAGCAAGGCGAGCAGCAGCTCAAAAATCCTTTATTCCCCAAGAACAAAAGCCGTGCAAATATTTACAAATGGATCACGAAGGCACGCACGGCAGGTACGAATAAGAAGAGCGTAGATGGATGATGTCTTGTCGAAGCAAAAGGGGCGAGGGAGAAAATCCATAAAAATGTGAGTGTGCGTCTTTGACATTTGGGGGTGTGAATTCGTAAAGGTGCCTGGTGGGTGGGTGTATTTGTGCAGGTATATATTTTATTCGCCCTGGCTGAGACGAACGCACCGAAAGTCACGGGGGGTGCATTAATCACGCATGAAATTCCTGCGGGGTCGGACAAAGGAAGTCTCATGTTCTGTGGACGGAAGGACCCATACCTGCTCAATTCCCACAGGAGAGCTGCTTCGGCTCCACCTCCTCCTCCTGCGCTGGAATTTGTCGCTTTTCCCACGATTGATGAAATAAAGGGCGCACACAATTTCACCCCGTGCCAGTCCAGTCAATCAATTGGCACGCACTCGCACTGCACAGGCCCGCTATTGAAAGATTGCCCCTGATATCCTGACACAAAAATTAATTTGGCTGCACTCGCAGCGCCCTAGCTCTGTGTTTATGGCTGAGCGTGAGCGTTCAGTGCTTCGGCGGCCACCGACCACTTCTTCTCGCTCGGGCCCTGCGCGTTCCGCGTGAGTCGACAGTGGGGGAACCACGCCGACCAATCAGCGCCCGGCGCGCGCTGCGCAACTTTCAAACCAGCCAATCGATACGACCAGCAGCACAGTACAACGCGCCTTGCCGCTTCTCGGCTTCAGGCACGACGGCGAACAGCGTTGCCATCCCTACTAGTCAAACAAGTTTTACTTTTTATTAGAATATTATGTGTTTTTTTTTAACAATAACTGAGATATTTCCCTCAAGTATCGAAGTATTTATTTAGCGTGCAAACGTCGTGGCGCTCCTGGTTGTACGCGCTTTCTTGGCAGAAATTTAATTTATTTTTAGTTAAAATTTCATTTAATGTTTAATACTAAACCATACAACCTATATAAATTCTTCAGACGAGAGGGCATCGTCCGAGTCATTTGCAACTAAAAATATAACATAACAATAAAAAAATCCAGTAATTATTTAAAGAGTAAAGCGAATTAATTTTTTTGTTTTAACCGGTTTTAACTAAATAATAATGATCATAATAATAATAATAATAAATAGATACTTTTTTAGCATAAAAATTGCATTCAAAATTTTCAGTTATTGAAGTAAAAAAAAAAAAAATTAATTGTAAGATAATCATTATTAACATTGTTTTACTCTACGTATGAAATAACGTTTAAATTGATTTTTTTTATCGACAAGAGTAGAACATAATAATTATTTAAATATAATTCAATTAATGCTAAAAATTTTCTCCCCTAAATCGCCTGCCGTGACAACTAAAAACCTTTTATCATTAGCAATTCACATGCATAATATTAAAATCCGGCGCACCCCTGTTCGCATGTAAATTTTATGCTGGGTAACCTCTAACCACGGACAGACACAGGAAATGCATCTTAGGTTCTCCGGTTGTTGTGTTCTCCTCTTTTAACACACATCCAGCCGAGGCGTATTGAGTTACATCATTAAACCTTCATAACTCGGTGCGTGCTCTGATTTGTGTCTGCCGTGGGTATTAAATTATTAAATAACGAATCCACCATAGAACATCCTACACGATGCTGCACCGCCAGGTGGCTGCGTGCAGTGTGAAAGGAATCTCCCTCTCTCTCTCATCTCGTTTCTTGACGGAACAATCAAGGACGTGGCTCCATACAAAGACACACACAAGGGTCAACGCTCGATTATACTAATTTCTTTCAAAATTCGCCTTCCGCGTGCTCTATGCTCCTTTTTCAAAACATAAATCCCGCCGCAATCTCGATGGAAATTAAAATAAAAAGTTAAAAGAGCGTGAATTTTTCTTTTTTTTTAGGGCCGAAATTTGTCAAAACGTTTGTGGCCACTTTTTGCCGGCGGCTCTCGCAAAGTGGCATTCCAGCGCAAATTTATCAGCCGCTCTCTCGCGCACATGCATCCATCCACTTTGTATCCTTGATAATTGCACAAAGGGGCGAACGTGATATAAAAAGCGATGCTGCCGCTGCTGTTAACAACAGGAGGCTCCAGGCACCATAAACGCTGTATCGACCCCGCAACCCTCATCTCCTAACTTTTCATGTCTAAATCATTGCGTAGCGCCACTTGCTGGACCAGATAGACACGCGCAGCCCGAGATACAATTACTTATCTTTTAACTCACCGATTAATTAATAAATTATGAATAAAACCATTTGATAAAAATTTCTCCAGTGTTGATTCTTTTAATTTAATAATGTATTTTACTTGAGCACCAGCGTATTCTTTAAAAAAGCAAATTCAAAGTAACTTAAAAATATAGGCATTTAAATTTAAAGAAATAGATAAAAAAAATAATTAGGAAACTTTATTGAATTCCATTTTCTTGTAAATATTATAAGATTTTAGCAATTCTTGCATAATTCCAGATAATAATAATATATTGTTTGTATCGTTATAATAAAATTGCACGGTCCGAACTGGACGCTAATATTTCATTTAATTTTTGTTTATAATTGTGCAACTTTTCATACATTGTGTGATGGCTATTCTTTAAGTATATTTCTGAGCTAATGGCAAACTAAATTCTGGAATTCATTTACCACACATTTTAAGAATTAAGGATATAAATTGGTCACTCTCTCTTTAGGAACAGAACAGGTTGCACTTACAGCTGCATCACTTCTTCTTGCCAATTTGGCCACGCTGCAGCATTCCAGATTGCATTCCCATATTCATGCCAGGTCTCCAAGTTATATCGTCATCAATGGGCCCTTCCGACAAAGGAGATTCTTCGTAGCTTTTGTTTTGCTGATGGCGAAGACTCATTTTCTTCTCCTTGCAAGGCTCGGGGCGAGTAACAGGCTTCTTGTAGATGTGCTGACGGCTGGTGCCTTCCAAGGGATCCTCTAGTGACAGTCTATGGAGGAAGCTCTTCATGTCGTCATTAGTCTCTGTTGGTCCATCTGATGACGCTTCAAGGCTCATTTTTTCAGCTTTGATTTGCTCCAAATTCAACATATTTGACACTGTCATCTCTGAGATAATCTGTATGTCCTCATCAATGACTATCCCTAGCTCCCTCTTCTTGGACATAGGCATTGGTCTCACTTTCTTAGGCACAGGTACAGCTGAATTATAGCATTTCTGTTTTTCAACCTTGCCAGCTTGGTTTTTAAATATTTTGGGCTCTGATTCTTCTTTCTCTGGCTGCTTTGGTTCTTCTTTCTCTGGAGGCTTTGGTTCTTCTTTCTCTGGCGGCTTTCGAGCTTCTTCCTCGGGTGACTTTGGTTTTTCTTCTTCAGCATCAGTCTTCACAGCCAGTTTCCTGCATTTAGGACCTGGCTTGTATTTCTGCTTTTTTTGAGGGACCTGCCTCTCAGCCTTTTGGCTCTCATCATTTTCAATCACTTTATTGTCAGACATCTCATTTCCATTGATTGCGAGTGGCAAGACATTTTGAGATACAGGTTCTTCTTCCTTGTCAGTGTTGGCCAAACAATTAACACCAATCGGCTTGGTTGATAAAGGAAATTTTCCATTCATTTGCAAATTTGGTTTTGGGAGTTTAGCATGCATCACGTCTTCCATTTTCTCATTTGTAGTATCCACAGAAGGGCCACCATTTGGTTCATCTTTTTTGGGCATTAATTTTTTGCGTCTGTAAGTAACTTTTTCAGGTTTTGGAGAACCTTTGCTTTTCACATACGTCTTGTTGAGAATCTTACCAGGAGGACTCTTATTGCCAAACATTTTCACTTTCAATTGGTTTGAGGGTTTCTTCTGTGCATTAAGCTTCTTAGGAGTTGGTTTTACTTTGGGGGTTTTCTTGATGTCTTTGAAGATGTTGTCAATATCGTCATCATCCAATTGATTTTCCTCGTCACCACTCAAAGAATTTATGGAGCCAGTGTTTTTATTTTTTTGCTTCACAGGCTTTGGTGATGGCGAATTTTCACTTTCAGTGTTCGAGTCCAGCTTCAGTGGCTTCAATTTTATTTGCACCTGCATAGGAGTGAGGACCTTTATCAACTCCTGGTCAGTCAACTTCTTTTTGATAGTAGGCGAAGAAGAACTTTTATTGTTTTCCTGTTCACCATTTTGGTCTTTCTTCTGGTATCTTGCTGATGGGCTTGGAATTGGAGTTATGGACATGCTGCTTGAGGCCTTTCTTGTAGGTGTAGCAACAGATAATCTGGATAAAGGACCACAGGATTTGTCGGAACAGAGATTCTCGATGATCACTTGACAGGGGGAGGACAATTGGAGTTGCTGTTGATTTAGACTCCTGCCATTTACAGCCTTAGACGTGGTTGCTAAAAATTTTAAGAAGACGTGTTAGCACAACTGCACAAGCAAAAATAAAATTATGGCTTTGCTAACCTAGAGGTGAGAGTCTCATTCTCTTCGCAGGTGAAGCAGTGGTTTTGATTGAATGCTATAATTAAAATTTGTACTTAGAATAAGATTTTTTTGACTACAAATATTTTTTATACCTGTAACACAGGAACAGAAAGCGTCAGTTCAGCAACTCTCTGACTAGGCATATTTGGTGACTTGGTAAAAGTTTGATTAGCAGGTCTAGAATTTTCACTTGTGTGGGAATTATCAGTCTGGGTAGTGTCATCAGAATGGCCAGAATGAGACATGTCGTTGGTATCAGTATCCGAATCAGTAGTGGTATCATCTACTTCATCAAGTCCGGCAAGGGCCGATTGTGGAGGCTGTAGCCGATGGAGAGAAACCACAGGGTTCCCCAGCACAAGACCGTATTTCATGGGCCTCACTCTGTTAACTGTTCAAGACAGATTTTTTTAATTTAAACAAAACTTAACATTTAAACATACCTCTAGCCCGCTTCCGAGGCACCTTATTTTGCTTGGGTGGATTATCGTCTGGCAAAGTGATGTTGTTGAGGATCCCCAGATTTTCTAAATTTTCAACATCAAAGTTTGCAATAGATGAGTTTAGGTTCTCAAATCTGCCAAAAGCTTTGGATATGTCCTTGTAAATGCCAGGAACCACTTGCTGCATGTTTTTCAGAACAGTGATGGTGGTGTTGTATTTTTCCACCAGTCGTTTATAAGCATGTTTTGCTTGATTGCATGCCACTACCAGCTTTCTGTTTGTGTCTCTCAAGGTGCGAGTTTCCAGTCTCTTCTTGTTCAGCTGCCGTGCCAGTGATCTATTGTTTGCCAGCAAATGAATCTTACTGTGGGAAACTGAAATATCACAGAATTATTAAAATCTTTTATACTCTTCCATGATTTAATATTAGATATTATTATATAAGTAAATATTAAAGTTAATTTAAATTACCTGAACCAACAGACACAATGGAACAGTTTGAGCCCTTCCGCTCATTTATATTTGGTGGAGTAGTCAAAGGTTTTTTACTTTGCTGACGACCCATTGCCATCGCAATGTACCTGAAATCCAAATACTAGATAAAAACATCAGCATTCTGAATCATCAAAATGGATTGCTTTTGATAGTAGCAATTGGCAATGGAATACAAATAAAGCCGCAACATGTATGATATCGGTCCATATTTTTTTCAAAAAAATTTGATTGGGGTCAAACATAAAAAAATCATAGTGAAATAGCGCTCCATTTTGAAGATTTCACTTTATTTCATGCACAGCGAGGACTAAAATGGTCTAAATTATGTATCAAGTTATCAACTATCAAATTTCGCAAAAAATAATCAAGATAAAAATTTCTTAACGAGACATGTACCATGTACCGTTATTCGCTATTATTAATGACAATGTTGTCAATGATGTGAGATATGAGACGGCAAAAACCACGTGTTTTGGGGTTTTCCTCGATTTCGTCTTTCTGTCAAAATTTAGTACATACATAGTAGTTTATGCCTGGTCTACACACTGCACGGTCTTGAGCTTGACTTTTTTTAAAACCACCAGACATGAAGCTGCGTGGTTCATTTTAAACGTGCCGTGAGCCGTGACATGCCTTGTCTAACTGTGATATCCCAACAAAACATAAAATTGCAAAATTGCGTTCAATTTTGAATACCACTGCCACTCTATCTGCCAATAAGTTTGGATTTGCAAAAAAAATCAAGATCAAAGCTCTTGAACTCTTGAAGAACTTCATTACCTGTCTAGTAGGTCGCAACTTTCAAAATATCAATCGAATCTAATCATTCCGAAGAAACTAAGACGTGAATTTGTTGCTTGCTTTGCTTCCATACTTCGGTGATTCAGTCTCGTTTTCTAGTTTTCTCTTTTCGTTCCGGTTCCAAGGCCGTCAAATCGTACAACCAACCGTTCAACATTGCCATTGCATTGAATATTGAATTGTGTTGGCAACGCCGCAAAAAGCTCTCCGCCCCCCTAAATTCAGGATCCTTGAAAAGAACAACAAAACAAACCTCGCCTTCAACAATGGTCAATGGAAGAGAATTAAATATCATAGAAGAAATAATTAGTGTTTTACAAAGAGTTGACTGTTAATTTTCAAGATCAGATAGCTGTGTGCAATATTTAGAATATTGTAGCTTCGAAAAGTTGAGTTATAAAATCAACTTTTCAGTAAGGAAGTGACTGAAGAGGTATGAAATACTAATGCAATTTGAGATGCAAAAAAATATATTTTTGTCACAGCCAGCATTTGAACTTAACAAAAGTAAAAAGTTACAATTTTCTAATTAATAAATTGTGTGCGCCTTAAATATTAAAAAATAATAAACACATATGTATATTCATTTTTTTCCGTAATATTATGTATTTAGTAAAGTTCTAATTTTTATTTTTGAAGAAGTTGACACTCGAGGAGATGGTCATGGAAATGAAGAAATCGGGCTTTTCCTCGTTGTAAAATTTTTTTTATTTAAAAACAAATGGCTCTACCAGTTTCAGTCACGGTCTGCGACCTTATTTTGAGCAAACGCGCTGCTCGCTGACTAATACAAGAGCCATTTGTTTCTGAATAAAAACAATTTTTACAACGAGGAAAAGCCCGATTTCTTCATTTCTAAAAATTTTCTGCACATGTAATGCATAATATGATAATAATACATCTTGTTTTGGATTATGTAATGTATTAACATTTTAATAATACATATTTCTTTCAGATTAATACGTAAACAGCAACATTTAATTTCTGTTACCAACATGTACGACTTGATGAAAATTTGGATAATTCAAGCAAATGGCTAAAACCAGCAAGGCGATGTTTTGCTCTATACCTACCTGCAGGTTGGCTTGTTAACTGTTTACTTTTTTACTGTAAATGATAAATGTATTAAATGTATCTCCTTTTATGTCCATTAGGTTTCACATGCCTCTGGATCTGAATGACATTCAGCTTCAGCAACTTGCGTTTTTCTGCTTTCCGGAGAATGAGTACCTAAAAAGTCTGTGGGCAGAGAAGTGCAGCATTAGTCCAACAGATGAGAGCCAGATTTGCTCGCTGCATTTCACAGAAAATGACTTTGAAACTATTCACTCAGAGTTCCTAAACTTCGCTCCAAAAAAAGTTTTAAAGAAAGATGCTGTGCCGAACATAAATTTGCCCAACAACATGCTCTGCGGAACAGTCGTAATTTTAAATCAACAACTTGCAGGCAATGTTTCAACGGTTTCTGTCGTTTCCCATAGAGGTATTTTTTTTTTTATTCTATATGGCGCTGTATTGTTTTGTCTTTTTGCACATTAATTAAAAACTTTTTTTTAGACTGGCACATTGACAAAAGTGGGGCTGACGAGGGTTCTCTCAGCAATGCCTTGATCTCTAATGCAAAGCCTCCAGAAGTGTGGGAGTTGTGTAGGATGTGCGCTGGCACAAGTGAAAATATGATTCCAATATTCAATGATGATGGATCTGATAAAGATAATATTTCACTAAAATTAAAGCACATGTTCTCACTTAATGTAAGTCACAATTTGGCAAGCCAATCTCCACTTCTTCATCTCTTTAAAATTTTAGGTCTGTGCAAATGACGCTCTTCCAGTTCGACTTTGCAGTCAGTGCCTGATGGACTTGAATTTTTGCCACCAAACAGCTTTGAAATGTGCCCAAGCAGATGCCACATTAAGGTGTCTAATGGAAGCTGAATCTGTCAGTGCCAACCAGGTTATTTTCAATTTTATTTTCCTTGGTTTATAATAATAAAATTGAAATAGGACGTTGGTGGTGATTGGCAACTCCATGATGATGTGCCCCATGAAATACATGATGCTAACAAGCATGGCTGGCAGAGTCAAGTTTTAGAGCCGTCAACGTGGAGTAGAGAAAATGAAGTGCAGCATTTGCCAGGAATCTCTCCTCAGCAGCTAAGTGTTGCTGAATCAATTGTTTTGAAAGATAGGGTCAACGAAACAACAATGATAACCACTGGAATTTCCAGAGAAGTAGCTAACTATTTGTCAAAAATGTGATGAATGTTTCTGATACTCTGAATTTTGCAGCCTTCGGTTGTACTTACACTTCAGCCATCAAATGACAATGCTGCAAGGCAAACTAGGCTTGCAAGTTCAAGATTGAGGAAAGAAGAAAACCTGATCATTAACGATTCACACGCCTCTGTACAGGGAAAACCTGTGGAAAATTTGGAAAACGTACCACTTCGAGATCGACTACGCAATAAGAATCGGAAGAAAACATCTATTTTGTCATGCTCAACCTGCAAAAAGACATTTGAAACTGAAGTTGATCTGAAAGAACATCTTCGCAACACCCACCAAAAGTATCAGTGCAAAGATTGTGAAGAACTATTTGACTCAAAAGAGGCAGCAGAAAAGCACGCTGTCTCTCCTCACAACATTCCTTGCCTCCACTGCAAAGAGACTTTTGCCTCTCGGAGCTTGCTGAATGCGCACACAGAAGTGGAGCATATAACCAAAAAACCATTTGTTTGCTTGGACTGCGGATTAGATTTTGCAGCTAAAACCAGTCTTAGAGTACATATGAAAAATCACACCGGCAAACGAATAACTGTCTGTGATATTTGCGGCAAATCGTTCCGCACATGCGATGCATTGAGGCAGCACAAATTTGTGCACATGACCGACGAGGAGAAAAAGAACATGGGCTTCCCTTGCACTATGTGCGACAAAAAATTTTCCAGGCGCACCAAACTGGAGTACCACATGCGGCGGCACACAGGAGAGAGACACTTCACTTGCACAATTTGCTCCAAATCATTCCACGATTCTGTCCGTCTTAAAGCACATACCGAGAGGCACAGCACAGACAAAAAGTTCAAGTGCGACGAGTGTGGATCTGGTTTTGTTTGTAAAAGATACCTGACCAACCACAAATCTCGCTATCACCGCCGTCGGGAAGTCATCCGCTGCTCAGTTTGCTCGATAGTACTTCCATCGGCTGAAGAAGCCATGACTCACCACAGAGAGCACACTGCCGAGGAAGTGGCTAAAAGCGGCACATCAGACCCTTACACCCAATCCTATGACCATCACTGCAGGCAATGCTGCGAATATTTTCCCAGTAAAGAGTTGCTTAGTGCGCACAAGGCAAAAATGCATGTGAGAGGACGCATGAAAGTGCAGGCTCCTGTGGATATCACGGAGCTGATAAAGCAAGTCGACTGCACGGTCTGTGGTAAGAAGTTGTGGGGTCAAGGAAGTCTGAAGAGACACATGAGCACCCACGCCAGTACGAGACCAGAACGAATTTTTCAGTGTGAGTTTTGCGCCAAGATGTTTGCCCAAAGAGCTCAACTGGTGGTGCACATCAGAACGCATACTGGAGAACGACCTCACCGTTGCTCCTTCTGTGGAAAAGGGTTTATCACCGGCCAGAGTTTGATCAAGCATGAGAGAATACACACAGGAGAAACTCCATTCCACTGCTCTCAATGTCCCAAGGCGTTTCGAAGCAAGGAGAATCTCATTCTGCACCAAAAGGTAATCTAAAATACTTAAATTAAAATGTTTCTTTTTTAATAATTTTTCCCTTTTTTCAGACACATTTGGGTTTAAAACCATTTGAATGCCATTATTGCCACAAAAGCTTTGGTCGCCAAATCCATCTGCAGCTTCATTTACGGACCCACACCGGTGAAAGACCGTACGTCTGTGATGTTTGTGGCCGAGCTTTTGCACAAGGTGGAGACATGAGGCGCCACAGACTTACTCACACTGGTGAACGAGCATACAAATGCAGTGTTTGCTGCTTCTCGAGCAACAAAAGAAAAACACTGAGGGATCATGAGGCGTCAGCACACGGAAAGAGACCTGTGGAGCAAAATGTGGCAACTCCTATCATTAGCGAACCTGTCATAGCACAACCTGTTGCAACAGTAATTGAGCCTTTGATGCCTCAGCAATTGGCACCTGCTCCTCAGCAGTATGCTTCCAACATAATAATGCAGGACTCAAGAGCTGTTATGTTCTTGAATGCACCAGAAATTCACAAGAATTGGGGAGATAATTAAGAAATTATTTGCACATAAATTCCAAAAATGAATATTGATTCAAAAAGTTTAGAAGACAAGATTTAAAACATAATTCATTCCTTTGTTTAGGAAACTAGGTAGTCTGAATAATCCACTAGAAAGAAATAAGTGTCTTATAGTTAGTATCGTAGATAAAAATTGCAAAAGATTGTGTATTTAAAATATCTGATAGACATAATATGCATTGTCATCTTAAATGAATTTTTTATTTTTATTTTACCATTTAAGGATAATTTGCATAGCTTACATAGTCTTCCATTGTTCGGTGATCTGTATGTTTTTGAGATCAATAAAATAAAACACCATCATATTGAACTTTTCATACGAGTGTATTAAATAGCTTAAAGTAATTCTGTTGCTTACAAGAATAAAAGTTGAAAAATAATTGGGCCACTCAAAAAAGTTGTATGTGTACTTTTTGTTTCAAAACAGCTGTTCACAATATTTTTATTGCACATTTTTCTTAATGTTATAAGCATCACTACCCTAGTCAATGTTCTAAGCTTCTAAAAGTATGATCATATGCTACAGTCAATGTCTATTATTTGTCTGTTAAAATTATTATAAAATTTTATAACAAAATTTTGGAATTTCACAAATGACAAGACCACATGAAAATATTTCCAAAAATTTATCTAGCTACCATTATCATAGTTTTTGCAAAGAGATGAATTAGACAAATTCTTATAATCTTCCGAAACCAAGGCTTCATAATGAAGAATGGCTTCTCCCAATACTCCATTGATAGCTTCAATCAATTCCTCTGGCACCATCAATTGGCATTGTGTGGAGAACTTCGTCGAGGAGCTGAAGAGCTCTGTGCAAATGCACCTGCGGAAGTACACAATAGAGATTATATTGGGAAACATTCACTAGAGAATTCCCTCCCGGGAGGACTTTTGTCACGAGAGGATAGTGGCGGAACAAATTTTGGATCGGCTCTAAAAATTTAGCACTTGGAAGCGGTAGGAAATTTTAGTTTATCCCAGCCGGCGCGTTTTTCTCACCTAGCATATCAGCCGTTACAAATAAAATTCATTTTCTTGTCGTTAACTTTCTAGGTTTGGATTTTCTGGATGAGGAAAAAAATTACATGATGACTTTTTTAAGAAATACAATTATGACATCACACACATTTTCCAGAATTTTGATTGATTAAATTTTCACTTTTAAAATTAATTTCCATTGCATGTTTTACTTCAATCAACTTTTGAAAAGTTCTTGACATAAATTAAAAAAATTAGTTAATTGAATATTTAATTAAATATTAAATTGTTTTAAAAATTTAAAACAAAACCCAGGCCGGAAAAAAATGTAAAAGTGGTTTAAGTTAAAAAAAAATCCTCGTTCAGAACGCTTGGAGGCGTTCTCCAATGCCCGTGACCGAGCGAGGCTCTCCGAGACGTTCTCCGAGGCCCTAAACCGTGCGAGACGCTCCGAGACATTCTCCGATGCCCCCCCCCCCCATTATTTATTACATTCTAAGAATTTAAAAGAAAAACTTACTTCAATCCAACACGGTGTTTCTTTGATTGAGCCTCGAGGGTAATCTGGGCCCCAGCCTTTCACAAAGCTGAGCCGTAAAATGCATAATCGTCTTAGGTCGTCAACACCAATGCCTACAGCGGCACTTAGACCTACGCGAATATCTAACATTAGTTTGGAGCTGATCTTAGGACGAAAAGATTGAGAGTGAAAAACAAAAGAAATTTTATATAATCAGTTTTTGAAGAAAGATGAGAGGAAAATAAAAATAATTAAAATGACATTACTCTTACTTAGCCTGGCAGGGGCAATGCCACCGGCTGCCATATGTCCAGGAATTTGCCCTGCAACTGCAGCTGCCGTCACAGCAGCTGCTGTTTGGGCATTCGCAGCTTGCTGCTGCATTTCTTGGTGACACTGCCGCAGATCAAAAACCTATTAATGAGAATAAGTTTCAATGTTTTAACAATGAGGGTCAATATCACTTTAATGTATGCAGTGGGGTAAATTTTGTGAACAGCATCTCCAGGAGTTCTGCCGGCTTCCCTGTCCAAGTAATAGCTCTGCACAAAAACGGAGTGGTCACTTAGACAGCGCAGCCAGACATCACCTTCTCCAATGAGATCAAGTTGCACACCTTTGCCTATGTGTAACCTGTGGAAAAAACCATAATTTGAACTGCGTTTTATTATAATAGCTTCAAGGTTACCTGGCCTTTTCACTTTGATCTGTTCGATGGACATTACTCAGTGCTCCCAAACAAAATCTGTGTCCACCCGAGGGGTCAACATAGCCGTCAACAGTAACATTTGGACAGTTCGAAGGGACTTTAAAAGTCTCACCAACCTAAATTGAATATTTAGGAAGTCTTAAATAAACATTTCATAAATTAAACCTGGGTGTCAAGCTCAAAGTAGGCAATGGAACACCAATATTCAGGTGCAGGCTGCGTAGAGAGCATACGAAGGGCATTTGTCGCAGGCGCAGCTACGGTGGTGGCAGGCGAAGAGCTATCAGGGCTCCCTGTAAGCAATTTGAGTTTGAATTTTGTATAATCAGCAAATTAGTCAGGCATACAGTATCCTGGCAGAGGGGAGCGAATCTCAGATTGCTGTGGGGGCTGCATACTTTGAGTGTAAGTCAAGGTGTTGCTGCCCGTCCATGTGGCCTGGCTGCCAGTAAAGGTTGCCGTTTGAGATGTGCCTTGAATGCCAGGAGTCACCCTTTGTTGCTGCGCAGGTGGCTGTACCTGCGGAGGTTGCGGCTGAATTGATGTGCTGGTGGGCTTCTGAGTATTTGGTGCCATTGACTGTGTCACAGATGCAACCTAGAGATTTTTTTTTTAAATTAGCAATGCTAAATCCATCATGCAATTTAGAACTACTACTTGAGTAGGGTGACTTTGGTGTGTCTGCTGGAGTGGTTGTGAAATATTTGCAACTGGCTGTGCTGGCTGAGTTACTGGCGGAACAACACTAGATGTGCTGGGGAATCCGTTTTGGTGCAGACGAGGCTGCGGAACCGAACTTATTGAGCTACTACTTTGGCTGCCAGAATCTAAAGAAATGCTGATTTTAATTAACTTCTTTTTATCTTAATCAAAGCATACTTATGAGATTGCAAGGGACAATGCCCGCGGACTGCCTCTGCTGTGGAGGCTCCACAGGAATGGATGAGGGTGAGGCCACCCCTTCAGAGCCAGAATAGAAACCACTATTACTAGATGGCTGTTGAGGGGACACGACCGACTCGACAGATGCAGGACCAACCACTGGGCTCTGCAACATTGGAGGTGGACCTCTGGGAGTTGCAGAGAGACTGATGGCCTGTGGCGGCGGTATAATTTGATACTGAGACTGCGGTGGATGATGCTGGACAGTCTGAGCTACTAGGGCTTGGTTTACAGTCTCGGTGTCTACATCCATTCCACTAGGGCCGCCTGCCGAGTACTCATCTTTCAACAAACGGCTGGGTCCTCCAGAGGACTGAAGAGTAAGGCCTGATAGGTCTAACAAATTTAAGGGTGGTGAGAAAATATTAAATTATCAAAAGGAAAAAATACCAATGCCTGGAGAAACCACTCTCTCGTAGTGGTAGGGGTTGACGCAGACAGAGTCACATTTTAGATCAAAAGCAAACTGACAGAATTTCACATGTTTCAGTTCATTTTTGTGCAGATCAGGCCAACGCCATATGCGTGCGTATATTACATGAGGAAAACCCTTTCTGCCTGCAACCTGCAGGCGCCCATCCAGAGTTCTTGGTATGGTCACACACTTGCTGGGGTGTGCGCCGTTTGTGGTTATCGCTGTGATCAAGCTGTCTAGCTCATCCCTTTTTTCCTATAAATAAAAATTAGAAATTGATTTATATAGAGAATGTAATTTTTCTCCCTACCTTCAGCTTCTTAACAAGGCTTTCGATCGCCCTTTTAGAAAACCCTTCAGATTCTCCACCCTGGCGATGGCACATTAAAGAGTGGACGATACTCAAACAAGCATCGGCGGAGGTGGGTGCTGTGGAGGGAATGGTGGCCATCGTGACCTGAGAAAGATTAAAATTGAAAACATCAGTTTAAGTATGTTCTATGTTCAAACTTTTTAAGTTATTTGCCGACCTTAAATGTTTACAGCAAATTAGCAAGTGAATAAACACAAGACAGAGATGAAAGCTCTTCTTATCGCGGTTACATTCACGAAATGATGTTTTTCTCTGGCTCAACAGTCTTATGCTGGGCACCAGATAATGCGAAACAAATGCATCATTTAGATTTTACGCCATGAGCAGGGGTTTTCCGCCACCATCAGATTCACATAGCCGCAGTTTAAATTACGAATGCTGCAAAATATTTCTCAGCGTCTCCGAGTCTCATTCTTGTCTGGTGCAAAGTTTGCCGATTCAAACCGCTTCTCCAAAATTCCGAAATTTTTTGATGCGATCAAAAAGCAATGAATTCCGAAAATTTCAGCAAAAATTTTTAAGACACAAACAACCCTCACACACAAAATGGCAAACAATAACAAATGGGCATTTTTTCGCACTGAAAAACTGGTCCAAAGCTTTCCTCCTTGCGAGGTTGCTCCGTTTGCTCGTCTCAAGTCGCACGTCGCACGCGCAGACAAGGAGGTTGCTTTCTGCTTGAAAAGTTACCGCCAGGGGCAGCACAGTTGCAGAATTTGTGATTTGTGTTTATCAACCACGCGTCTGCCGCTTTCTCCTTTCTCAACATTTTCCTCAGGTAATTTGCCAAATTTTGGCCACAGACTCATTGCCGAGCAAACTTTCTACGGAAAAATATTTCTTGTTGCCGCAGAGAAGACACGATTCCAACCAATTTTAGCAGAGAGGGCGAAATAAAACACTTTCAGCCATGGCGGATGCCGCGGCTCGTCAGCAGCAGTACGAGTACAAAGCGGTAAATTGAAATAACTTGAAAAATAAAGAGTTTGCATCATTGAATTGGATTATTTTCAGAACTCCAATCTTGTCTTGCAAGCGGACACTCGTTTGATCGAGCGCCGTAGTCGAGATGAAGCGACCGGAGAAGTTGTTTCCCTTGTCGGGAGGTTGGATGGTACTAGAATGGGCGACCGGTACCAACGTAGCAGGCCTGAAAAAACGGAAGAAAGAAAGGCAAAGAGGCAGAAGCGAGATGAGGCCCAATATGACTTTACAAAAATGAAGGGTTCCAACATTTTGGACGATCACATTGACGATGTTGCTGGAATTTTATATAGACCAAAAACTCAAGAGACTAGGCAGACCTACGAGGTTCTGCTGAGCTTCATTCAAGAGGCATTAGGAGATCAGGTAATTTTTTCTAATAATAAGTATATTTTTTGTAAAAATAAATTGCTCAAAATTGAACTTCCAGCCACGAGACATCCTTTGTGGAGCAGCTGATGAAGTCTTGACAGTCTTGAAAAATGATAAGCTGAAAGACAAAGACAAGAAAAAAGAGACTGAGTCTTTACTTGGCACAATTGCCGAAGAGAGGTTTGCGCTGCTGACAAACCTGGGAAAGAAAATCACCGACTTCAACTCTGATGCCAATAATGCTGGTAAGTTGAATTGATATTTTATTTTGTTATGTAACAACACTTAAATCAATAATAATTACTTATTGATATCTTTCAGATGAGAATATTGATGAAACATACGGCATTAACTGCCAGTTTGAGGAAAGCTCAGACGAAGATGATGAGGACAAGCATGGGGAGGTGTGCGAGGACATAGAGGATATGGACGAAGGAGAGGAAGCTAGGCTAGACACTTCAATCCATGCTGAAAATGTAAATAATTTTATTTTGCCAGCAACATTTTCTAATGCACCTTTAATAGCTGGCAGCTGCAGAAAGAGAAAAGATAGAGAAGAAGAAAAAGACAACTCTTCATCCTCTAGACATTGATGCATACTGGCTGCAACGCTGCCTTTCAAAGTATTATGATGATGCGATGCTGTCTCAGGCAAAAGCGGCGGAGGTTTTGTCGGTTTTGAAGAGTGCTGCGGACGATCGTGAAGCAGAAACTCAGTTGGTCCTACTTTTGGGTTACGACTGTTTTGATTTCATCAAACTGCTGAAAAAGCACAGGCAGATGAGTGAGTTGGAGTTATTATTATTATTATTTTTTTTTTAATAATATTACTCAATATATTTTAGTTGTGTACTGCACATTGTTGGCTTCGTCTCAGAGTGATTCCGACAAGGAGTCGTTGAAATCCAAAATGAAAGATGATCCAGCTCTGGCGAAAATTCTACTGCAACTTGAGACTGGCAAAGAGGAAGATATGGAAGGAGATGGCTCTGAAACTAGATCCAGGTACTTTTGAGTGATGAAATAAAAATCAACCCAATCTGATCATGAAAATTCCAGCCATCATAAGAACGCAGATGAGGGTGTTGGTCCCGAGGGAACTGCTGGGCAGGTTGCAGGCACAAGGTCGGTTCTTGATTTCGAAGACATGGTTTTCACACAAGGCTGCCATTTTATGGCCAATAAGAAGTGCCAATTGCCGGAGGGATCTTTCAGGAAGCAGAGAAAAGGCATTGATCTTAAATTAACTTTTTCAATTCTGACATTTATTATCTACAGGTTACGAAGAAGTCCACGTACCCGCTCTTAAGCCCAAGGCTTTCCAGACAAACGAGTCTCTACTCCCAATTGAAAAGCTCCCTAAATATGCCCAGGCTGCATTTGAAGGTTTCAAGACGCTCAACAGGATTCAGAGCAGACTTCATAAAACTGCTTTGGAGTCCGATGAAAATCTGCTTCTTTGTGCACCTACTGTAAGTTATTCCTAGGTAAATTTTGATTTAATCTCATATTTCAATATCTTCAAAGGGTGCTGGTAAAACAAATGTGGCAATGTTGTGCATGATGAGAGAGATTGGCAAGTACATCAATGCTGACGGCACAATCAATGCTGACGAGTTTAAGATCATCTATGTTGCTCCCATGAGATCACTGGTACAGGAAATGGTCGGCAACTTTGGAAGGGTAATTTCAGCACTTAAATTTGCATTTTAAGTATAATAATTTTACTCGTTATTATAGCGTTTGGCGTCTTACAATATCACTGTGTCTGAATTAACTGGTGATCATCAGTTGACAAGAGAGCAAATTGCTGCAACACAAGTGATTGTGTGCACTCCAGAAAAATGGGATATCATTACGAGGAAGGGAGGAGAAAAGAGCTTCACACAACTAGTGCGACTTGTCATCATTGTGATTATATTTAAATTAAAATTATATACATTTTATTATATACATAAATTGCTCTTATAGGATGAAATCCATTTGCTTCACGATGAACGTGGTCCTGTTTTGGAGGCATTGGTTGCAAGGACAATTCGAAACATTGAATCAACGCAAGAAGATGTGAGAATTGTTGGTCTCAGTGCCACTCTTCCAAACTACCAAGACGTAGCCACTTTCCTTCGTGTCAAGACTGAAACTGTGAGTAAATTTTTTTGCAATAAAAATATTTCAAGCTAAAACATTTTTTGTTCATAGGGTCTCTTCTTCTTTGACAACAGCTTCAGACCTGTTCCATTGGAGCAGCAATACATTGGAATCACAGAGAAGAAAGCGCTGAAGCGCTTCCAAGCCATGAATGATGTTGTCTACGAAAAGGTCATGGATCAGGCTGGCAAGAACCAAGTTCTGATCTTTGTCCACTCAAGAAAAGAGACTGGTAATTTTATTTAGTGTAGCATCAATTTCATATTAAAACAATTTACTTTAGGTAAAACTGCCAGAGCCTTGAGAGATGCTTGTCTAGATAAGGACACTCTTGGTCTCTTTTTGCGTGAGGGCTCTGCATCAACAGAAGTATTACGAAGTGAAGCAGACCAAGTTAAGAATCCTGAACTTAAAGATCTCCTACCCTATGGCTTTGCCATCCATCATGCAGGAATGACCAGAGTGGACAGAACTTTGGTGGAGGATTTGTTCGCCGACAGGCACATTCAAGTTTTAGTGTCAACAGCTACCCTTGCTTGGGGTGTCAACTTGCCTGCTCACACTGTAATCATCAAAGGAACGCAGGTTTACAATCCAGAAAAGGGTCGTTGGATGGAGTTAGGCGCCTTAGATGTGCTGCAGGTAAATATTTTTGTGCTAAAATATTCCTCGGATATTAATTTGACTAAATAGATGCTTGGGCGTGCTGGCAGACCGCAATATGATACCAAGGGCGAAGGCATCCTAATCACTAACCATAGCGAGCTGCAGTACTACTTGTCACTTCTGAACCAACAACTTCCAATTGAGTCACAAATGATCAGCAAGTTGCCTGACATGCTCAATGCTGAAATTGTTTTGGGCACCATCCAAAACGTGCAAGATGCTGTTACTTGGTTGGGATATACCTACTTGTACATCAGGATGTTGCGTCATCCAACTTTATATGGTGTCACTCATGACATGTTGAAGGAAGACCCTCTCTTGGAGCAGCGACGAGCTGATCTTATCCACACAGCAGCTGTGCTTTTGGACAGAAGTGGTCTTGTCAAGTACGACAGGAAAACTGGAGCGCTGCAAGTCACGGAGTTGGGCCGCATTGCCAGTCACTTCTACTGCACACACGACTCTATGTCAACTTACAACCAGCTTCTGAAACCCACTTTAAGTGAAATTGAAATTTTCAGGTTAGTGAAAATAAATTTTATCAAAAATGAGCAACAATTTACAATTTAACTATTAGGGTGTTCTCCCTGTCGAGTGAGTTCAGGAATATCACTGTGCGTGACGAAGAAAAACTGGAATTGCAGAAGTTGATTGAGCGCGTCCCTATCCCAATCAAGGAGGGTATTGAAGAGCCAAGTGCAAAGGTCAATGTACTGCTCCAAGCATACATCTCTCAACTCAAGTTGGAAGGATTTGCATTAATGTCGGACATGGTTTATGTCACTCAATCAGCGTCACGTCTCATGCGAGCAATTTTTGAAATTGGTAATATCACTTCATTGATCTAAAAAGCAGTTGTTACTTTAAGTGTTTTGCAGTGATGTTCCGTGGCTGGGCTCAATTGGCTGACAAGACATTGTCTCTATGTAAAATGATTGACCGACGAATGTGGCAATCGATGTCTCCACTGAGGCAGTTCAGGAAAATGCCCGAAGAAATAGTGAAGAAAATCGAAAAGAAAAACTTCCCCTGGGAACGATTGTATGATTTAGGGCCAAATGAAATTGGAGAACTCATCAGAGTCCCTAAATTGGGCAAGATGATTCACAAGTATGTTCATCAGTTCCCCAAGCTGGACTTGGCCACTCACATTCAGCCAGTTACAAGGTAATTATAGATGCACTTTAAGATTATTTTTTAACTTGTCATGCACAGATCAACCCTACGAGTCGAGCTCACGATTACACCCGACTTCCAATGGGATGAAAAAATCCATGGTGCCTCTGAAGCATTTTGGATTCTTGTGGAAGATGTTGACTCGGAAGTTATCCTTCACAGTGAATATTTCCTGCTGAAAGCCAAATTTGCGCAAGACGAGCATGTGGTCAAATTCTTTGTTCCTGTCTTTGAACCCCTGCCACCGCAATATTTCTTGAGGATTGTTTCGGATCGCTGGATTGGTTAGCTATTTTTTAATTAAAAAGCCACAAAAATTATTTTTGTTTTTCTCTCCAGGTGCTGAAACTCAGTTGCCAGTGTCATTCAGGCACTTGATTCTGCCCGAAAAGAATCCCCCTCCAACAGAATTGCTGGACTTGCAGCCTCTTCCCATCACTGCTCTGCGAAATCCCACACTCGAGTCACTCTACACTGACAAATTCAAGCAGTTTAACCCAATTCAGACGCAAGTCTTCAACGCAGTCTTCAACAGTGATGACAATGTCTTTGTTGGAGCGCCCACAGGGTCGGGAAAGACCACCATTGCAGAGTTTGCTGTCCTTCGACTCTTCACCCAAAATCCCGATGGTCGATGCGTCTACCTAGTTGCTAAAGATGCCTTGGCGCAAATTGTTTACACAGACTGGGCCAAACGATTTGGATCCGTCTTGGGCAAAAAGGTTAATATATTATTCCAATATAAAATTTTATAACTTAATTCAATTATCTTTTTAGGTTGTTCTTCTGACGGGAGAAACAGGAACAGACTTAAAACTCATTGCAAAGGGTCAAATTATTGTCACAACGGCAGAGAAGTGGGACGTCTTATCAAGAAGATGGAAGCAGCGTAAGAATGTGCAGTCTGTGCAGCTTTTCATCGTCGACGAGCTTCAGGTATAATTAATTTGTTTTTGGAAGCGCAAATAAAATAATATTTAAATAAAACAATTTTTCAGCTCATCGGTGGAGACGATGGTCCAGTCCTGGAAGTTGTATGCTCTCGAATGAGATACATTTCATCCCAGCTGGAAAAACAAATTAGGATCGTCGCTCTTGGATCATCAATTGGAGATGCCAAAGACATGGCTCAATGGCTGGGATGCCTTGCTAATTCCACATTCAACTTCCACCCAAGCGTGAGGCCAGTGCCTTTGGAACTTCATATCCAGGTATTGATATCAACTTTTCTGGAAGAATTATTTTACGAGACAGTTTCTGTAGGGCTTGAACATCACCCACAATCAGACCAGAATGAGTGCCATGGCGAAGCCAGTGTACAACTGTATCATGAGACACAGTCGCACCAAGCCTGCCATCGTTTTCGTGCCAACAAGGAAACAGGCTCGTCTCACTGCTATTGACATTCTCACATACTCGGCCTCCGAGGGCAATCCAAACCAATTCTTGCATGTCGAAGTTGATGACTTGAAGCCCTATTTGGAGAAACTATCTGATAAGGTATTTTGATTAATTTGATTTTACTTCTAGACTTAAAAGAAATAATTCATATCTAGACCCTGAGAGAGACTCTATCGCAAGGTGTTGCTTACATTCACAAGGGCTTGAATGCCACTGACTTGAGGATTGTGGAACAGTTGTTTGAGACTGGGGCCATTCAAGTAGCAGTCGTGACAAGAAGTCTTTGCTGGGCCACAAACATTTCGGGCCACTTGGTCGTCATCATGGACACACAGTGCTACAATGGCAAAGTAATAAACAAATTGCATTTTATAAAGTTTTCTTAAAATTTAATTTCAATATACAGGTTCATGCTTATGAGGACTACCCGATTACTGATGTTCTTCAAATGGTCGGCCGAGCAAACAGACCCAATGAAGATGATGATGCAAAATGTGTTTTGATGTGTCAGACGTCCAAAAAAGACTTCTTCAAAAAGTTCCTTAGTGAACCACTGCCTGTTGAGGTATTTAAATCATTAAACTTTTATTTTGCCATGATTTAAATTATATATTTATTTTTTCAGAGTCACTTGGATCATCGTCTTCATGATCACTTCAATGCCGAAATTGTCACAAAGACCATTGAAAACAAACAAGATGCCGTCGATTATCTTACTTGGACATTCCTGTATCGCAGACTCACCCAGAATCCCAACTACTATGGCCTCCAAGGTGTCACTCATCGTCATTTGTCGGACCACTTGTCAGAGCTTGTGGAAAATACCTTGAGTGACTTGCAGCAGTCTAAGTGCATCAGTGTTGAAGATGAAATGGATTGTCAGCCTCTCAATTTGGGCATGATTGCTGCCTATTACTACATAAACTATACCACCATTGAACTCTTCAGTCTTTCCCTGAACAACAAGACCAAAATTCGAGGACTGCTGGAGATTATCTCTGCAGCTGCCGAGTATGAAGATGTTCCCGTGAGGCACAGAGAGGACGTCATCCTGAAGGCACTGGCCTCAAAACTACCCAACAAGGTGCCCAACCCCAAATACAATGACCCTCATGTCAAGACCAACTTGCTGCTGCAAGCCCATTTGTCGAGACTGCAATTGGGAGCCGAGTTGCAGCAGGACACAGAAATGATCCTCAGCAAGGCCATCAGGCTGATTCAGGCATGTGTCGATGTGCTCAGCTCCAACGGGTGGCTCTCCCCTGCAGTGGCTGCAATGGAGTTGGCTCAAATGGTGACGCAGGCGATGTGGAGCAAGGACTCTTACCTGAAACAACTGCCGTATTTCACACAGGTATTTTAGTACTGATTTTATCAGATGCGAATGGAAATTAAATTTAATTTTATGATAGGATATTATTGAGAGGTGTTTGTCAAAAGAAGTGGAAACCGTTTTTGACATCATGGAACTTGAAGACGATGCGCGCAGCAAACTGCTCCAGTTGTCAGACGCACAAATGGTGGACGTGGCCCGCTTCTGCAACCGCTATCCAAATATTGAAATGAACTACGATGTGCTCGAGAAAGAAAACATTCATATTGGAGACACAGTTAATGTTGTCGTAAATCTTGAGCGCGAAGACGAAGTGACCGGCCCTGTAATTGCACCGTTCTTCCCACAGGTAGGAAATTGTTGCAAATTTGTCGTAATTACGCTCTCCGCCTTGAAATTATTCTGTCAATGCGCAATTGCTTCAGTAGAAGAGATTTCACCAAAGTCTATAATTTCTTTGAAATTTGTTGCAGAAACGAGAGGAAGGATGGTGGGTAGTGATCGGTGACCCAAAAACAAACGCCCTGCTGTCCATTAAGCGGCTCACACTTCAGCAAAAGGCCAAGGTCAAGCTTGACTTTGTTGCCCCCAAGCCGTGTGGTGACTACGACTACACTTTGTACTTCATGTCTGACGCATACCTGGGCTGCGATCAAGAGTACAAGTTCAAAATCAGAGTCGAAGAGCCCGTCTCTGAATCAGAATCGGATAGCGACTAAGAAGGGGGTAACTTGTTTTCAACGTCATTTGTAGAACTCCATTTGATTTTTGTGTAAAATAATAAACTACTTTTAACATCTTAAAAAATTTATGAATCTCATTCCTTGGTTAAGTTAATTTATGGCTTTAACTTAAGTTGAAAATCATTGCTTTGCGGTACTTTATTTGCAACTAAAATAGTTTTTAAATGAGGACAATAGCGCGTAAAAAGCTTGCAGAGCAATTTCCATTATTGAAATGCCTTGCACTTTGAGTTTTCATTAAAAGTATAATACTATTTATTTGTCATTGAAGCAAGTGCGGCGTTGGTTGTTTGAATAGAAATCGTAACAATATATCCATGGCTGATCGACTTATCACATTTCATCCTCCTCATATTTAATTGCATCCGGTTATCAATTACTTTAACCTAATTTTGAAAAGAAGAAATTATTGAGAAATAATTAAACAAAAATTGAAAAAAAATATCGAGGCTCAACAAAAAAGAACAATCTGGAACTAACACTCGGAACAAGAAAGTGGCGCCTCTTGGCAGGAGCCAGTTTCGTTGCCAGGCGCTCCAGTTAATGAGCAGTCTTTTGACAGCCCCATTAATTTTCGCACGAGAAAGACACGGCGACGATCATTATCAAGTGTATAAGCACAAAACCTGTATATACATATAATTCCAAAGCATTAGCTGATCAGAAAAGTGCGCACGCCGGTTTGGCAGGCCGCGTAAAAATTCTCAGCAGGCGGGATGCAAATGCGGATAAGATCGTTGTTCTTGTTGGAAAGGTACCAAATGCTTTGCGTCGAGCGAAAAGCAGAAAGACGTCGCGCGATTTTAGCACTCGTGTGGCCATGTGTTTGTTAACAATCAGGTTTTAAAACGCCGGCCGGTCGGCTGGCTGGCTCTCGGCCTACGCGATCATCCTCCGGTCGCGTGAGCACCGGGGTTGCAGAGATTTTTAGTCCGCGGCCATAAATCAGCATCTCGGGCGGTCGATTGCATTTAAAGTATTATGGAAATGGAAAATAGAGGGACGCGAGGCAGACAATCTAGCAATTGTCTTTTGTTAACACTTGAACCTAAATACGGTGGCGTGACCCTTTCGGCTGATCGGAGAGAGAGAAAAGAGAAAATCTACGAATTTCGAATGGGAGACCCGTTATTTTGCCTTTACCAATTTAGTGCCACCGACGTCAAGCGCCACTCTAACTGCCAGATTTTGCCGCGTCCAATCAATATTAAAAGAAAAAAAATGGAAATTTTCTCTCCTCTCGTTCAAGCCGCCTATTAAAAGATCTCATGCAAAAGCCAGTCTTGATTGCACCAGCATAAAATAGTACTATTCCGCGGCGGCCGTTCATATTTTAATAACGACTTGAAAAATGATTCTTTCTTATACACCCTCGGGCCACACAGAAATACACAAAAATTCATAACTGCTGCCTCGCAAGTAATGAAAATCATTAAAATTTTTATTTTTAAAAATCCTCAACTGAAAACAGCAGTTTTAATTTGGCTAAGCAAAAATAATAAAAGAGGCGCCGCTCTTTTCTGCACGTACTTTTTGTTTGGCAAGAGCCTGTACACGTACAGTGAGTTGGCGGAATTTTCACTGTATATGCAGTGCATTATTTTTTATTTAGCATAAAATTATCATTGTGCCAGTCAATACCCACAATTGAAGCTGATTACGCTTCTTGCATAAGACGCTTGTGTTTGCAGTGTAAATAAAACCACCTCGGCAGTTCGCTGTCACGAAATTTAATGCTTTCCAAGTTGACCGAGACTGGGAACGCTGGATAAAAACGGCTCCCCAGCGACAGCGCGTCAAGGAAATAAATCTTCCCAAGTCCGATTTTGGCATCCTGCTGGCGCGTTTTTAATCCTGTTCGAGGCAGATGTTAAAAAGGTTAAACGGAGCTAAGGAGAGGTGGTGTTCAGAGTTTATACGATTTTTCTGTTTGACCAAAAAAAAAAAAATACAAATTCCTTCCTATAGGTTCACAAAAATCCTAAATTTGGAAGTAATACAAATTCAATTTCTTTTTATCGCCTTTTTTCCTAGGACCAAGAAAAAATGGCTCTTGGAAACGATGATAATTTAATAAACTTTTTATTTTAAAAAATTCAGTAATGCACTCCGTAAAAAAAATTTAATAAAATAGGGACTTGCAAGTAATAAACTATTAAAACTTTTTCACGTAATAGAATTTTACTAGTTTATTTTTTTTTTCAAAAAAGGTTAAAAAGAAATCAAAACTTGCTGGCGCTAGGAATATGTAACTTAAAAAAACGCAGAAGTAACAAAAATTAATTTTTGCGAATTTTCAGAAGACCATTGAATTGTAATTTTTGCAGATTTTATAACGAATTATAAAAAAAGCAAAACAAAATACTAAAATTATGGCAAAAATTTATATTGAATATAAGTATAAGATACAGAACGTGCAAACAAAGGCTTATCTCATACCTGATATAATCATAACTGATATAAAATTCCCATGTTACAGAGAAGTGTTTATTTTTATTGCGGTATCAAAAAAAATCTGATAAAAGCAAGGAGATCACACCACTAATAGTCTTCACACTGGCTGGCGGCTCAATGACTGAGAACCACAGATCTACTGATTAAAAGTGGTGCATTAATTGTAAACAAAGTTAATCGGATTTGGCGACAGCAGGCGCGTTCCCGTGGCGCTTCTAAGTCAATGAGGAGGCAATTGACATCGCTATCCATTGCACAGCAATTATTGCAGATTTGAAATCTGCGAGAGAGAAAGTCCGGCACGATCGGTGCAGCCGGCGCCGCAATTACACACATGCCATAAATAGGGGTGGTTGATATCGCGCGTACAAACGGGTCCACGTACAATTAATAATTTACATAATAAAATCGCCATATATAAAATCTGGAGCCGGAGAGAGATGCTGTGTAAATCTTATTTCTCGGTGGCGCGGCGCGCGGAGATCACGTGTGGAGGCGCGGCGTGCGATTGGCCGAGCGCGAGTGTGCACGTGAACAGCCGCCAAGTGACGGTCTGACCCTTTCCCCTGATCGTGGCGCCACCGACTCTGGCGACTCCCCTGCCAAGAGCCAACTTCTTCTTTCTCTTCTCGCAGTCCTTCTCGCAAATTAATGCTCGTCGCAGCTCCCGTCGATGAGTGGCACCGTCGGCCGACTAACGCATTTGCCGAATCGGCGTGTCATCGGCGGCCTACACGTTTTGAATGAATGAGACGAAGGCCCTTTTCCCTCGGGAGTCGCACCGCCGCCGCAAGGTCACCGAAGGAGAATTCCATTAACTCTTCATAACAACAAACCCACTTCCTAGGTGAGTTATTATTTTTTCGGGCCCCAAGTTTCGCTTGACAGTTCGTTTTCGGTTTTTAGGATGCGAAATTGCGCCTTCTTTAATTCAGAATATTGCGGGCGTGCTTTATTGTGTATTTATTTTTAGCGCGGCGCCGCCGGCCAAAGCGTTGCGGCATTTTTCACCAGACGGATTTTACACTTTAAACTATCTCAACTGACAGAGACTGCTCTGATTTTGCTAGACCGTGTTTATAAATAAACTGATATTCGGATCGGCGTACGTGATTATTTACTGCTCAAATAGCCTGTCAAGATCGAAAATACAGCCGGGCAAATGGTGCGCACAGCGGGTGTGAGGATTTTTAAAGGCTTCTGTTTTTAGAACTTAGAACGACAACTTGCTAATTTTGAGTGACTTTCGGATTAGGGTTAGATCAGCATTACACCCATTAGACAACTTGTCCTACTTAATTATCTAATTCAAAAATTATCCATCGAAAAAAATAAATTACGTACATTTGGATAAAATGATTCATAATCTCACAATTGAAAATAATTTAATTCAATATTAAATTAAATGTTTTGAAAATTATTACATTATTAAAAACATAATAAGCAAGTTTTACGACCACATTTTCAGTGACTGATCACTAAGTGATATGTGACGTCACATGCCCCCGTTGAACCGCAAACAAGTCAATTTCAATGAGCTGTCAAAAATAATTTTATTCTAACTTTCAACTCCTTCTATTTTCATAGAACACTCACCACGACTTCAGTAAATAATTTTTAATTTTGAATATTTTTTTCTAGTTTTAATTTTACTTTTACTCAATTCATTCTTTTGACCCATTTTGATTTTCGACTATTCAAAAAAAAAACCATTACGCTTTTTGCTTTTTGTTATTGCTTTATTATTATTTTGATCGAAGGCGAGAGTGCGTTGATTGATGAATGAACTTCACACTAAAAGCACACAAGCAAAGGTCGTCCGTCATCGAAGTATAAAACCGAGAGTAGTAAAGTTGCCTTATGTAATGTATTTATGCGCGCAGACCTAATAATGCTCCTCGCGGTGAAACAGGTGCTGCCTTGCAAACCTTGCACACGACCTCTGATTCAGAGACAAGATCGACTCATTCGCTCTCCGGCCGTTTGATCTCCGCCTCGCTCTTCTTACCTTGAGCCGAGTCCTATGTGCGAGAGATGCTGTGAAAATGTTTTATATAATATTCCTTTGCGCCAAGGTGCGTTTGCAAAATTTGGCCTACGCACTTGAAATGAGCCGATGAATTTGGCAGCTCCGGGGGCTTGTTGGGGCCTTGAGCCGATCTAATTAGTGATCGCGAAGGGTTTTTCTGGTTGAAGTTCAAGTTCGACCGACATAGCACAGTTTATAACTGTGGTTGAAAATAGGTACTGAATAATTATTTATTTATATTTGCTTATTTTTAAACTTTAATTTTGAAGAGTACACATTAAGTTTTCTATAAAACAATTTACTGAACAAAATAATAAATATTTTATTTTTTATTCAAATTTTAAAATGAAAATTAATGCATTTTTTGAAATTATCTTGGATAGTTTAAAAAAATATTTGATTTAATTTAATGAACAAAACTATTTCACAACCTAAAACAAATTTGTTTACTTATAAATAGCACAGTAAAATATCATACACTTGATATTTAAGGTTGAAAATAGTTTTTATTTCAATTATTGTCAGTAAAGTTTATAATCTCTGTGTTTTTACAAAAGTTAGTATTTTTTAAATTATATTATTTGAAATATTTAAAAATAAATTTTCATCTTGATTTATTATAAAAAAAAAGTTGGAATTGCATCATAATTTAATACAGGATTAATGAACTTACTGGCCTTCGAGCTCTAACATTCTAGTAGTTTTGTGCCGCTAAACATTTTTTGCCAAAAAAATTTTTTGTTGTCATTGATCGTCGGCTTTAAAACCAGCTCTCCATTTTTAGACCGAATTATATTGGAGAGCGGCGCTTTTTCCTTTTAACTGATATGGAAATGCTGCGGACGGCCGCCGTTCAAAAGGCAATAACTGAAATCAGCGAGTGGCTCTGATTCGCTCGAGGGCTGCTTTTTGCACGCGGAGCCAGTTAAACTTGATTCAAACTTGCATCAGCCAATAATGGATTTCAGCCATTCTCAAACTTCCTTATAAAGCGGCGACTTGAATAATTTGATAAAAGTATAGTGTACGTATTTTACCTGCGACAATCAAAGTGGGGAATGTTGTGTGTAAAACATGCACTTAACGTCAATTACCCGCACACAGATTCACATCGCAATTGAATTATCCCCGCTATTTACTCACGACTCTGCTGGGCGTTTTATTTTCTTCATAATTTTTAATAAAATCGCACGCCGCGTTCAAAAGTTGTTTTGACTTTTATTATTACTTGAGAGAGAAATACTTCGACCATAAAATGGCACTGGCGAAATTATAGTTGTCACACACGCCTGTGCAGAACGAAAAGCAGACCAGTCTATCCCAAATAAGAAGTCGGTCGAGGGCCGACGAGTTCTCAAAAACAGCGCTCGATCGATTTGAATAAACAACAATCTGCGGTGGATTAAAAAAAATTGTTGAGCGAGACAGAACAATCAAAAAGTTTTAAAAGGAGAAACTGTTTTTATCACACCTGTGGCTGCTGCTTTTTTTATTTTTAAATACACAAACAAATTTCCCAGCAACGGCGCGCCCACCTTTGGTCTCGGTTTGTTTGACCTTTTAACTCTGAAGTGTCTTTCTTTCTTTCTACCACAGACACTCTCTGGCTCGAGTAGAGAGCTAACAAAACGAGAGTGCTGGCTGTGGCACCACATACAATCGACGGAGGAATTTGAAAACGCCGACAGAGAGGGTGCAGCCCACGTACTCGTCGCCTGAGGGATGGGAAGCAAAGAGGCGAGGGGCAGATTCTTGTGGGATCAAACGGGCATGCCTGCTGTTTCACTGCCGCCACGATCGATGAGATAAATCTCTTTCACACAGCAGCAGCCGCTGGCTGGCATTAATATCTCGACTTACACAAAAGGGGTTTATAAAGCGAGTCAAGTCAGAGGATCAAAGTGGGTTTTAATGGCAAATCGGATTTTAAAATTCTCCCTTTAATCAAACGTTTCTATATTAAAAATTGAAGTTAAAAAATTTGATAAATTATCATTCATGTCTTTCCATTTCAAATTAATCAGTCTCCTTTTGCCAACTTGTGTTTAGTGTCAATTTTTAGAAGCTTAAGTTTTTGAGCTTTGCTTTAATTCATTTTGATACGACCAGGATAAATCAAAGACAACCGCCAAGCAATCTCTTTTTTTACCCACGGCTTGAGAAGCGATATATAACTAGAAATAAATGCAGGAAAAAAAGTTGGTGCTTAAAATGTAACAGAATTTATTTTAAAAAATTAACAAATTTAGATTCGCAAATTGTGATGCCCAGCATGACGTCTTATTTGCCGTTTTATTTATGGAGGAAGAGACAACGCTAATTTATATTTAGGTGTCAGAGCGGTCAGCAGATAGTCAAGCTCCACCAACCATTTTTATTTTTAAAATCGCGCGACGGTCGTGTCCACGTGATGCGCCTTCACGTGTCCTCCTTTTTAGAACCACAGCCCTACCTTAACGTGAACTTTTGGCCATTTAATTCTACTCACTAAAATCTTTTAAAAGGAGACATTTGTAATGAAATAAAAGCCTTTTTTACAAAACAAAAAATCCTCTTAACAAGTTGTGGCCACGGTCTGCGGCTCTATTTCATGAGACGGAAACCAAAAACTAAAATGAAAATACCACAAAGAGGAAAAAAAATTTAAGCATGTGGATTTTCAAAAATTTATAGAGGTACAGACGTTTACCAATATATGAATAAACTAGACAATTCAATTTCAATATATTAATTTTTGATTTCTCCAGCATTATCTCTACAGAGTTGCATAGTAACAATGAACTCGTTCACAAACGAGGTGCAGCATTTTTGAAGTGGGCGAAAAGCAGGCTGGTGCATTCGAGATCGTAAAAAAGGTTGGCTCGTTAGTCTGTCGAACTCGCGTCCATAATACAAAATTGAAGGCGGCCCCACCTGTATACACACGCATTTATATGCATACATAAAAAATGCATCTCTTTCATTTTCTCTCTCTCCAATAAAGGAGGCTGCTGCTGCCGCATAATAAATAAAGTGGCAGCGCAAGAGACGCTAGCCGAGAGAGAGAAAATCCGTGTGTTCTTTTTTAGATTCACGCCTTGATTTATTTGCATTTAAGCAGCTCTAGCGCAGAATTAAGAGATAAATGCAAACCAGTTTGCACTTTGCGAGAGAAGTGTTCGTAGCGAAATAAAATAATGCGACCTGCTTCTTTCTCTCGGTGGAATCGGCTGCGGCGGCGGCATTCATAAACACGTTCACATAAACTGTGTGTGCAAAGTTCTCTTGTATATGAATTATAAATGTAGCGAGAGCCGCCGTCGCGAGATCCACGCCTTTCCGATTGTGGAAATGCAAGAAAGAAGAAACGCACTGACTCGAAAAGTACTGCTCGTGGCCGGCCGCTGCTCAGGTTGCATGCATTATCTCGCCGCTGCTTTGTGACAAGATTTAAATTTAATTTCCAGCAGCGCCGTTTCTCGAGCGTGACTTTGTGTGAAAAAAACCCTGCCCTGCCTATGTGTGCAGAGCTGATTTAAATTATTATAATACTCTCAAGAGAGCGAGAGAAGAAGAAGAGCTGCCCTCTAAAAATTTATTAATAGCGATTGTGTGTCTGATCGTTAATCTTTCTTCTGCACGAGAAAGAATGCATTCTTAATCAGCACGACAAGCGAGTGGAAAATTTAGCTCTGAAAAGTGGTCGTCGGCTCTCATTTGCCTCTACTTGGAACTGCCGGCTTTCCTAAAACGGACTCGAACTGGCCGCTCGCTCGAAACATTTTATTCTTTTATCTCGCAAAGAGAGCTACTTTAATTGACCATTGCTGTAGTTATTGTTGGCTCGCGTTTGCATAAGTACACGGTTTAAATTTAAATTCATGTTCTGCAATTAGCGCGACTAAACGCAGTCGTCACATCGCTACTTTGGTCTTTCACATCCGTATGTTTGTTCATTAGTGCCTTGACACGAAATTTGCATATTTTATTTCTTGAGTTTGGGCGACGCGAGCATTACGATGATCACGTCGAATGATGATGCATTCAATGTGCGATTATGCGCCGCGTTGAAGCCCTTTATTGACGGTTGCACAAGTCGCTTGCAAATTCGACATTATTCTTGAAGGCAGCGTAACTTACTTGTAAAGGCACAATTGTTATTTCAAGCAATTCAAGGTCTGGTCAAATCGATCGCTGTTGGATCTAGAGCATTAGAAAATTCCTACAGTATTATTTCTCAAATTTCATAACAATTTATTGCTGGTATACCTTTATTTATATGTTTCAATTTTATAAAATGTTCTAACAACTTGTTATATCCTGATAGTATATAATAGTCTTCACACAAAATTTTAGAGAAATATTCATGATATAGTGAAGTGAATTTGAATGCAGATTTTCCTTAATTTTAAATGATGGCAAATTCAAAAGAATAAATTTTAAATATCTTTTTGCGTTCCGTATTTGCTAAGAATTAAATTGAAGTAAGAATCAGAATATTTATAGAGATAGATTGAAAATATTTAAATCTGTTTATGTTTTTCAAAACTTTGCACAAATCACGAAAATCCTTAATTTAACCACCCGCTACTGCTGAAGGGTGATAAAATCAAATACCAATTTCAACTGGCAGTAATTTTTTTAGTTTTTTAGCGCTCCAAAAATTTGCTTAGTCAGATGTCAAACTTGGAAAGAAGCCAAAAAAAATTAGCCGGAGGCAAATCTTGCCCAACCATTGCAAGGAGCCAAATCAGCACAATGCACACATACTTCTTTTCAATTTGATTTTTGCATTCGCATATTCATAGTGATAATTTGCTGTCCTTGAGCAAGGCGAAAATTTAGCCTACGCTTGTTGGCAAGCCGACCAGAAAAGTCTGTTGCTGAGCGCGCGAGAGAGAGCAACGAGACGTCGCGCGACTGATACGGCGTCGCTCGGCGCCTATCGGCCGTATCATCAAACGGGTTATAAAAATGTGGAAAGTGAGGTCTAACTATTCGCTTGCACAAATTAGATCCGATTAAATTAAGTGTCCAAAGTGTCACCACCTTTGACTTTGCGTAATAATATAAAAGAAGCAAATAACCTTGTGCAGTCCTCAGAGACATAAAATCCACACCATGTTGTTTACGCACTGCAGCCACGCGTAAAAAACGAATGCTAATCATCATGTTGAGATCATGTTGAGAAAAAGTGATACGGTTCCAAAGTGTTTGACCCGTGACCTAATATAATGTTGCAGGCAGAGACACTCTTCCGCCAAACACACCCGAGGCCGGCTCTGAACTGGAGCGAAATATTTTCGGACGATGCCCGCCGACTACGAAATGATGATCGCGTCTAGTCCGCCAGTATTCAGCCGCAGCCCGCCAGTGTCGAGTTGTCTCGCCACCAACTACAATTACCTCTGCAACGGCCTGGCCTACGCCAATGACAACAACAGGTCGTCGCTGAGGCGGCGCGAGGCGCACCAGCAACAAATGAACCCCAAACTCAGGGTCGCTGCGGCCGCGGCGACAACCGAAACGACGCTTGCCAAGAGCGCCGTCCTGAGGGCGCAGGCGCTCCGACCCTGCCTCGTGGTCAAACCCGACGAGGACGTCACTGACGGCGACGCGTCCAGGCTCAAGAAGAGGGTCGTCTTCGCCGACGACAAAGGACTCTCCCTCACCCATGTGAGTAGCTCAATTTATTTTTCAAATTATGTCTTACTTTTCTGTTCTCCACACCCCGAAAAATCGGCGCGCGTATGGATACTTGCTACCCTTACAAAAAATACATAAAAGATAATCTTTTCTTAAACTGACACAATATTTAACTAGCAAAAACAAAGGTGCGAATAAATGTTGAAAAAATTATTTAATAACAAAATACCTTTGAATTAAAAATAATAATTTTATTTCATTGATCAATCAAAAGTTTTTTATTTAGTATTTCATTGTTATAAATGTTTCAATTATAAGTTTAAACGAAGCAAATCGAATTGAAAGAAAATTTTTGAAATGCAATAGATGGCTTCGGAAATGCGTAAGTGGTTTGGGGTTTATAATAAATAAATCAAATAAATCTTCAATAATAAAGCCTTCAAAAAATCAATAATTTTCTAATAATTATTTACCCTTTGTTTAAACTAACAACAATAACTTATGAGTTTATAAAAATTGAATACAAATAAATTACTTTTGATCAATAAGATTTTTTCAAATTCAAGTGTATTTCTCATTTTTTTTTATAGTAATTAGTTAATCAGTGAAAAATTTTATGTTAACATCAAATTCGTATTTTGTGTATTAAGGGTAGGAAGTTTCTATACGCACGGCGATTTTCGATAACGATATATCTCCCACTGTGCTGCTGCCTACCCTCAGATGTGTAGAAATTACAGGGATTTGCATTTTAAAATTAGATAACGTGGAGGACATCAGCGTGAACTTGAATTTTTATTGATTTATCTGTACCTAATTCTCATGTTTATCTGAATATTTATCTAATTTTTTGTTACAAAAAATTGAACTTGATTTTTTCTAGACCAAGCAGAATCAAAGTCATTTGTTTATAAAGAGCTTTAATCAATCAATTCATTTTTTAATAATATATTAAGTAATTGAAACGCTATCTATACTGTCATCGTACAATATTTTGCCTTTTTTATCCTAAATTTAAGCAGAAAAATGTTTTATTTTTTTTTTACTCGTTGAGAAAAAATAATGATAAGGTCACGAAAACAATATTCAATGTGCGTCATTTAGTTAAAAAAATTGGTTCGCGTTAAAAAAACTTATTGTGGTTAAATTTTAAATGATGTTTCCTCTCTCATTTGCGTTTACGAGAACCAGGAAGGTGTTTGTTTTTACCTCAAGAGACTAATGGACGCGTCTCTATAAATTTAACGTCGCTCTTTGCTTCATTCTGAAAAGTCAACACGAACACCGTCACTAAAAAATAAATTCAACAACTTCTTCTAGAATAAACCAACATTCCCTTGTGTACCGAACATTGATGAGTTGTTTGTTCAATTAACGCGTCTCGTGCCAGGAGTGCCACTGCATATGATATTGGCCTATCAGTGCTTTAGAGTCTGACCTACATTACGTGTGTCTTTTTGTCACATTAATCAGCCCAGCATTCAGCAAGTTGCTACAATTAAAGCGGCGCTGGCTTTATAAATCAAGAGCGCCAGGCATTGCACTCACCCCGACCTAGAATTATGTACCGTCCTTGTCTTTATCAGCATTGACAATTTTAAAACTCTTTCACAAGCTAGATGATATTGAGGTTTTTCTAAATAATCTTAAGCAAACGTAATTTTTTTTCTGTAACCCAATTAATGATCTTTAAGAATGAAAATGGTGCACTCGGAGAATTCGATTTTTATCAGGGATTATCTCCTCAAGTGCGTTGGAATGAAGCGAAAATCCAAGTGTGCGTCATGGGCCTTTTCACGATAAAAAGTACAGTCGGTCCTGTCTACTATTTACTCTTTTCCTTATTTTGCTCAACCAAAAGCATCACAAATACCAAAATAGCCAACTGCGCCGGAATTCAACAGAGTCGCGACACAGAACGCTTTAAAATTTGTCCTCCCGCCTGCTCGGCATTGTAAAAATTCTTTCTGTGAGCAAATAGTCTTGTTGCGCTTTGATAAGGATCTAGCACGTTTTTAGCAGTCGCTGATTGCCGCCAGCCCCACGTGTTGCACAAACACAAAAATACACACACGTCTTATCACGACGAGGACAATGCCGAGTTCACATGTTTTTTTTTGTTCGCATCGTTGCAGCAGATCGACAGAGGCGCATAGATAACAGTCGCTCTCCACTATTCACTCTGTAATCATAAATTGCCATGGTTAATGACCCGCGTCGTCGTGACAAAACCGATAAACGCGAGACCATAAATTATGTAAACCGCCGGGAGTAGAGGCCAAGCGAAGCGCCATTAAATTAATTAATATTAGCAGCGTGTGGCAATTAAAAACGAAACTGGAATAATTGTTATGTTCAATTGCGGCACTTAAACGTGCACAAATAATTTGAAACACAAGTTACAGGATCGGTTTTGAGCTGTACGCATTATTGATTGAATTATAAAAGCATGCGTTTGTCGCTTTCGAGTGAATTCACATGGGGAAAATCAGTGGTATAAAATTGTTATCTCTTGTGTGCATGTATAATTAATTTGTCGTGAATGGTTCATTGGTCACGAGAAGAGAAGATGCTCTTTGCACACATGACCTTCACCTCTGGCGAGTTGTCCGATGTAAACACGCCTGAATCAACCAACTCTCGGCCGGTCACGTTTTGGTCAAGTGATGGGCTGACGCGCAGTCGTCGCGCCTCAAATTAACTAGCAGCTCATTAGATAGATCGAAGATGCAATTTCTGATCGATTGGAAATTGGATCTGGGTTCACATCCTGATGGTTGTGCAAGAATTGTTATGCTTGCCAGCCGATTTCGCTAAATCTGGCCGCCGCAAGGTGACTCACAAAACGCGCGCCGCCAAGCGAGAGATTAGCCAAAATTTTGGTCCCCGAGCATATTCAAATGACACGCGAGCCAAGTTTATTGGGGACTTCTTTTATTGTCTGCGCCAGGTTTTGATTCAAGCCAAGGTCAAAACGTGTCTGTATATTTGCGATTCAAAATAAAAGATAATAAAATTTTTATTTCTCATTCAGTAAATAGAGAAATGAAGAAATTGCATCGTAAAAAACGGCGTGTCAAGAGGTCATGTGATTGTTGGAAACAATAAAAAAAAAAAAAACTCGCGCGCCGATTGACTTTTATGTACAACTCGGTGTGAAATGGGAGAAAAAAGAAAGCAAAGTACTTTGCAGCCAATCAAGTTATTTTCCGTCAGTTTCATTCATAGTCGCGGTCAACTGTGCATAAATGAACAACACACGCGGAGCACTTGGCAGGCAGGAGCACGACGGTCGCACAATAATAACATTATCGCACCAGTGTGATCTTTATTAATGCAGGGCAAGAGGCGCGGAGGCGGTATGCAACCGGTTGGGCACGGATGCATAACGGCGCAGTCGTGCCGCCTCACTGCAGGCGATACCGATCAGAAGCCGGTGAAACGAAGCACGAAATGCTACAAACTTGCTGAAGAAAGTTTTATGTTGACATTAATTTGCTTTCATTGCCTCCATCGGACTCATTACACCGCATTTACATGCAAACATATCTCAGCCTTTACTATTCCATTCAGCTCTGAATTGTTAAAAAATTCAAATTATTTCCCCTCCATGAATTCCGCAAATGAAATTTTGTGTGCGAATTTCCGTCCAGCTGCAGCAATAAATCGTGAAATCAGTCTGAAAGCGGAGCCAAAAATACATTTTTCTTTCCGCCTCGTTAAAGGCGCGTTGAAATACTCTGGGGGGATGGTTGCCAAGTTCAGCCAAGTTCCTGTCCTATCCCAAAATATCCGTCTCGTTGAATGCGACTTCAAGTAAATGTGAACCAATAATACGGATCAATCTTTTTCATATCTTTTTTTTATAACTTTAAGCAAAGAGTATTGAATTCCAAGATGATTAAAATCCATATTTGGAATTGCTAGGTTTAAAATCTCATAATTTTTTCTCGTTCTTTTTTAATAGAATTTTAGGTTGACAATATTTGAGCCATTTTTTTTTGTTCATTTTCTAATTCCCTAATATTAATCTTCAAAATATTACTTTCCTATAATTTATGTAATTTTTGCTGATTTGTTCTGTCTTTATCTGCTCTAAACCTAAACCTTGCTTTTATCTATTTTCAGATCCGAATTATGAGCGAACCCTCGCACTGCCCGCCTCTGTGGACGGTTGACTTCATCGCGCAAGTGACCAAGGGTGCGAGCGTAGAGGTGGCGCCGGAGCCGTGGGAAGTGACGTTCCCGCAGCCGGCGTCCGACTACCTCAACTTCCGGCAGCGACTCGAGCAGACCAACGTGTCCCTGGAGAACGTAATCGTGAAAGAGGCCGAAGAGCTGATCGTGGGCACGGTCAAGGTGAAGAACATCTCGTTCCACAAGCAAGTGTTCGTGCGCGTGACCTTTGACGACTGGGCCACGCACGAGGACGCGCACTGCACGTTTGTGCAGAACAGTCCGGCGTCGCTGGGGCCTTCGCAGGGCGCGCTGCCCGGCTGCATCGTCCTCTACGACACCTTCTCCTTCCAGCTGCGGCTGCAGCCGCGCGCCAAACGCGTCGAGTTCTGCGTGTGCTTCCTGAGCGACGGCCGCGAGCACTGGGACAACAACTCAGACATGAACTACGTGCTGGTCAAGTCGGTGCCGCCCGCCGACAAGACCAACAACAACAACCGCATCATCCCGCCGCCGAGTGGGCAGCAGCGCTTCAACGACGCCGTCCGCGCTAAGATGGACTCGTGGTCCGAGTTCGCCAGCTGGAACCACTTGGTAAACGACTCGCCCTACTGGTGACCAACCCACAATCACCCGCCCGGCTGCTACTTCCAGTTTGGCTTGTCGCTGCACAAGTGAGTGTGACCGCCGGCGCCTTCCGAGCTCTCTGTACTTTGTCTCTCTTTCTCTTTCCGCTTGCTTTTTACTAATTCGGGGGTGGGTAATGAGCGGTTTTCTTGCTCGGTCTGTGCTTTCATTATGCCGGTGAGCATACTTAGCTGCTTCATTGTTGTGCGCCGGGTTCATTCGAGGCTTGATTGTGGAGCATGAAATTGGGTCGCTAAATATCTTGTTACCCAAGTGCAAAAAGCAGGTGCTTCCTCGTTTGCAACTCTAGATCGCGCTAAAGCTTATTTTTAGCGCAAGGCCATGAAGTAAATTTGAAATTTTCTGCAAACCGCTGAAATATTTTATAATTAGTTAAATTATATCTATATGTTAATCACTTTCATTGCTGCTGATATCCAATTTTAAATTACATTCCATTAAGCTTTCTAGGGGCATAAAAAGCGAAAGTAAATGCAAATAACTCTCGGGCTTATCTTACACATGGCTTCTTTTTAGAAAGGGTGTTACAGTTATGGATGCTCTCAGTGTCAAGTCCTCGTCACTTTTCTTTTAACAGACCTTCCCCTTGCAAAAAGAGAGTTTAGTCATTATGCTATTTTTGAATTGGCACTTTACTAACGAATCAAACGCGTCATGTGTTCCAGGCCAGCCAAACCGCCAACGCAAGAAACCTGTGCCCGATGCCTGCCAGAGACGAACAAAAAATCGGCATCTTACCTTGTTGAATGAAGTACCATCGTTTTTTGTTAATCTATCTCTCTCTTTAAAATGGTAATGGAGGCGAATCCTCTGATGATTTAGGAAAAAAGTAATTTTACACCGATGTGATCGATTTTGTGCCTTTTCAATTTAAGTAGTTTATTTACAACAAACACAAGGTTCCTTTTGTTTCTCGAAAAAGTGCAAAAGGAGGTACCGAAAATTGTCTAGATAGAGTGAGATCACACTTATATACAAAGCTTGGTCAACTTTTGTTGTGTACATTTTGAGTGAATATCAAAAGGCCCCACAGAGACTCTTTACACCTTTTTTAACTAAGCGTCTAAGGGAGACATATTAATTACTTTTCTTTTGGTACCTCAGCAGTGGCGGTAATTAACGCACTGTAGATAACTAACTGATCACTGCGACGAATTAAATGATTGTACGTAAAATACAGGGCCGAGAGAGCAACTTCACACCTAGTGTTAAATGTTTAAAAGTCCGAAGCGCTGCTGTGTGTATGGCACAGAGATATGCAAACCAAGTGCCATTTGCGAGATGCCATATTATATATTTGTGAATACTGTGGTTTTAACCAAACTTTTAACGAATTTTAAAACGCATTATTTCAATCAAGATTGGCGTCTGCGTACGTTTTTAGAAGACATTTTACTTGTGCCTGATTGTGAAAAACTTAAAGAGACGTGTTAGAAGAAATGAAAGTGTATAGTGTATCTATCAATTTATAGATGTTGGCTTTTGCTGTCTGGTTATTCTCTATGAGAAATGTATTCAGACTGATAAATCCATGTGTATATATATAATTTTTCTGCTCGCGTCATTTGAATACGCGACGAATCAAAGTGAATTTTGTGCCTTAGCCATCGCGTGCCGGCAGTCCCTGCTCTCGAGGGCCGCGTTGCGCGTGTACAATATTATTTTATGTAAGTGTATATCAATCTCTCTGAATTTAGTCAAAAGAAAAAGTGTGGCCACCTTTTGTGTCAAAATAATTTTTAATGTAAAATTGTGTACAGTTTTATAGCGTCTCTCACTTTTAGTTTCTGCTGCCAATTGATTGATTGTTTTTTTTTCTCTTTCTTTTTTAATATAAAATACTTGTGCGTTGCAAAAACGGCGTGAGGACTTTGCCCTGCGTTTGCAACCCGAGAGCGATGTGTAAAAATAGAAGCGCGAGTGTAATGGGGCGCGCGTTCTCTCGGCAGCCGTAATGTCAAGGAACCCAGTTCGAGTGGGAATTACTTGTAGTATTTATTCAGCGGGTTTGAGCAATTTACCTTCTTGTGAGTGTGAATTCATGGGACTTTCGCCGACCACAATCATAATTATAATAAAATGTGAGCTATCTATATAATACTACGATCGAATTCTGATACGAAATAATACGAAATGTGTTGCAGATTTAAATATATATTTTGTTGATATTGATTAAGACTGATGCGAATATGATCATGGTTATGATGGCATGAGAATTTTAAATCGATTTTTTTATGATGCGCTATTTTATTACAAAATGTTGTTGTCCATATGTGAAAATAAAGAGAAATAAATACACGCCTGAAACTAGTGAAAAAAAATTAAAAATTTTATTTTATACATCAAAAATAAAATTATAAAACCTGCGTAAAAATTTTTTTTTCTTAAATTAAAAAAAAAAGAAAAATTTCAGTTTTTCATACATTAAAAAATTACAAAAATTTATATGAGGATAAAAAGTTTTTTTCTATAACTCAGTTGAAAGCATTAATCTAATTAAAAATTAATTAATTACTAATTAAACAAAGTGTATGAAAAAACAATTATTGAAAAATTAACAAAAATATGTGTCTGCAAATTTTGCCTGACTCAACTGCCAATTAATCGTTATATTGGTATTTGCGCTTTAAAATTATATAATGTTGTTATGCAAAACGTAGAGATAAATTTAGTAGGCCCGCATAATTATCAATAAGCAAATGCGAGGGCTCGCAATCAAGCGCTTATATACAACCCCGAAAGTGTCCCTGGAGAACCACACATATAAATGGGGCAATAAGAAATTACAGGGCGCGCGCGAGAAAAATCGAAGAAGATACTGCATGGGCCTGCATGCTCGGGCCGTAGTTGGATCGGCGGCCACGAAAATCATCATCATCAATCATTGGCGCTCTCCTCAAGGACATGGTGTCGATTGGTTTGCATTCAGGGGTGGTTCTCCGCTGATTCTCTCTCCCTGATTTGCGAACTGTGTTTTGATTTCACCAAGTCGAGGTACGTATCAACCTTGGGGTCCGAATCGGCGCCCTTTCGCGGCTCCCACGAGCGAAACGACGGCGCCGTACAGTCGCTCGCACAAATAACAAGATTCCCGCACGAACGGGGTGAAAGTGAATTTCAGTGACCCCCCTTTGTAAACACACCACTCGTCCAGCCCGCATTCAGACCCTCTGCGTCCGATTGTCCTTTGAGCATCACCCTTCAACCTTGTTTGTACCCTCAGGGTCTCTGTCCGCGAAAATTGGCGCGATTTTCACGCACTTTCGAGGCTGTCGGTCGTGAAATCGCAGCGTTAAAGTGGAACTTTTCAGCCGCGGCGAATAAAGTGTGCATTGCGGATGAATTTCTTGATGGGGGTTTTTAATGCATATTTGGAAATTGTATCGGATTTTTTACATGATTATATTTATTTGTGAATCAATTTGAAACTTAAAACTAAAAAATAATTGCTAATTTGAAGGTTTTGAGTAAAATATTTTGTGTTTTGATAAATTATTGCCCAGCATTTTTTATTTTGTGAAATTCAGATTAAAAAAACCGATCCCTTCAAAATTGATTCAAAATCAATCTAATATCTATTTTAACTACTGACAAGGACTTTGAAAAACATATCGCACCTTTTGATAAGACCAGCATTTCCACTTCCGTTTTCATTTTCTTGTTCTAATCATCACTGCTTTCGTTTCCAGAATGCTTTGACTGTGTTTGGCTGCTCACGATCTAGTCAAGAAACTGCAAAGTAACACAATTATTCCGTCGGCGCCACCATGAATAGCTATAGCTTTTCACTGGCAGAAAGACTGATTCCTGCCACTTACTTGCAACAAGCTGCGTCTGCCAAGAAGTCCAGAGAAAATTTAATTAGGCAGCTCATCGAACAGGTATTTTAGGGCAAAATTAGCAAGACTTGAGAAAATAATCTGGATTAAAAATTTGCAGCGAAAATGGCCAGAGGACGGCTGGGACGACGCAACCATCGAGTACTTCCTCTCCGAACTGGCTCAAATGGACAGCAACAACTTCCCCGGACACAGCAGCATTGGCGAGCGGGAAGCGCGGATCGCTTCCTCCCTCGTGGCTCGCAGACACTACAGAATGGCCCACGGCATTGGCCGCTCCGGTGACCTAGGCGAGGTTCAGCCCAAGGCGGCCGGCTCAAGTCTCATGAACAAGCTCACCAATGCCTTGGTATTGGATGTAATTAGGTTTACAGGTGAGCTTGGAAAATAAATAATTTGAAAAAAAAGATCAAATTTTTTATGTGAAAAATTTCAGGTGTCAAAACCTCAGCAGGTTGTTTTGTTGTGCCGATGGCCACGGGGATGAGCCTCGTACTGTGTATGTTAGCTTTAAAACAGGAGAGAGAACAAGCCAAATATGTGCTGTGGTCCCGAATCGACCAAAAGGCATGTTTCAAGTGCATCATCACAGCTGGCAAGTTCAATTAAATTAGTGTGAAAACGCTCTTAATTATTTATTTATTAAAAACAATTTAATTCAGGGCTTACACCTGTCGTAATTGAGCCAAACCTAGTGGGAGACGAACTGAGAACAGACGTAGCAGCTTTAGAAACACAAATGCAGCAGCTTGGGCCAGCCAACATTGTCTGCGTGTTGTCCACGACCAGTTGCTTTGCCCCACGAGCGCCCGACTCGTTAGAGCAGGTGGCAGTCTTGTGCGCCCGAAACAACATTCCCCACATTGTGAATAACGCCTACGGGCTCCAGAGTGCCAGATGCATGCATCTTATCCAAGAGGCTTCACGGTAAGATTGACGAAGTTTGGCAGAGAAAAATTTGTTCACTAACTAAATGTTTAGGAAAGGACGGGTCGATGCATTTGTACAAAGCACGGACAAGAATCTCTTGGTGCCAGTCGGTGGAGCCATAATTGCCGGCTTTGACAAAGGCTTTGTCGAAAGGATTTCCAAAATGTACCCAGGTATTTGAATTGATCAGCACTGGATTATTGAGGATTGCAGTGATTGATGTTTGCAACAGGTCGGGCTTCGTCCAGTCCAGCGTTGGATGTTTTTATTACGTTGTTGTCTCTTGGAGTGAAGGGATTCAAAGACTTGGTGACGCAACGCAAAGAGATGTACTCACTGTTAAAGGAGGAATTGGGCAAAGTGGCCCAAAAACATGGAGAACGACTTCTAGAAACAAAGAGCAATCCGATCTCAATTGGTATATCTTGACCTCCGCGTTTCTTTTTTTTTTATTAATTATATCGTTTCTAATTTCAGCTATGACCTTAAGCTGTCTAGCTGGAGGTGATCCTAAGAGCATTTCAATGCTGGGCTCGATGCTGTTTTTGCGATGCGTCTCCGGCTCCAGAGTGATTACGGGTGTAGAAGTGAAAGACGTCTCTGGTCACAAATTTGAAGGTCTGTATCAACTATAATTTTGCCCAGTTGCTCAATTAAAATAATTGCAGGTTGGGGCTCTCACCACTCCTCCTACCCTGTCCCCTACCTAACAGCTGCAGCAGCCATTGGTATGAGGAGACAAGACGTCGAACTATTTGTCCACAGACTTGATAAAGCTCTAGGAAAATTGAAAGGTTGAAAACTCTTTTTAAATTTTTTATATGAATTAATTATAATTAAAAAAAAAATCAGGGCGAACTTCTGCATCCACTCCCACGTCTGTCGAGGAACTCCTGTCGTCGTCCGGCCGACGGGGTGCCACTAGTCGGTCGACAAACTCGTCTGTTGTGAATGGTGACGCCGAAGCAAGTGGCTCCAGCGCCGGCACCTCGCTCGCCTCCAGCAAAGACAGTTTGAGGAAGTAGATGCAAAATCAGGCAAAACACAATCTTAATCTTACTCTCCATAACCATTAAATGTTGCCATGCCCTAGTTGCCCCAACCAAAATCATATCCTTTACACACCCATTGTTTTCGCTTTGGTCGTCAAGTTTGCTTTTGTACGTTTCACGCATTCCCCCCATTTCGATTGGCAAATTACACTGCGGGCGCCAAGGCATGTTGATGCATTTTTAGGTGGACTTTATACCTAGCCGAGGTCATAATTTTAGAATTGAAATACATTTAAAGAAAAAAAAGATGGTGACGTTTGAACTTATTCCGGCCTGTGTAGAGTAAAAGACGTAATTTGAACGCCGCCGTTCCAATTTATGCAATGCATAAATAAGACATAAGTTGCTACTCTTAAACAAATTCTCAATCCGAGTACATTCCAAATGGCGAGACACGAACACACCCACACACAAAAAGCTAAATCATGTTACAGTGAATGGTTTTTGATCTATTAAAAAGAATTTAAAAAAGATTACGCAATAAATTTAAGATTAAAGGAGGAACACCTTATATAAGATATTTTCTCTAGGTCATAAGGACATTGGGAAATCGAGTTTTTACATTCAAATTGGTTTGTACAGGTTGAGTAGGCATAGGAAGGACTTGCGCCCCCTCGGTTGTTCCGTTCAATGCGTTTTCTCCCAAGAATGCAAGTCGGTTTGCACTTCTTCTGAAAAAGAGGCTTCGATTCCACTTGTGTTTGTACCATTTAGGAAAATCTTGGCAAGTCTCGGTCTTGCATGTTAAATAGCTTTAAATATATTTCTATAGGTCAGATCCTCACAGGGCAAGATCATGATTTTTTAACTAACGCAAACAGGGGTACTAGAAACTATTCAGAAGTCACACGCCAATACTATTTGTACGTCAATATGTGCGCGGTTTTAATTGGAAATTTGAAAGGTATGGGAAAAAATAAAAGAGTATAAAACAATTCTTGGGCGGTGCGGCGAGCGCAGATAAAACGCAGAATCTCCTTCCGGTTAATTAATTAATTTCCACAGAGCGCACCGTATTAAAGTACTTAATTAGCGGAAGCGTCGCAGAAAATGTTGGTGTGGGTCTGCGTTTTCAGTAAAGACACAATTCTAGTCAGCTGAAAGTAGTGCATGTCGATAAAGAGACACTTTTTCATTTTGAAAACGGCTTGATTGACTCACTTTAAAAAGACACACACACACTCGTTACTACTTCTACTTGTAGGTACCGATTTTCGACAAGATATTCTTCAAAACGAATAGCGCAAGTTGGACAAAAAAAAGAGAAACAAGGAGAAAATAATGACACCCTAGTTTGTGGCTGTTGATTTTTCTGGTTATTGTTTATTGTTTCAGCCAGTTCCTATTCATGTTTGCTTTTGATATTATTGTAATTAAATCATCACTAGCGATTGGTCAGTGAATGCTATTACGGCGACGAATAATAATTTATTGTTAGAAGGATGAAAGAATAAATGAACAAATAAACATTCAAACCGCCTCTTGTTTACTTCCTGCCCAATTCAGCTTCACGCTTACATGCGTTTGGCGCGACTAATAACAGAGAGGACAAATTATTTATTTGCATTTTATGGCAACCTTGAAGACGAAAAATGCCACATTTTGTGTCTCATCAAATTCTGAATTTATTTTCAAGCAGCAAAATTTTTGCACAACCAATTTTTACATTTCTGCCTGCAATACACATTGGTTAATTTTTTAACACAAAATTACTTGACTCTAGATCACATAATTTCCAAACAGTTACATTTTATTACTGAGAACGACAAAGCATTATTTTGCATTATTTAAAAAAATCATTAAAATTCTAATTACAAAAAAAATCACTCCTGGTGGTCAAAGGAAAAGTCTCTGCGGACGGATTTTACAAATTAATCTGAGAAAAATTGATCAATTAGTTTTGTTCAGGTTCTAATATCGTTAACATGGCACTTTCTTAATCAGTATTGACTACAAGAATTTCTCTGTATAGTTAACTGGCAGTATCGTTACACGTAATAAATAAATTAAGTATATTTGCATAATTTTTAAATACAGTTAATTCCACATTTTATCAGTCGAGCGTGTTCTGGATCTGAAACTCGATGTCCTCTCTGAGTTTCAAGATCACCTTTCGGGCTGTCCGGTTGTGCTGCGGCACCAGAGCCAGGGCCTGATTGACGTCGTCCTGGGCGCATTTCAGTTCGCCCAAAACCAAAAGTGCTCTTGCCCGTGCAAAAAGGGCTTCAAATGAGTCCGGGCGAATTCGCATCGCCATTTCCGCCAGCTGGACCGCTTCCTCACAATTCTAAATTTTCAAAATAATAAAAAGAAAAATTAATTTGTTATTTGACTTACGTTCAATTTGAGGTTGCAACGTGAGAGATTTAGCAAAAGCTGCAGGTGCAAGAGCAAAAAAGGCTCGCAAGAGTTCTGTGCTGACGTCGGAGGGAGTTTCTTGATGGCGTAATAAAAGCGGTTGGCTGCGTCTTGATGGCGGCCCCTTTTGTACAGCAGGTTGCCGTCTTCCAGCAGCCGCTGCAACAACATCAGTCTGCGAAACAAATAGGTGAGGCCATCAGGATCGATTTATTGGCTCACTAACAATGAATCACTCACAACATATCGGGCTTTCCTTGTGCCGCCTGCCAAGTTGCCGAGCTCAAACTTGGCTTCTTCTTCAAAAAACACTGCACAACCTTTACACAAAACTTGCACGTCAGAACCATTTTTTTAAGTAAATTCATAAAACTTACTGCTATGTTTCCACTTAAAATTGCTTTCTCCAAAGGCCTCAAACCGTTTACGTCTGTCCTATCAACTGCTACATTATTTTCCAAAAGTAACTGCAAAAATTATTAAATAAAAAATTCAGTTAATTATATAATTTTTTTAATTTACTTCTAAAATTTCTGGATTGCACTGGCTTGTGGCTGCGTCTAGAGGAGTTCGTCCGCTTTTGTCTGTCTGATTCAAATCTGCGCCGTTGTCGATTAGGAACTTTGCCACCTGAACCCTTCCCTTGTGACACGCATGACACAAAGCAGTTACTCCTTCCTTGTCGGCTCTGTGAATACTCGCGCCTGAATTTGACAGATTTAATTTAATTTCAAATAAGTTTAAACGATGAAAATTGAAAACTGGTTCCTCGTTGCAAGAGAAAATAAAAAAATTAAACTCACAATTTTGTACGAGTAACTGGACGATGGCTAGGTGTCCTTCAAGTGCGGCATACATGAGTGCCGTCCGGCCGTGGTAATCGGCCTGGTCAACAGGCACACCCTTTTGCAGGAAGATCTCAGCGGTCGGCCAGTGACCTTCTTTCACCGACACGCACAAAGGCATCAGGCCCTGAAATATAAAAGTGATTTATATAGCAAAATGTTTCTCGGGAAACGATTTGAGGAGATATTTGAGATCAATTTCCTCATACCTTGGTGTTAGGTACCATAACCGATGCTGATTTTTGCAAAAGTGCCTGACAAGTCGCCACATGACCTCCGGCAGCCGCCGCTGTGAGAGCAGTCTCACCGTGGAGAGTGTCTGGTATGTCGATCGGAACACTCCTGTCCTCCAAAATACACAAAACCACTTCCGTTTGCCCCTATTTAAATATGATGAAAAAAAAAATATATAAAAAGTTTCTGATCAATAAAAAATTTAAGTATTTTTTCAATTAATTAAGATAATATTAAAATTGAAATTTTTTTTATTAAATTGATATATTTAAGTCTTATTACCTTGGCAGCGGCAGCCACGAGAGCTTGATGCTTGGCCTGCGTTTTGTCCAATCCAGTCTTCTCAATCAGCACAGTTTCCTCCCTGCCGCAGGGGGTGCCGATTTGGAAAGTGCTTTCCACTTTCGCAGACGCCCACGGAAAGGCGAGAATTTGCTTAACTATTTCTAAGTGGCCTCCGCTGGCTGCGTGCACCAAAGGACAGCGGCCGGAATCGTCCGCCACTCCAACCAAAGTATCGGCTCCTGATTTTGTTGTTGTTCTTTTAAAACTGTTTAGATAAAAAATTAAATAAGTACCTGGAGCTTTAAGGAGGACGGAGCACACGCCTTGGTGTCCGGCAGCGGCCGCCAGGATGAGCGGAGTGGCGCCCTTGGCATCAGTCAGTCTGGGTTGGGCCCCGAAGTCGAGTAGGCTGGAGACAAACTCCAGAAAACCCAAGTGGGCCGCGGCACACAAAATAGGAACTCCACCGAGAGCTTCAGTTTGAGCATTCGCGTTGGCGCCCGAAAGCAGCAACAGTCGAGAAACCTTTTAAATATATTTATGTATAATATAAATTAAATTTATTAAAAAAGATTTTTATATTTAAATGTAAATTACCTTAACATTAGGACTGAAGACATTTCTGGCGCAGCACAGAGAGTCGGTGACGGCCTCTGAAGCGCTGAGCAGCCACTGAGCTTGCATGTCTCGAGACGTCAGACACTTTGGCATGTTGGGTGCGTTTTTGAAAATGTGAGCCTTCAAGATGTGGTGGCTCAGTTCAAGAGTTAGCTCTGCAGTTAAGGGTTGTTGTACCCTGCAGAAACGAAGGGCAATCCCAGCGTGTCCTTTCCTGCAGAAAAAATATTAACCAACCCCTTAAATCCATAACAATATGCAACCGGCAAAGCATATAATATAATATATGAATTGCAGGTTGATTACTGATTTCTGCTGATGGGACACAATGTTCTTTTCCCAGATAAATATTCTCGCTTTAAATCACCATCAACAGGAAACCAATAAAACTGTCATTATGTTGTGCAAGATATTTGTCTGCGCCTTTTTTTTGGTTAAAAAAATAATAATAAAATAACAGCGCTGAATCCGCTTTGAAAAAACTGGCTAGAAATCTCTCAAGAAAGGCACTATAAATATCATCTTATACTTACTTCAGATCACAAACAAATTTATTTTCATCATTTCCGCCGCCTTTAATGAGCCATTCCCTAAAGGAGGGGTGGAAGAACATGTACGTGTCGTCTGTCCTCTTCACTAGCATTCCTTCGAGCATCTGAAATTCAGCACCACAAATTGTATTCATATTTTTTTTTTTAATAAATTTATAAAAATGCAATTTTTTTCAACTCACAGAGAATTTTTCAGCAAAAGTGTCCCAGTTGTCGGGCTCATTTTGCAGACTAGTGGCCGAGTGGTAGATCTCGATGAGATTCAAGGGATGCAGCGAGGCGAGGCAAACGGCCAGCAAAGGTTCGACCTTGCTGAAGGAACTCTCGGAGGTGAAACGCAGGTTGCATTTCAAGAGGAAGAGTTGGTGCAGCGTCGTCGGCAGCACCCGGTAGCCGGCGGCTTTGGACACCAGGTGACCCGCGTCCATCAGATCCAGGGTCATTTTTGTGAATAGGAAGGAACCCTGCGCCAGGTTGTTCAGGTGTTGGGCAAATTTTGAGTGGACGTGATCAAAGTGGGTGTTTATGGAGCCAGTGAAAGAACCGTTCATGGAGTTCGTGAGTGAGCTCGAGGGCGAGGAAATGCTGCTCTGTATTTTCGGACTTGATTTGATTCGGAATTTTATGTATTCCAACATGTCTCGCTGGAGGCTTTCGTTCGCATGAGTCCGATCCAAACTTCAAAATTTAGAAAATCAAACATTAATATTTGGTTAAAATTAAAAATCTTTTAATTGTAAAATTTAAGTTCATTAATTTAATTTGTAATGAACCAAGAATAATACAATCCTCATTTTAAATAAATATTACACCACAAAAATGTTTTTTATAGACTGAAGTTGTATAAACAATAGTAATAATAATAATAAATGTTGCTTCAAAAATTTAAAAATTAAAGAAAAATATAATAAATTTATTTAAAATATATACATTAATTATTCGATAGTAATATTTATACTAAAAATTATTTTATGCATGGAAATGAAATTTTTTTTAATTTTGTATTGCAATAGTAAATTTAATTTTAATAATATTCAATCTGTGTCAATTAAAGTATTACAATAATTATTGATTTACTAAAAATCTTACACTTAATATGTATTTTTTAATATTGTAATAATTTTAATAAAAAATAGAAACTTTTACCTTATTCTTTGGAATGGGAGTTGCGACGTTAGCTTTTGTAGAGGCGTTTGAACCGTCGCGATTATTTTTAGCCATGGAGGAAAACTGCTCAAGTGCTTCACGAGAAAAGCAATGAGAGCTGAAGTATAATCAGGCCTTTGTAAAAATTTCACAAATCAGTTCCCAATTTCAATTGTAACACCTTTATTACACACCTATGATATTCCGCTTCACCCAAGGCGTCAATTAGAATCAAACACGGCATTGACGAAGGTATTCTGTCGTGCTGCGCCAAAAAAGTAAGCGGCTCTAAAATGCCCCTGGTCAGAGCTCTGTCTGGGTCTGCGATACACTCCTCGATAGAAACCAATTGCTGCATAATCATAATATAAATTACATCTTATTATTATATTGCACCAGTTTTCTCTTTCGTAAACTAATCAGGAGGAAAACATTCATGCAATTAGGAACTTATTATTGATTGAAAAGGTGAATTCTATAATAATTTGCTCACCTGCAGGTGACTTTCACTGTTCAATTGTTGCCTGTAAGCCTCCATTTGCGGCGCTTGGTACAACTGGGCCGCCAAAGAGTGGACGAACTCGGGCACATAACAGGTGATGCTGTTGTCTGCCTGGCAAAAGTGATAACCAACCACCATTTGCGCCAAAGTGAACATCTCGTCGCAACGCAAATTATTTAATTGCTCGTCTTAAATAAACAATAAAGAGTTATGCAAAGAAAAATAAAATTATAATTATTTTAATGAGCTTACCAGGATGCATGACGTGACCTCGGCCAAAACAAGATTGCTCTACCAATTGCAGTAGAAAAGCAGTTTTTCCAGCACCTTGATTGCCGATAAGTAAATATCCCGCACCCTTCTCAGTCATGACACCGTTCAAAATTTGCTTGAAAAGCCAATGTCTTCCAATAAACGGAGGTTCTGGTTCAAGTTGCGGAACCTAAGAAAAAAAATAATATTTTTCTGTGAAAATTACACTGATAAAAACGAAAATTGCGGGAAAGTGCAGAGATTTCACTTTCTACAGAATCGATCTGCACTTGATTGCTTTAATTTTTCATGCCTTGCTTCTTTTCTTTACAAGGTACTTTATTTCGTGAAAAATTTGCTCTGCCAGACGGTTCTTTGTTCTGTCAAACGCAGATGAGATGTGCATGTAGACACACAGAGCTAGTGTGCACCGAGTGGATAATAATTGAGCGTACCTCAAAGAAAAGGGGCCTCAGCAAGGGAGTCGACGAGTGCATTAAACTTGAGGTGAGCGCCGAAGAACTTTTGGCGGGCGCTTTTTGTGCAGCCGCGGCTTTTTCCTTGCGGACCGACCTCCTGATGGAGCCGTAGTGCCGGTCCATTGTGTGCGAGTCGTCCGATGACGAAGGGTAAAATCCTTTTGCATAATCAATGAAAAAAAAAATAAAATAATTAAAAATAAAAATATAATCTTCGGCCTATTTTCCCACCTGCATAGGAGAGTCTGTGCTGCGCCAGTCCGCCGGAGAACATAGATTCACTTGACGACGGGTCAAGGTGGCAACTGTCGGTCGATTTTTTCATAGTCGAGTACGGACTATTCGTCGATTTTGTGTCCTAATAAACATAATTAAAAATAATGAGAGAATTTGAAAATTAATCTACCATGGCTTCCACTGAAGCGAGCGACATGCTGTCGTCCTGTTGTTGGCGGCTTTTGGACAGATTCGCGAATTTTCGTTGCAAAGATCCACCCCAACTTGTGTTTGATCCCTCTCTGCACGGGAGTTGCTGATACGTGTCGTGGGGTTCGCAGTCAAAATTGTTGGGGGTTGAAGTGGTCATTACAGGGGGCGGTCTTCGCGGGTCGATTAGGTCTTCTTTGTCTGTTAAAAAATTGATAATTTTAAAATGACTACTTTGAAATAAACAAACATACAATTCTTTGTTATTGAATGTGATACAAAAAAAAAATCAAAACACACACACATAATTAGTTAAAACCTATAATTAAAACAGAAAACAATTGGATAAACAATTTTAGGGGGTTAAAATATTTTGGAAATCAAAAAAGATTAAATCGAAAGCCAACGCATAATTTGAATAAACACAATTGTTTCTTGTGCTATGTTGCACAAAATTGATCTAGTTATCTTAGTTTTCAAATGTGTTTAAGGAAAATGAATTATCTTTGTAAAATTTTAAATGACACCAATAATCATTGCAAAAATGTTTTTTCAAGAAGATGAAGATAACAATGACTTCCTTTTGTCAGAATATCTTCAAAAATAATATAAAGCATGATGCAGCGTTCTTCAAAATTATGACATAGTTACATAAAAAAAATTTTTGTTCATGATTACACCCTCCTAATTTCTAAAATTAATCTCAATCGACACTCCAAAAGTTAAACAGTCAAAGTTTGGCAAGGGAAAAATAAACTACAGTGCGAGTGCTCATGCTAAAAACAAAACAGATTTTTTTCAAACAAATAATCATGCAGTGCAAACAATCACTGCCATTGCCTATTTGATTGAAGTTGAGGCTGCTGGAGGAGCCGCCCGACCAAAGAGAGCGAATTTTTCTAAAGACCGAAGATCCCCATGTCTCGGAAGACTCCTGTCTGGCCGCCACAGAAGCTATAAAAACCATTGGTTAACGCACGCGGTGGCAAATCACTGTTGCTTTCACATAACGCGAGAGAGTAATTGTAAATAAAAATGAAACATCAGCACAAGTACAGGAAATTTTCCCGGGGAGTGTACCAGAATTTAATATGCCGCGATCGATTCCTGTTTAGAAAGGTTATTATATTTATTTAAATAGTTAATGCTCATACATTTCTAATTACACGAGTTGTTATAATTCATATTAGCACTCCTTATCAATTAAATAGTGGAAGACATTTATCTCGAGAGTGAAAACGAAAGTTGATAGAGACACCGCGCGATTTTCGCTGAGAGACTGGCGTCAACATTATTTGTAAGGCGAGAGATAAGAGAGAAAGAGAATTTGGGCGTGTGATCAAATTGTCAGTATTTTCGACACGACTTAATTTTACAAATAAGAAAGTGAAATGCCCGTTTTCCTTGAGTGCAGTGCGTAATAAAATTCGGTGCAAAGTGTGTATGAAGATGGAAAAAAACCGACTGACCTGCGAGCGGCGGGTTCTGAATCAATCTGGAGCCAGACCTGGCGTTGCGGTTCGTCATGCCGTAGTAGAGCTTGGTGCGCGCCGACGGCTCAGCGCCAGAAAAGCCTAAAACGGGACACGCGAAAAATGTCAGTTAGAGTTAATTAATTCCATAATTGGGCGGATGAAAAGCGCCTCCGGCCGGACAAAGATGATGATGAGATGAGTAATCTGGGAAGAGCGCTTTTTATGGTTCGCATTAATGCGAGTTGCTCTTGTTCGGCGGGAGATAAAAAAGAAAAGCAAGTTTTTTTTATCGAATTAAAGAATGAAACACGGCAGCGATATTCGAATCTTTCGGCCTTAATTAAAAATATTTATGCACTTACTTTTGGACATGACATTGCTCGAAGAGAGGCGGGAAGACTTGGAAGGCGAGGGACGCGACCACCACAGGGGCGACGAAGAACTCTCGCTGTTCGGTCGAATCTGCGAGAACGTTAAAATTGCAAGCGGCTTAGTTGGCGAAATTCTAGCGCGTTTCAAGTGAGCCTCTTGTTTTCGCAGCCGCACCACTGCTGTGACTCATTTTAAATTCTTTCAAGTACACCGACAGCGAAATTTATTCTAATAATTAACATCTACTCGAGAAAATCGCCAAAAATAAAATTCTCATACCAATACCAATTGATCAGCTAATTTTATTTTTGCCAATAAAAATAAAATCAATCCCAGAATAGATCAAACGCTTGGCATTATTTCGCGCCAACTCACCTGTGAATTTGTGAACGAAGCGCTGTTTCGGTGCGCACTTTTCGAGCCTTTTGCGCTGCCCGTCGAGCTCGTCATCTCGAAATTCATCTCTGCTTCCGAGTGTCTGGAACAGTTGCAAAAAACGATTCACAATAAAAAACAGAGTCCGAGCACACCTCGAGCGGAGGAATGGTGGCGGCCGCGGCAGACGAGAGAGAAAAAAGCGCGTGGTCTGGCCTTAATCGCGAGGGCCGCGCGGCGGCGGCGAGACCGACTTTATTTTGGCTACTCACTTTTTTCTCATTTGTGCACTCGGTGCGTTATTTTCACGCTTCGGAATGAATTACCGCGTCTGCCAATACGACGCGCTTTGCCAACACTCTAATTGGCCGCTCTTCGAATTATAATAAAAATAAAATGCCTTTTAAATGCGCCGAAAAAAATTCCTCGGACGTCGTCTGCTCGCGAGACAAAGGCTAAAAGCTCTGAAATAATATAACGCAATGGAGAGACTGGGGCGCCCAATGAGTCAAGAATCAAAGCTAGACTAGACATGCGTTATTAACATTTTGTGATGCAACCGGCTGGTGAAATTTCATTTCAGGGTTGGGTGAACTCTTTTCGTTTTTTTATTATTATTTTCAATCAAGGCGCATGTCTGCGGATCTATTTTCCACACAAGAGGAGCCTCAACTACGAATAACAAGCAATCCAAATTACCCGTGGCGTGGGCGGCGCAGCGCGCACCCACAGGACATACCACAGCACCCAAGCGTCCGCTCCAACGAGCCATTCAAATGCTGTGCTAGTTGGAAATAGACGCACACGCCAACTAAAACACATAATTTTATATATTTGTGTGTATGCGCCTCCGACAAAAATTACTCGGCCGTCAAAAGGGCATTCAACAGGAAGTTTGCAGACGGCGGTTTGCATTGCGAAAAATAAATAAAAGAATCGGAAGAAAAGAAACGGAATATTCTTCATAGGGGCAATGTTTGGTAATTTATGTGTTCATTTCAACAGAAATTATATGACAAAAATTTAGGTGCGGTGCAAACACATTTATTTTAAAATAATTTTGCAACACATTGTTTTAAAAATAATTTTCATTTTTTTCCCCTAAAAAATTCATTTGCAAGTTTTTCATGCTTTAAAAATATCTATAGAAATTGAAATGTTGAACTTAGAAAAGTTCACAATAAAAGCAGCATTAAAACCTTACCTAAAATTACTTTGTGTCGGCATTTATGTAATTTTTAAATATTATTCATATTATAACATTGATTGTAACTTTTGATATTAATATTTAATTTACAGCTTCATATTGATTACTGAAGGAGAATTAGTTGTTGACGAAAACAGGTACTAAATTTTACTCTAAATAATACGATAAATATTAACTTAAGATCCAAAGAAATCTATGTGTCATAACGTCAAATTAAATGGTTGTTTAAGTTTAATCTGTTATAAACACAAATAATTAGAAATAATTGAGCTTAATGGGGCGTTTCCAGCCAAAATAGGCTGACTGTTGTCAAGGCATGCAAATAATCGCACCCATGTCGTCAACGAGAATAGCTTTTGTTTGACCATCGGCGCAAGCAAAAATAAACGAGTGTCTGTAAAAAGTCCCCTTCCGCAAATTGCTCACATCACGATTCACCATTCACTTTGCGCGGCACGTCTCGCGGTCCTCAGCAGATAAATGTAATATGCATGCAACAATCATACGCGGAAAATAACGCTGCTTAATACTTGTATAATTACTAATAAGGACCGAGACGGCTTACCATTGTGCCGAGAGGGATTAGGCAACCCTAGCTGCCAGCCCACGCTCCGTAATCAGTGTGCGTATCACATAAATTTCAATCATGCATACGCTGAGAAGTGCCGAGGACGAATAAACTCTGATACTCTTAAGACGGGATAATAGAGGATTGGCAGCGGCACGAGGAAGGAAATCATCGTCGGTTGGATCAGAGCGATTTCTCGAAATTGCTGACAAGAGTAACCACTAATTATTGGTGTCTTGAAATAGTCACTAAATCTTCAACTGGAAACGTGTTATTAAAGTTGTATGTAGGGAAACATACCAAAATACCAATGTTAAAAATAAAACAATTGCAATGATAACTAAAAAATTATGGATAAATATTAATAGTTAAAAATACAAATAAATATGAAAATAGTTACAAATTCATAATCTATTAGGTGAAATAGACTTTCAAATAGGGTTTTTACTCCAACGTTGTTTGTTGAAAACAGAGGAGATTTTGGCAAAGAAATTCATAAAAATTTAGCAGTAATTAATATTATAAACTTTTTAATGCTCCCTGTAGGTAAAAAATTAAAGCGAGCAAGTTTGAGATTTCCTTACATTTTAGTAGAAAATTTGCTTTAAAAATGAGGTGATTTTACAAGAAAAATAAAATAAAATTTGAAGATTTTAAGTTAGAAGCGATGAAATGTTAAGTTACATAATGGTTCACAATGGGTCAAAACTACTAAATATTATTTTAATTTGATTTAACTAACTTAATTGGTAGGCAGTTTCTTCTGCCTTTTTTAAATATGAAAATGTGAATATTAAAAAAAAAAATGATCCACTTTGCAATTGAACGTTTGCAATTTATTTATTTATAATTATAAAATATAAGGTGCCTCTCTCTATTTTTATCATCACGAATTAAAGTTAAATCTCTTACTTATTTTCCATGTATATACTGGATCGAGTCTTGATTTAAACTAAAGACCGTGAGGCGTTTCCGCTTTGACTAATACATATCATTGAAAGTTGTGGTCGGTCACATCGTCATAAATCCCCGAGGTGAGAGTTGATTTGTCACTTAATTTTAGATAGAGAAATAAACGCAGCAGAGGAAAAATGTGAATAAAAAGCAGAAAATTTCGATTGATTTCGCCGATTGCGTGGGAACAAGAAATTCCGCAGATTCTCCCACGCGCAACGAAGTTTGGTCGCAAATGGAAGTGCACGCGAATAAATATAAAATGTAAAAAGAAGGCAAGGTAAATAAAAAAATATATACCTTCAGGATGAGCGAGCGGGGTGGCCGAGAAGGAGAGAAAGATAGAAAAGAAGTCTGTCAGATCCGCCAGTCGGCCGGCATACTGAGAAAGCACTCTTCTTCACATAGTCCTCGACGAGTCTCAATCTAATTTTAGCGGCGGGCCTCGTGCGTTTTACGAATGTCAAGATAAAAAAAAACAAGAGTCAAAGTAGACGCACAAAAAAGAGCGAGCGAGGGCGCGCAATTGCCTTTCTAAATGTGATGCATGGTTCCTGTTTCCGGAATGAAAATAAATTCTTTAATCAGTTCTTTGCCCCGCGAGTTTCGGGGTTGATTTTCGATTGATATTAAGGGGCCCGAGAAAATTCGACGGCGCGTTTATAGTTTCGTGCGTCTACGGACCGGCTGGCTGGCTGGCGAGTCCACGTGTGCGCCACACGTCATTTCCACACCGCACACCGCCTTACAAGCTAATGAGCAATTCATTCCACCCTGATGGATTGTTAAATTTGAGACGGCCGCCGTGTCATAATATTGTGCTGCCAGCTAAATGAGGTGAAAATTTTTCGAGTCGTTAAATAAATTGAGTTATATTACTTGTCAAATTATAGCAGTTGAAATTTAATTTTGGACAAAAATTATTGAAAATATTTATGATAATTTATTTATCACTTCACTACTTAATTTTAATTTTTTTATATTTTATGTTATATTAAAACTTTCATATAATGCCAATAATTCTCTCTGTTAGAACAGTCGAAACAATTTTTTTTCTTTTATTATAAAATTTTTAAATTACGTGACAGAATCTTTTGTACGCATTTATCCTAAATTCTGATATCATTTTGTTTTTACAAATCTCATTTAAAAATTTTATTTTTAGGTTCATCACGTCTTCTTTTTCTGTATCCAACGGAAGAATGGCATTTTGGGGTATTTTTCAAACTTGTCGGGAAACAATTCAGTCTCAAAGGGTAACGAGACAGACAATCAATTTTTCTGGTTTGAGCGAGAAACAAGAGAATTATTCTGAGCTTTGGGTGCCGTTCGTCGTGACTCGCTATAAATAAATAAATGAAGAAGAGCTAGGAATTTGGACAAACGACTGGAATTTCTAAACAGAAATAATGTCAACCTGCACTGCGGTTACGTGGAGGCCAACAGGCTGAAAAGAAGAGCAATGAATGATGAGGCAGACAGACGTGAAACTTCTTCACTCGATATCGCCCCACAATTAATAAAGAACGCGGTTTTAATTGAAATAATACATACAATTTTGTATTCGCTCTGTCTCTGCAGCCACAAGTGAAATACACCTGCTTTGAAACACACACACTAATTGTGAGGCAATTGCGATAACATGAGAAGCTCCTCATGTTTATATTTTTATTTTATAACAAGACTTTAAATGGCTCGCTTTGCAATTCCTGCATACCTATGCGACTCCAACTGGCCGTGCCAAGTTTATTCTTTTCCTGGTGTTGATAAACGAGTTGGCAGAAAAATTGATCTCAGCTTGAAAGATAAGGAAAAAAAATTGTAATTTTGCAGCTGTTACTGCGAAGAGAGACGTTCCCACAATAATAAGTATTTTTTGTAACAATCATTGCATAAGGTAGTTTTTTTCATGACATGCAAAACTGAAGGCAGAATCAGCCAAAACCGAAACTCATGCATGCAAACATCCATCATTACGAGCCCTAATTTCACAATAATTTTGCCTTGGCCTGAGGCCTGCCTGTTTTTGTTTTTCACACGTGGCGTCGAGTTTTCACACAATTAAAAAACAAGCAATTATGATAATTTTTATATAAACTTGGAGGGAAAAGTATTATTATAATTAGGTTCCTACAAAACTAAGCGATTTTTTAATCATCAACATAATTATAGGCAACTATAGAAAATTTAAGAGGTGAGATTTAAGTGTGGTATGAATTAAATTTCATGAAATGAAGTGATTTAAGAAATTTATGATGAAAAAATAAATTACTGCTTAGTTAATGTTTCTTGATTGAAAATATATATTAGATTTAAATGTATAAAGGTAGGCAAATTTAGGAGAAGTGACGATTGATAAAAAAAAATTGATTTAAACAATTATGAAGTGAAATGAAAATCGAGTGGAAATATGGCAACACCTAAAAGGAAAAATGGGACTTAAAGCCTACCTAGGAATTTAGTACACTTCGATGAATTTTTCAGCAAAAAGCGGAAGTCCTCCGTCGGCTTATTTCAGCGAGACAGGGCACCAACCACAAGGATGCCGATCTCGCCATCACCATTTTTGTGCCCTCATCAACTTCTCGAAGTCCTCGAGTCGGTGAGCTGCTCTAGCTCACCACCGAGGAACATTCCTCCCGCTGGCTGGTGGCTGCTGCTGTTCGACGCTTTGACATGAGTGAACAGGTCAGCACGGAGATGAGAGACGATTCATACCGAGAGAAAGTGAAAAAGACTCCATTAATTATTAGTCTGCGCTGGATTTAAAGATTTGGCGTTAAAATAAAAAAAAACATTTATTTCCCAGTTCAAAATTGATAGATGATGAACTGAAATTGATAAATAAAATTTTATAAATGGGTATTTTTTCCTGGATATTGGTCTTTTTAAGCTGCAGTTTGTTAAATATGATGATAATAGCAGTTTTTTAATATTAAATTTCGTAGAAAAATTTCGCCGATTATATTTTTTCAGTATTTTCAATTCTATTAAATGGATTCAATTGCGAAAGATTTTTTTAAAAGCGGAAGACTTTTAAGTAAAATTATCATTTTCTCACTAGGAATTTTTTTAAGAATTACTAAGTACAGCAATATCCGTGAAGATAGTTTCCAATATAAAAATTAATTCATCAATTTCAGCTCATCATCTACCAATGTTGAACTGGAAAATATGAAGATTTTTATTTTAATGTGAACAATTTCGTTTTTAATTCTCGCGCAGACTTAAACGGAGCGGCGTATTTTACACTTTTTCTCTTTCTCTTCTTGTGAATCATCTCTCATCCCCGTACTGACCTGTTCGTTCTCGTCGAAACTCGAAACGCCGAACAGCAGCAGCCAGCAGGATGGAGAGAGGGGGAGTGTGTGCAACTTTTCAGTGCAAATAATTCAAAGATAACAAAGTCACCTCTCGGTGCCTCGGTGGCCCAAATTTTGCCGATTGTGAGCCGACAGAGGATTTCCCGCCGACCTGCCGAGGACCCCAAACGGACCAGAGACTCTAGCCATGCCGCCAAGGTAGGGTCAAATCACGAACTTAATTTTATTAAACGCGCGGGACTGACTTATTCGGGAAAATTAATTCCGTTTGGAGAGCGATAGCGCGAGAACGCAAACGCCCAGACACTTCTACAGGCGCTTAAAGTGGCTGCGTGGATTGAATCAAATCAAAATGAAATGCTTGGTGCTGAAAATATTAAATTTTTTATAACAAAATGCATTAGCTCATTAAAACTTTGAAAGTCTTGAGATTCTCAATCTACAGTTTTACCGTGTTTCACACAAAATCATAACGATGTTTGGATTTGTATGATTTGTTTCATTTGTTTATCTATACAAGTATTTAAAGTATAAAGGACAAAAAGAGGCATAAAAGTATTTTCGAGTATTGTTGAATTAGTGTCTTTTTTTTAGATAAAAATTTAGTACTGCGGAAATTTTAGAAGAACATTAAAATTGAAATATCCATAGCAATTTATTTCATTTTGATTTAAAAAAAAGTTTTGACAAAAAAATGTATTTTTCCATAGTGATTTGGATTTAAAGTCGGCTTTTCCTTAATGAGTTTTTTTGAGTTGTTTTTATTGTTCGAGAAAAAATTTGGAAAAAAAATCCTGCTCTATATGTTTTGGCTGCGGGCTGCAGCCAATATTCACCAATAATTTTTTTAATACAATTTTCAACGAGGAACAGCTCGTTTTCTTCACTTATAAAAAATTGTTCTAAATGCACCGTGTGGTGGCAGCAACCACCATGGAATTGTGATTTATCTAATCTTAATTGCGCTGTTACTCCCCGTATACTTAAGTTAAATGCTTCACATAGACGAGGAACTTGTGAGAATAAAATACATACTAAGCAAGCATCTTCAACTCAAAACGCATACAAAATGCATGTTGGCCGCAGCTATAAATATTTTTTACTCATTTTAATCGCCGCGTATTTTTCGTGGCTAATAATAATGCCCTTTAAAAAGCGTGCAGTTTTCGTGAAGTACAAAAAATCTTTAAGGGACCCATACAATCAGTTGGAAATTGACAGAACTGTTTTCGGACCCGACCTCAAGAAGGAAATCGTAATATTTTTACATTATTTATCTTATTTATAGAGAAAGTTAACACTCAGGGTGTATTTCATAAAAACTGAAGTCATAAACCTCAATTATTCATTTTTTTTTTTTGAATTCACAATTTTAGGCCAAAAAATTCAACGTACCTCTTGCAATGCCAGACAAAATTGCTGCTGGATTACGTTTTAATGCTTCTTGCGCCAAATACACGCCTCCGATGAAAATAACTTTCAGCAACATTTACTGGCAAGTTCAAGAAATAAATAGCATCGAAGTCACGAACTTTATGTATGGCGCCTACTTTGACAACCGGACGACTATCAGTGCTGTTCGCATCGTGGCATTTCTCACTAAATTTGTTGATAACGAGACGAGCCTCTACTGTCAACTGTGGTTTGAGGATGAACGGAAACCAGCAATTGACAAAGTAAATATTTTTATAACGTGCGAAAATTATAAAATTTAAATTCCAAGTCCCTAAGTTTGAGAGCAGTTCCAGTTAAGATATTTTAAAAAAATTATGCAAATTAAACAAGTTCCTTTAAAAATAATAATTTTCTGGTGATTAAACGCATTAAAATTACTTGCTTTTTTGTGTTTTTAAGTTTGTATTAATTTACTTTTAAAGAGGTTAATTTCATTAAGAATTTACATTTTTTCTCCGAAGATCAATCTTTTTTGTGCACAAAATTGAGCAAAATAATACTTGAACGTTGGTTAATCTCTATCATTAAGGAATAATTCATATTTCATAAATATTTTCCCTGCATTTTGTTGAACGTTGATTCTTTATAATGACGGTGCATGATATTTGAATTTTTGCATGTACAGTGGTAATTTTGTACGCAATATAATGTTTAGCACTTAATGAAGAATAAATAATAAACAAATAATTTTTTGCGGCATACTATTGGAGACTCAACTAATTCAATGGTTCATCTTTGAAATCGATTTTTTTTCTGTAATTTTTGCCCATGTTGAAGGGGCGCCCCAGTGTAGGCCCATATTGTACACTGTGAAGCCATTAAATTTCAAACGGCAAAAAACAAAAGAAAAAAGTAGTTTTCAAGTTCCACTAGTGTGTTTATTTTAATGGAATAGAAATTTCCCTGACTGGCAAATTATACTGAATAATGCGAATAATGAATAAATATAAATTTAATTACAAAACAGGCAATGCTAATTGTCATGAATAGCCAAATTCGGACCAGAAAAATGAACCTTCATCCGTACTTGATCACTTGCAACATTCCCTCGAGCATGTCGGGCAAGGTTCCCGCTTCAGTATCTTTGGTTGAAGCTCCCTGTGATGAGGCGAGCAACAACCTCAGAGTCATTTACAACCCTTTGCCTGCGGGTGAAACGAAAAAAGACTTCCTCGTCTGCGTCAAAGCTCTCTTTTTTCCGTACAAGCCACATATGGCTGTCAGGATTGTCGAGTGGATTGAGTTGCTCAAAATTTTGGGAGCTCAAAAAATTGTAATTTACAATTTTCAGGTAATTGAATGTGAAAAAATAAGGCTTTGAATTTAGAATATTTTACATATTTTCTTCAGGTTCACCAGAACATAACTCGCGTACTTGACTATTACTCAAGCAAAGAGAACTTTGAACATGTGCCTGTGACTCTTCCTGGGAAATTTCCAAACCACCCACATTTGATATCAGACTTTTTGGCCCAAAAGACGTGGATTCAATACATGAACGATATTGTGCAACAAGCCGATTGCTTGTACCGAAATCTTTATAAATTCAACTACATCACCACTTTGGATGTTGATGAGGTCAGTCGATAGAGAACATTTCAACCCGTCTGTGCAATTAAAAAATATACCCATTTGCTGGATTAAAGTACGAGAAAATTCTTTGTACCAACAAAAATCTTATAGAAATCATCCATCAACTTCTCTGGGAAAAACTCTCTATGAATATTCATAGTCTCTAGTCTAATAATAATCCATTTAAAATAATTACACAAGGTCTCCCATTCTGTAAGCGGTATTTGCCATGGACAATTCAATCAGACTCCAAAAGAAAATTAAAAAAAAATGATTATTTTTTTAGTTTTTATATGAAATTCATATTTGTAAATGTTTGCCTTCCATTTCAAGAACAAAGTACATTCCTCAAACTTGAAATTTTAATATTACCAAAATTCTTTCTTTAAACACAGCGATCATTTCAGGTGATTGTCCCCATTAGCAAGGACAACTGGCACGATTTGGTCTACGAAGTAGCAGTGCCAAGAGCTGCTCAACAGAATAAATCGTTCGCAGGTTTTGTGTCAAAAAACACTTTTTTCTTGGACTACCAGATTGAACAGCAAGCTTGGTACGCAGACGTACCAAAGTACATGCACATGCTACAGAATGTGCATCGCAAGGATTTTTATTACCCGGTCAATCATACCAGAAAGCATTCGAAGACTTTTTTTGACGTTGACAAGATTCTTTCCATCTTTTGCCACTACCCTCGGGATTGTATAACCAAAGAGTGCGATTATCTGATCTTCGACCCTTCAGAATCGCAACTTCAACACTACTGCGTTGGCCAGGGGCGAAGTCATGGTGACTGCAAAAATACTACTGATGCAAAAATCGTGCAAGACACTTCCCTTTGGAAATACAAGGATGAACTTGTTACGAAAACAAATAAAGTTCTTAAAGAAACTGGTTTTTTAAAATAAAAGTAGTAAAAGTATATATGGAACAGTCAATGCTGTAAATTCTCTCTTTTGAATCGATTAAAAATTGTATTGTATTGAATTTATGAACGATATATTTGGGCAGAGAATGCCCAGTGATACATAAACAAACATAATTTGAAACTATAAATGATAATTTTAATAGATTTAAAAAAAATGAATGTATAAAAAAAAATTCTTAAACGAGTTGTATTAATAAATATCTCAAATATCTAATAGCGATTTCATCAGATTTCACTAGTGAAATCTGATAGTTATCAATTTTTGCGATTTAAAAAGTGTCACTTTTTTGCTTCTTTTTGTTCAACGTAAGTTGGCACTCTATTATATAAAAAAATTTTCATCCCGGTTGAAAGAGCTCTTGAATGTAAAATTTTATTAAACTTCTTGTTTCTTATAACATATAATTAAAATCAAAGGGAAAAATTTACATCTCACTTTAGTATTTTCAAAGCAATTAAATTCGACATGCACCCGGCATTAAATATACATCTCGATGCCGGAATGAAGCGACTCAAGATCGTGTATACGTGTAGAATTTTACTGCCGCGTAAAATTAATGTTTTTCAGTGTGTCCATTTTTGTTGGGTTTGGAAAAAAACATGCACAGTTCAAGGCCCGCGCGTCGAGAGCATGAGAATGCGCATTAATTTTAAACCTGACTGAGAACCTAACCCACATTTGGCACGAAAAATTAACGCAAAAGTCCAAACAAGCGCAGTATAATAAAACACGCACGCCAGCAGTCAGGTTAATGAAGAAGAGACAAGGCCAACCGCCTACCAGCATAATAATGACAGTTGCCGCGCATCTTTTTATAATCACACTTAAAAGGTCACTTGCTCATATATTATACTTTGTTGGAATTTTCAAATAAAAAAACACCAAAATGTTAAGCAGATTAATAAAAAAAAAATAGAGGTGACACTTCCTTGATTTCACGTCTTCCGGTTGAGGACTTTTGCACATTTAATAAATACAAATAAAACGCAATTCTTCAAACCAAAGCTATTGAATGATTCTTGTTAAGAAGAATATCTTTATCTTAGAAGTAGAAGCCATCGACGATGAATTACTTGTGTATTTTTAATCAAATTAAGTTATAACTAGTGTGGTACGAATTTATTGATAAAAAACCTTTCAATCAACCGCAATCAACTTTAAAGTTGAACTCGACAATTTCATAAAATTTTTAAAATTTTTTTTGTCTGATTTCTCTGTCCAGTACATATGTACATCAAGATATGTGCTAATTTTAAATTAAGAGAAGTTTAAAAAAAGAACTTAATTTTATATATTTTTTGACATTTTTCAAATTTTTTGCTTGCATAGCTTGAAAAATAAATTAAGTGATCGATATTTTTAATTGTATTATTGGAAATCAAATGGTACACTGAGGTTCAAAATTAAAAGGTCGTGATGATTCAAAAGTTGGTTGTTATTTGAACAAAATTTTTTTTTTTTACTAGGAGTAAACTTTGGTAGAAATGTTATTTGCGAAAAGATATTTTTCACGCTCGAAACACGAATCCTCAGTTTAACTCAATAAATCAGAACCACTTGGAAGCTCAATAATTGTTCCATACCATATTTTGTACTGGACCACCACACTCTTATCCACTCTAGGAGGTCATAATAGATCTTTCTTTACTTTGCAATGATGATGATAGCGTACGCAAAACCTGCCTCCACAAACCATGTGATGTAATTTATTTTTTAAATTCAGGCTGTTCAACCTGAGTGTCTCGGCACAAATCCCGACGCAAAAAAGCCGGCGACAACCTTTCTCGCCGGCAATAATTGTGACGCAACGAGACACTCGTGTGCTTCTTGTGATCCAGTGAATGACTTATGTAACACAAACATCAAGAACACACGCGCGAGTACGTATTTTGAGCGCAGCTATCTCTCAACATCTTATGGGAAAATGTGTGTCTCTGCTGCACTAATGCTCCGTCGGATAATAGCACCGTACGTTTCAGCATTTCGTTTGTCTCTCAACTCTTTTTTTTATCAAGTTCATTGCCCGTTTGTTCGATGTGCGTCTTCTTTTCTTTCAACCCACTGGCTTTTCTTTGTGTCTCGAGACTTCTGAACCAGATTCCAGACCGTCAATTAGGTGCGTCCACACAAAATGGGACACAATGGGACTGATGCCCGTTTTCTCACTCAACGGCTCCCCGTCTCTCTTTAATTATCTCCGTGGGATATTAATTCATTCGAATCAATGGGTTAAGGGGGTGAATTGCCCTCATGCTTAACGACCCAATGTCTGGAATGTGATTCAAAGCGAGCCTGAAAGTCAAAAATAAATTTTACTATACTTGTTTTCGTTGTCTGGACAAAAAATACTCAGCTGTCGCGCTTCAGTAAAGATTTAAAATGCAACAGCAAGTTATCAAAATAATTAAGAAAAATCGCCTCTAAAATTTAATTATTACATTATTAGCCAATTCAATTCAGTGGATCATTGACAAAATCAGGATGCGTTTGAAAGGATCTCAAGCGACCGACACTTGCCAGTGAATTTCTAGGGGCGGCCGAGCATTCGTTTCGGCCGCAATGCAATTGAAAACCGCTCATGAAAGCACTCTGGAGATTCGCGAGCGTAAAAACCCAAGGCCGAGCAGAAGCAATTCACTTTCAATTTCAGTCTTTGTAACATTTCAATATCACTGCCTCTGTTTTTATTATTACATATATAAATATTTTTTTGTTGATAAACAAATTTATTTAAAATTTGAATAAAAATTCTCATTAAATAAAAAATTAACATACTGAGAAAATTTGCTCATTGTGTAATGAAATGTATAATTTTAATAAAATAAAAAAAAACTTTCTGAATCCAATTTCTAAGAATTTTTTTTCTAACACGAAGTTTTCACTGTGAACGTTTTCAAAACAAATTTTATGATGAATTGATTTATTTAAAAATAATACATTCAGATTAAAATATTAATTAAATCAACAAACTAGTAATTTCAAAAATAAATATTTGCCCACATTATTAACTTCAAACAATAAAATAAATTAAAAACAAAATTTAAAATTATCTTCATAATTATTTATTATCATAGAGGGCAGCATTTAATGAGCATAAATTTTAAGAGCCGCATTTTACTCGTGGTGTCCCGCGAGTTTCAGTTGTGTGATTTGATAATGTGCTGATGCTGCGATAAGACGAGAAAAAAACCGCTGATACCGCTGCTTAGAATTCTTATCTGGGTCTTCCACGTTGTGACTTTTGTAGTGCAGCGTGTGTATTTAATATTTGAACGAATTCGATCCACCGAAAGTATCCAAATATGGACGATCCAAATTTGGCAGGCGTCAATTTCGACCAGCCCATTTCGCCCGACAATGCCGACGAGATGCAAGAGATTTTGCAGAGAATTAAGGACCAAATGGCAAGCATGTCTGACGAGGATCGCGCTGAACTGAAAGACGGATTCGTCGGCAAGCTGGCGGACAAAGTTCGGGCGGCCGGACAGGGACAGGTGGAGAGAGGCGTCGCCGGCGCCGAACAGGGACTGCTGCTTCTCGTGGCGGTGCTCGTGCTCTTTGCCATTTTCGGTAAGAGAAAGTAAATGTTAAGTTTTATTCAAATTAGCTATAAGAGCATGAATTTTGATGATCTCGTTAAAAACTTTTGGGGTTAATGGCAAGTGAGCAAATCGTCACATTAATTAAATTGGACAATAAAACTTTCTTATTACTACTCGTCATAAATTTGAACGACACGTGTTTGTTCAATCAAACGTCAAGTGGAATAAGAGTTGTAATCGGGCACGATTTCTGATTTCACGCGAAAAAGGTCAGCGTTATAATTCAAAGTCATCGAAAATGCAGCCGACGGAGATGAGAGAAAACACAAATAGACAGAAAAGATAAACGGATACACGGAGAGAAAGAATCGAAAGCTTTTCGTGCATTTTCATTCAAATTAATTGTAATATAAACTGTTCGTACAATTCCGATTTTCAGCAATAGAGAGAGTTGGCGATCTACTCTGATTTATGCTAAAGCCGAGCATTATATTTTGAATGCACAACAGAGAAATAAATTTTCACTGGAGTTGGATTTCACCCACACTTTGCTATTAGGAAAGACAATGGCATTCATTTTAATCTTGAGAAACATTCTAATGATAATAATGGACAATTGTCCCCAGCTGCTATTTCAGCGGGAACGTGCATGTAAATTAATAGGAAAAAATACACTTTGTAATATACACGTTTAAGGGGAGAAAACTTGGTGTATTACTCATGACAATGAATTACGACATGAGTACAATAATGGATTTAGTGAGTTTATTTGTTTTGAAAGTTCATAAGCGGGCGAGGTGGGTTTGGTTTTCACTGGCTTTTGTTAAAATAGCATGTCAAGCGTGTCAAGTGCCGCGGCTGATGAAATCCAAGAAGAGCTTTTATAGTTACAAGTTCAGGATTATTTTCTCCTGTATTCATGCGCGACTGTGTCATATTTTATGAAAAGCCATACTTGACACCTACTTTAAAAAAGGGCTGGCAAATATTATATAATATTATGAAGACACAGCTAGTCTTTTGAATCAAAAAGAGAGTGAGAGTGTATAAGTGAAACTGATCTTTGGGAGGGTCAACAGGTGATGCAAAAAAAGTGTGTCGCGAAGTAATTTACGCAAACCAGTTACCATATTCAAATAAGCCAAATACGTTTTGAAATGAATGATTCACAGAGTGATTATAATTCATCTTTTTGCAGGAGCGATCGGCTACACAATCTACCAATACGTGAACAAGCAGGAAAGAAAAAAGGCCAGTGTGTCCAAGGCCGGCAAAAGCAAGAAAGAAGAAAAGAAGCAGCGCAAAGCAAAGTAAAATTATGTAGGAAACAAAAATAAATTTAAAGAAAAAGAAAATAATAAACCGCTTTCTTGCTAATTTAAAATTATTTGTAGCAATTAGAGGTAAAAATTCCGTCAGTTAAAATTAAAAGGACCGATCCTGTTTAATTATAATGATAACGAAATGAATGAATAACCGCAGATGGCATACATTCCTTGTTAGTGGAGGAAGGTCTCTCGCTCGCATCTTCTCCCACACAATCTCTATTTATCAAATATAATTACCGCAGCAGCACCTGTTGTCACTTAATTTATTGCACTTCACCCGTCCAATTCTGAAAGGCGCAACCTTGGTCAGTTTCTTGTGAGATGTACAGCCACTCCAAAGTCGTGCACACACGTAACGTACAAACTCTTTTATCAAGTTCAAGAATCACGTAATTACGCTCTCGTCGCGCAGATCCGCCATGAATCACGGAGTGCATTTTTTTTTTCGTCTCACCGGACATTCAATTCCTGGACGTCTAGAGGGCATTTCAAGTCCTTCCTGTGCAAATGAACTGAGAATTTTTTTGACAAAGTGAAAATGTGGCAATTTCATAATGCGGAATTGACCGTCGCGTTTGTCCTTTGATTGTACACGGCAGAGAGCCCGGAAGAGAGTCATCAACGCTAATTTGGTTTTTTTTGCATCTGTGGGAGTTGCTCTCTAAAAAGTCTCCGCAGCCCCGTTCTAACAGTATACGTAATTATATATCCTTGCACAAGACGTGCGTGATTTTTGCAGAGAGCATCGTTTCCAATCAAATACAAAAAACATAGCCTGTCATTATTGTGCAGCATTCTTCTTGCATTTGTAAAAAGCTTTGAAAATGCAGATAAAGATATACTATTAACTGAAGAATTTCAACGCCTTTACTTCATCACTTAATTTCATTCGCATTTTAATTTTTTTTTTAAATTCATAATATAAGCAACAGCAATACTTAATAATTATTAATTTTATGAATTAAAAATATTGAGAAATTTAAACGGGAAAATTGAAAAAAGTTCACTTTTGTTTGCTTTGGGCATCTTGTTACCCTTTTCTGTGAATAAAAATTTCCAGAATGAAAGCAATTGTGTTTCTCTCATTTGTCAGCGCTACATTAATTTTCTGGTTTTTATTTGACATGAACAATCAATAAAATTCTCCGTTATGGAGTTTGCCAAAGACAATGCAATGCATCATCGCAACGCCAAAAAAGTCGGCAGCGAAAGTGGTCGAAAGCCCGAATAATTAACAAGTGTTTCTATTGTATCTGTTTGTGCTGCAGTTTCTCCAAATGCGTTTCATTTCTATTATCGACAGCCGGATCGATCGAGGATTTTCAAAGGTTACATGAAATCCTTGGACTCAAAGAAGCGTGTCAATGGGGTGCAGTTCAGCGCACGTTTACTCCGCAGTCAGCTTGAGTCAAGCACAATGAAAGAAAATTTTATAGCCATAGCAACAACACACATCTCTCTGCATGTGCATCACACACAAGAACCTTGCAATAAATCACGATTGCGGCGGATAAATCTCACTTATGCAATTTCCAATAAATCCAATAATATTTTTTTTCCAAATTTCATTCAATTTTTTTGCTTTTTTCCAATTGGTGCTCTTGCTTGTTGCCCAGAGACATTTTCCATGACAAAAATTAATTAGATTGTTGCAAATTTTGTTGAACACATTTTATTTTTTCAATTACATAATTTATCAGGCATGCTTTTTGCTCATTTTATATTTAATTTTGTGAATCTCAAATTGTTTTAAAAATTTGGATTCAACTTTAAATTCAGTTTAAGGTGAAAAAAAATTTTCCTCAAACTTTTGGTCCTGTTGGCTTGAATTGGTTTTCCCCAAAATATTAAACAACTGCATCTTCTTATATTAATTATTTTTAAATCTAATTTAAAAAAATATATATTTGTATAGTCAATATGAAAAATTGGAATATATTTAAAATAAGTTTTATTAAGAATTTTTCTCCACAAAATATGCATAACTTTTTTTCTTTCATTTCGCTGCCTCTTGATAATTTTTTTCAATTCATAACTAATAGTAAATTTTGCGTCTTCTGTGTATTTATTTTGATATATACAATTATTGAATTTCGGAAATAAAAACCATCGAAAATTGTATATTCTAGAAAAAGTAGGACTTTGAACCGCATCAGGTTTTGTAAGTATCGCTGTCTATTATTTGCATAAAGTGGGACTTTGTTCGACTAACAAAGTGCATCCGAGAAGTGCAGCGCGTGTGTCCCTTTTGTCAATTCAGCGAAGGCACGTCGCCGTGAAAAGAGAAATCTGCCTGTTTTTCCTCGGATGGTCATTATCACCAATGTGCCGAGACGCGAGTGCGATTTTGTGTCAGAGAACAATCATCAAAAGCATGGGAAAACACGGCAAAACCGCCGTTTCATTTGTTTGTTTGTTTGTATTTGCCCGAGGAATTAGTCACGCAGTGCATTTTTGTCTCATTATTCTGCGTCCGTGGGTGCAGCCAGCGGAGTTTCTGCCGGCAATCAGAGATAGAGAGGCGTGTGTGGGCACTTTATTTGCATCGTGAATTCTGCAATGGAAAACATTGTCGACAATCGCGTCACAATCTTGGCACTGCAGTCACGATTAGAAGGCGCTTTACACGTGTAACGTTTATAACCATTGAGAATAAACGTACGCTATGAGCACGAAGACTGTGAATATGAATTATTGAAATAAAGTATTCATATTTATCACAAGTAAGTAAAGTTTGCAAATCTGCAAGATACTTTCAGTAAATCACAGACTTTTATTATTTGAACTGAAATTAATTAATAGCGCCAAATAAACTTGACTTTTGTAAATTTGTAAAAATAAAATTTAAATTACATTCAGAAAATCGCAATTAGATTTATTACATATTTGTATAACAATTTATAATTAATTTAACATTTTATTTCTGCGGGTGAGAGACTGGCAGTGAGGTTTGATAATATTTTAAGCGCTAAGTAAATTAATTCTAAAAAATCCACTCTTCAAATGTATTGACCTACAAAAGCTCCTTTTTGTTTGCTGTTGTTGTTGTTGTTTTTTTTTTTTAATATCTTTAAATTTTATTTGCCTAGAAATTCTTAGTAAGAATAATTTATTCATTTCCCTCTAATTAAACAGTAACAAGTAATTTCCTCTCCTGTAGGAAAAAATAAATTCAGACTTAACTAACCTTTATCCATTCCTATTTAAAATACTCATCAAACACTATGTAATTTATAATTTTTATATTAAATATTTTTGTTGAAAAAGGCCTTGCCAAAAATTAAAAAAAAGTAAAAAAAAAAATTGATCAAATGAACACAAAATGAAGCAACAGCGTGGAAAACAATCATTTGTTAATAAAATAAAAAAGGTGATTTCTATTAAATTAAATTAATAGACTATAATAATTGTTATTAACTAAGATTTATGCAATAAACCTCCGAATGAATTTCTCCGTATTTTTTATATGCGGGCTCTACGATAACCAACGATAATATTATGGTCCTTGAATAAGCATATAAATTATAAATAGTCATGTTTTCGATTATTTCCGAATAAACATCTTGTCTGACCAAAAAAATAAAAATCCTTGTGGCCAACGGCTATTTTTTGGTCTCAGCTCTAAAATGGACACACTAACTAACAAGCAGAGTTGTCTCCTGTTAATTAAAAGTAGCCGCGCCTGTTAATTGCCCACGCGCAGACTTCAGACGGTATGCATTATAAAACAACCAATCTCTTTTGCATTTTAACAAACACTTTATAAGACTTTGAACTATTAGCTTTATTGTCGAGTACCGATTTGAGCCGGAGTTAGGCCGCAGCGAAGGAGAAACATAATAAAATAAATACCTGCCCACCCGCCCAAACAACACTCGAGAGAGTAATAATAAATTCATGTTCTCGTCAGCAATTCGTGCTGTGACGTTTGCCGCGAGTTTCCATTTCGCACGTGTCCAAATAAAAGGCTTATTTATTAATTCGCGTGACTAAAAGCTCGCTGCCCACCCACACCTGCAGACGCTCCGAAAAAGGCAACGGCTCTTCGAAATCGGATGCGCGCCCCGATTGATAAAAAAAATAATTTAATAAAACGGTGGCACTTTCTCTTTCAACCACCTTTCGCGGTAGTCGACGTTTAGCCCTGAACCTTTCCTAAATTGGCCTTGCCCTGACTTAAACCAGATCAATGATAGACCGCTATAAAGCGATTAGCATTCATTATGATTTTTTTCGGTGCTTCTGCAAAGGTGAGGCGGTATATTTCGTGTTGACACAAATTTTGACGCTCTTGACCTTCTGTCTGGCGCTGAGTTTGCGTCTTTTTTTCAAAACGAATTTACTAGGTTGCGAGACTCGGGTAGAAAAGTCGTCGATGGAATTGTGCGAGTTTTTTAAGTCTGCGAGCGAATAACGGCCGCTCGAGATCAGTTCCAGAAAAGCCACTTTGTTATGCAATTGCGCATTTGTATAGCTGGAGGAGTGCAACCAGTTTCGTTTTTTACTTGTGCAGCGTGATAACTTGTCTGAAAATGAGTGCGCTCCGAGAAATGGACCAACTTGATTCACGCCTTTTGTGCGTGACGAGGCTTTCGGACTTTGCGTGCGCTACTCTTTGCAACACAAAACCGATTTAATAAAACGGCCAAACTTTCATAATACAGAATTGCAATCACTTTTTTTTTAGGAATTCATTATTTTAAATAAGTTTTGTGTTTGACTAAGAAAATAAATAATGTTAATTAGGAAATTCCTAAAGTTGATGATCTATTAAATTTATTTTGCTTACTATATAGTTAAAACATTATAATTTGGTTTTGTAATATTACATTTATTTTGCTGAGATTTGAAAATTAAAGTGAATATTTGTAACCATTCTTAAAAAGTTTCCCGAACCTTATGAATTAACCTTGGCTATGTTAATTTTTATCTTATAGCTACATTGTTATTAATGTATATAACTATACAAATTTAAAAAATAATTTAAAAAAAAGTGAGATGCTATAAAAATGATGTATTAATAAAGCAGATAAAATGTAGAAATATAAAATTAAATAAATTAAAATCATTGAATTGACGCAAATCTAAAACATTTAAAGAAAATTTTATTTGATTATATCACCGTACAAAAAAAATATTAAATTTTATTAAAAGAGTTACTTTGGATTGTCTCATCCATTTACTTGTTTAAATTTAACGTATTCTTATTATTTATTGTATGTTTTTGCTGCTACTTAATGAAGAATTTTTGTGCCCCAAAAAGCAGTTGTTACAAATATGAGCTTGTGAAAATTTAATCTTTGCTCAATGAAGGATAAAAGTAGGTATTAAACATTCTCCGCGTGAATAGCCGCGCGTCCATCTTTCTCTTGAGCGTCTCTTGCTAAATGCGGGCTTAGTGAGCGGGAAATCAGCCGCGACTGCTGGTTGGTTTCCAGAGCAGCCGGAAATAAAATATATAATTGTTGAAAAGCACCATAAATTTAGGATAAGTGAAGCAAGAAGTCTTCCTTCGCAGAGACTTTCTACGACGACGCTCGCATTTCCAAAATACGCTCGGCACAGAGCGATGGCAGGATTTCTAAACACGGTGGTATAATCCGATTTTTCTGCTTACTCAATTTCGTATGCCCGGCCATAAATTAATTATCAATTACGACAGCATAACCTCTAAAATAAACACGTGTCATTAGCATAAGGGAGAAAATCGTGGAGAGAACGTGAACCGATTTAATTGGCGGCAAACCGAGTGGAGAATCCCGATGACCTCTTATGGTAATCGGCTCGGTGCCCAAGCGCGAGAAAGAGAGAGAGAGAACGAAGCACTTACACGCTCTCAACCCCGCGCAGCTTAATGACGTAACGATAATTTTCTTGTTTTCTCCATTACCACGAGAGTTGTAACCGTTTTTATCCACCCATACAGTTTAACCTGTTGCCGACGATATATATCTTATTGACTTAAGAAGTAAGTGTACTGAGCGTCGCAGCTGCAGGATGTACATTTATTTTTTAAATAAAATTAAAGCAAGCAGTTAAATTTTAAAATATAATACCAGTTTGTCACCCATTAATCACAAAATTCATTGTGTTCTTTAATAATTCTGATCAATTTAGTTTCGTTTATATCAATTTTATTAAAATAAAATAATTATGTTTATTATTTCAATTTTTTGGCAATCTTTTCGTGACGTTAAAATTTAATTTTCAAGTACGTAATCAACTTATTTGCGTCAATCCTTGCAAGTCTTAAAAAAGACGGTTGACAACCCACCGCAAACGCCTACAGGAATCAAAATAGGCAACTCGTGCAACGCTGAGGTGCAAAGGGTTGCCGGCAACCTCTCCTTGTATAACCATGTACATAGAAAAAAATAGCATAATTTTGATTAAAAAAATTTTCCACAAGCAATTAATAATTTTAATTTAAAATTTAAACAGTAAATTATTGCATGAATCGGTGTGAATTATTTAAGGGTTAGGGTTTGTGTAAATATACACGTGATTAGTTTTATTTTTAGGCATTAGTTTTGGCCGCGGGCCTTTAGCCGCGACCACTCTTCGACTCCGAATCGAGCCGGTCGTCAGGTTTAGTGAGTGAGTCAGTTTGCCGCCAGCAACTTTTCAGGTCTAGTGCGTCACAGCCACGCGCAAAAAATGGTTAAAACAAAATAAAAAATCAAGAGAAACGCAGCGTGAGAAAGGACCTACTAAATACCTATTGGAAACTGGAGGCTGCTGCTAAGGGTGTGCGACCGGTCCAAGTCAGGGCTAGCCGGCGACTCTGGCCGGGCGGAAAAGCGGCGGTGCGAAATTGCAGGCGGGTCTCGATGGCGCTGCAGCTGGCTGCGGAGATTTTCCTTGAATCAAACGTGACGCGGTTTTGCGTGAACGTCGCGGTGATGACACAACCAGTGTCGCGCGGTGGTGGGAGCGCGAGAGGAGAAGGGAAAGGAGTAACCTGCCGCGGCGCGCGCGAGAGACCAACAATGTTAAAAACTACACACTCGTGCATCAGTGTTATGGTCCTACATACCTGGTGGTGAGGTGGAGCGAGCGAGTCCAGCAGCCACTGGTGCACCGCGCACGTCTCACTGTCAGTCAGTGGAAAACTCGCAGTGCGCGCGAACATACTCGCCAGGTGGAGACCGACTCGATCTCTCAGGTAGGCTTCCGAAAAGTCTCAAATTTAATTTTTTTATTTGTACGAGAAAACCATTATTCTTATACGCAAGGCACACCGGCCAGTTTCGCGGTCCCATTCGATTATTTAGCGCGTGACCCACAAATTTCATCGGTTTTTTCGGTCCAGCGTTGGAAACTCTCTAGACAACAAACCTGATCCCTTTTCGTGTCAGGGAGATGTGTGGCGTTGCGGTTGAGCGACAATATAATAATTGAGCCTGTCAAAGGTTGATGCGTGATTTGCATATCTGCGTTTTGCAATATGTGCAGCCGACAGAGACCCTGATAAACAATGGAAGAAAAAGATTGAGCGCCGAAAGCGAGTGTCAATCCGAGAGACGCCTTGAAAAGCGATTCTGCACTTTTTGGTCCGAGAGAGAAGCTGCTGTCAAATAAAATAATTATCTCGAAGGACTTTGACAGAAAATTAGTGCAATTATCGAGACCGTTTTGCAATCGTTTGAACTGCTCAATTTTTTTTCAAATAAATATTCTTACGGAGACCAAAAGTGGGGCTCACTCTATATTTTACTACAGTGCATTAAAAATAACGCATATGTGCATGCAACAAGAAACTGACACACACTCGGAACGAGCGAGCGCTTTCTTCTTTTTACAAAATACCAAGGCCGTTTTCTGCAACACACGCCTACCAAGAAAGTGCATTTGAGTGCACTTTTGCCAGGAGTTTGCATATATACACGTTTCGCCTAGTTTTAACTGATCAAACTCATTAGAACTGTCCATTGTGTGCGTGCAAGTGTGTCAATGTGCGGTTGGAAGGAAGAGTTGCCGATTCCGAAATGGCATCTTTTTCGTTTCGTGTAAAAAGTCCGGCGGATTTGCATGCCGCGCAGAAACAAACTTTGCGAAAGAGAAGAGATAGAGCGAGATAAGAATCTGTTTGTAGTGGAAACGCGCGCGTTTTGTAATTGCAGTTTTCTATACAAGAGTGCTGTGGCCTGGCACAAAAAGCAGAGCCGCAGCCTCCGGGCGTTCAAGTCTCCGGCGTATGCAATTACGATTTATGAAAGTTCGTCGGCGCAGGGCAGATAGAGCTCTGGAGCACAGTGGGCCCCCGTTTCATAATTATTATTCAATGAGAAAAGGAGATTAAAAAGGCCACGCCAATCACCGCATGCAGCTTTTATTCAAATTACCTGCCAATGAGATACTCAGTCCTATGTTACTCAACACCTGCAGAAAATATGAGACGCGATCACGCGCGGGGCGTTTGGGTTATCCTCTCTAAAAAAATAATCTGCTCTGACAACTTTCCCCGAGACTCTATAAAGAGGAGCTGCTAATTCGTCGTGCAATTATCGGCAAATTTGGAGAGTTGCCGTGTGTTTGGTTTTGTTCATTTTCCTATTTGGAGGAAGAAAGCAGCGAGATCTGCCGCGAGCCGGATAATTTATGAACGTGGCTCGAGCGGCTCAGCCAGCGTGTCTCTCTTTTCTGTCTGAAAGAACGTCTGCAGATTATGCTGCCTATATTAACGCGAATTTCGTTGAGCACCTTTTTGACTTGCATTTTTCCCATGGCAACAGTGGCGGAAGCGTGACACAATTTTTCGTTTTGATTGGTGCAGCTGTCAAAGCAAAATAATTTATATCGCAGACTGGAATGTTCCCTGTTGATTCTGACAAACACGTTCAAATGTTATTGCCCTCTGGTAAAAATTTAGCTAGAAAATTGTTTAAAAAATCTTTCATTGAGAGTAAAATATTTAATCTTTTAAGATTGTTTTTTTCCTGGTTTGATCAGTTCGAACCCATGAATAATTTTTGCATCAAAACACTTGAAAAGTTTGAAGTGATTGAGATTTTTTGTTTGCTGTTAAATTCTTATCAAAATATCTCTCCACCGTGTAAATGCTCAACAAACCTTTCAACTTACGTAACAAGTTTAATGGAGCATCAAACCATCAACTCTCGTTACTTTACTGCACTTCCACTTCTTATATAAAGTCTAGGTGCCGGTTCGAAACTTGTAATTAAATGCGAGCTTATTATGAACGCATTATTATTTCTCGATTTCAAAACCGAAAGAACCACGCATTCATGCATTCGCCCATCCTGGTTTGCGTCAGGAGGAACGACATGCCTGAAAATTTCCCCACACATCAACGTATCTTGATCCGTTTTTTTCGCCCTACTGGGAATCCCAGCCAGCATAATAATATAACTTGTTTAAACCGTGCAAGAAGAGCTGGTTGGCATGTGCTGGAAATTTCCACCACTTAAAAAATACACTTTTTGTTTCTTTAATGCTGCAGCAATTTTATGAAAACAGAAAAATCATAAATAAGCCGGCTTTGGCATGTTGAAGATTTTTAATAATCGGCTGTAATTTAGTTTTGCTTTACGGTCAATGACCATGATTCAAAAAGGAAGAAAAAATTGCATTAAATTGAGATCTAAATTAAAAAAATATAATTTTTTTCTTAAATAAACAACAAGGATGAAAAGTAAGAAATTCTGGAGAGAAAAAAAAACGAGCAAATCCATGAACAAAACAAGAATGAGCAAAACATTGTGTTGAGAAGCTAAACTTTTTGTTTAATTTTTCCTGTCTGCGGCCTTCGGTGTTAACAACATAAACGTCGTCACTCGTCCAGTTGAATATAATAAAAATCAGCTTAGTGCCACTTTTCGTCTCATTACTCGCGGTGCTGCAAAATAATAAAACTGCGCTTGAGCTAATTTCGTCGAATGACGTGAAATAAATTTTGTAATGCGGGACAGCGGCGTTGCAAAGTGTGACGGAATCGTTAGGCAGAGCACACTCCTCTCGATTATTAAGTAAGTCTCTCTCAATTGAGTTGACACAAATTAACCAATAATGAATGAAAAAATAAATATAACACAATTGAGTCATTTGCCAAGGCTAATGAGTAAATTAGTGTTCAAATTTTCTTTAACGCTGAATGCCAATGCCAAATAAACAAACAAACACAAAAAAAGCTTATTTGCTCGCGATTTTTTTCGGTTGACCAACAACAATTATGCCAACACCAAAGTTATCAGTCTTTTGGAAAGGACGCGACATCATTAGGCAGTCAAGTGTCTGCGCTGTGATTAATGAACGATCGAAATATGAATGTTATATATTTTGATAAGAGTCCGTCACGTTTGATATTGTGACGCAAGAGAAAGAACACAAATCCAAGGTTTTAGTGATGCCAAGCTCTTGGTAAATTCATTGAATCTGAAGTGGTGAAATTCGGGAATTTTGCAAATCACAAAACAGCTGTTCTAAAATCACAAATTGATTGCAGTCTTGTGACACTACTTGAGCTGGAGTCTCTTCTTATCTGAAAGATTGTTCCCAACAGCTCATTGTACTACTGCGATTGTCTATAATGTCAAGTGATTGCACATTTTACTACTTAAAGGGTTCTTAAAAGTCAATAGTTGTTGTTACAACGCATATCATTACTCATCAAAATTAATTTAGGTTGATTAATTAAGATATGTAGACTTAGGTGCTCCAGAGATGACCCACACTTATATTTTTAATGAATCATAGTTATTTAATTCTACAATACTTTTTTGAAAATTTAGTTTTCTTAATATTAATTTATAATTATATATATTTGACAAAAAATTGAATCATTACCTACCATAAATCATTATAAAACATTTATTATTATTTTTTATTTTACGAATTATTACTATTTAAATTTATTATTCATTTTCAGAATTCATTTTTTTTTAAATCCATCTACAGAAATAAAAAATTAATAAATAAATTTTATTAATTTTCGACTGAAGCACATTATAAATTTTCAAATTTTTAGTTTAAAAAATCAATCATGCCAATCAAACTGCCGTTGAAATCCAACAGGTACCTATACCAGGAAACGAAATATGAGCGACGGCTACAGTAATGAAATTATGGTCGACGAACTGGTTATTTTGAGATTTAATGACGTAACCTCTCAGCAGACGTCTCTTTCTCTGTCGAAAGAAAGCTGGGAAGGAAAAAATTAAATTTAGTGTGTACGAGTGACTCAACAGTTCAAGCGCAATAATTTCGGTTCAAAGCTCCTGGTGGCGGCGCGACCGCAGGCGGACCTGTGCCAATAAGGGAGCGAAAAGAGTCGCGGCCAGAATGACAAGTGGCCAGAAATATGCACGCTCGTGCACTTCATAACAAGGAGCAGCGGCGATATTCTAAATAACGTAACGGAAGCCGCCGCGAGACACAAAGAGTGCGGGTGGAGTTGAAGAAGCAATAAAATATGTACACCGAGCGGTGAAAGTTGTCGCCTTTTAAGACCTTTCACCTACTGCCCCGGCGGTGAATTTTGCCTCGAGTATGATTAATCGCACTGAACTTGCACGATTTGCATGAGCTGTCGTTTATTTTTCCGCGCAGCTCCTGTAATGACCGCAGATTTCACAGTCAATTATATTTTCCCTCCAAGTGCTAACAATAGAGATCTTATCGCCGCGGGCAATGGCAAATTAATTATCTTTTAATGCGCGTTTCTTTATTAACTTTATTTTAATACGCAAAACCCTGAAAGTTCCGTTCATAATTCGTTTGTCCTTTGGCTAATTTTTAAACTCGAGTTCATAAAACTGTTATTGGCAAAGCCCACTCTTAAATAATATGCAGTTTATGTATACCGAGTAATAAAAACACATTGCTCAATTAAGTTAACATTGACCATCGCATGAGTGGCAGACCTTACCTATGAAAACATGTTTTCCCTTTTTTTCATGCCGATTGTGTAGGACTCTCTGATAATTTATTATTGCTCTGGCTTGTGCACTGCACTGTGTAATTTGCGCTGAAAATTATAATTGCAATAATTGTTGTTGATGTTTGCTTTTCAGACGCTCGTTCGCAGCGGAAAATGCAGTTAGTGTTGAAACGCGCCAAATTCTCCTGATCTTTGAGCGCCGCGAGAGTCCACAATGCAAACGCTGCGGGAGAAATTCAGCACCGGCCCCGAGGACAAGAAGAAGAAGTACTGTTGCCGATGGCGATCGTTCCGGTTCCTGTTGCTCTTCTTGATCTCGGTGCTCCTCATTCTCTTAGCCTACGAGTTCAAGTCCGACCCTGTTGAAGAGGAAGAAGGTGGCGGCGGCGGCCACGGCAGAGCGCGTTTCCTCGCCAATTCGTCGCTTTATGATGGGTAACCAAAATTAACGGCACTTAAAAAACAATTAGTATGAGGAAGTCTGAACAAAAATTAGCACTTAAAAAACATTTTGCTCTCATTTTGCACCTGAACTATATTTTTCAAATTACAAAGCACGCTTGGAAAATTCTCGTCGTTTTTTTTTTTTTCATTCTTTTTTGTGTGAATTCACTAAGAATTTTTTTTATTTTTTTTTTTTTGCGCAGCAATAACTCGCGGAAGGCGGTGTTTGACATCAACGACATCATCACGCACGACAGGTGGGTCGTTCTGCAGCCTGACGACGGTAACAATCTGAGTGAGGAAGTGCGCGAGTCCTTGACGTGCGCCGTGATTGAGGCAAGTTTCGACCAAGGTTGGCGCCCCTTGATTTTGGCAGATAGAAGCGCGTGTTGCAGGTCAGTGACCACACTTCCAGCATTTAAATAATTTTCTGACCCGGGGTGAAATATTGTTTTTAGCAAACCGCGATGCGTGTTGCTGCATTCGGAGAAGAGGGCGCGTTTGCCGTACGAGACAAGGAAGTTTTTGGAGGATTTCAGAGAGACGAGTGAGAAAAATAAGCACTTGCAGAGAAACCTTGCGTACCTCTTTGCCATACAGCATGGAGCCCGGTTCGTTTTGGACTGGTACTTGGAGGACCATGACCTCACAAACAGTAAAAATATTTTTATAAATTAGAAAAAATATTATTATTTAAAAAAAATTATTATTAATAAATGTTTAATGAAAATTTTTACTTTGTAGTTGAAGAGTATCAAAACAAAACGATGCAGCTTTTGCAGTCAACAACCCTTGATATTTCGTTGGGTCTGGTTTTGGAGAGCCTTTCCGAGGCGCCGCTTTTTGCAGTTTCTCCCAGACCAACGAGGCGTCTCTACAACCCCCATTCACACTTCGGCCGTCCTGATTTATGGCCACCTGGCTACCAACCACCTAGCCAAGTATTATTATTTTTTAATTTAATAAATTTTTAACTTACAATATATATTTAAATTCTAACAGAGAAGTTTGGTGCACACCTCTAGGAAAAGGCCGTTTTTGCCATGGGCTTTAGAGACGCAAAACTCGCGCATGAGAAACCACTCAAAAATCGAAACTTTCTCCAAACAGAGATACAGGGTCTGTGAAATCAGACCTCCTTCAATTGAATTGGTATTTTTCTTTTCTATTTAAAAATACGATCAAGATCTAATTTTTATTCGCAGTTTTTGAACCAACCCGAGGAAGGATCGTTGGATTTATCAGCACCCCCTGTCACAATTCCAAGTGACACTCTCTCCCCTGCCTCCTCAAAAATTGCAATTTACTCTGGTGACGCGCTGTGGGCACTTGCTCTGCTTCCCAACTCGGATGACGACATCCCTTACCAATTACTGCGCACCCTCTGGAGCTACCCATTGGTTGCCAACATTGCTGCTGGAATTAAAGTGTCGCTCAGCCCTCTTTCTTCTGGAATACCTTATACACCGTAAGTTAAAACTATAAAAACAAAAATAAAGAAAATAACAACATTTATTTATTTGAAGGTCGATTAGTAAAGGCAGCGCAGAGTTGACGAACGCTGTAATGCGTTGGAGGTGCAACAGCCGCAGCATTTTGACGTGCATTGTGCTTTTGAGTCACGAGCTCGGCCCCAAATTCAGCGAAAACGCAAGCGGCCTCCTCAGCAGTTGGTCGAACGACCTGAAAAGGTTGCGATATTTGGAGCCGCCTGTGGTGCCGCTCAGGAGGGGTGGCATGCAGTCTCCTTGTTTGGGCCATCACGGTCTTGGCGGACTCACTTTTCAGGTGCGCATTTCTGCTTTATCATGTTTGAAAATACAATGAATTTGCAACTTTTATTATGATTAAAAAATTCTTATGTGAAATTAATTTCAAATTTAAGGCTGCTTCGTATGGATCGGCAAAAACAACTTCGCAGACCAAAAGAAAAGAGCGCCAACGTCAGATTTATCAACATTACGAGCAAGATTTTAAACTGCTGGAGTGGATGAGTAGATTGAATTCAACGCACCACAGCAACAAATCGGTCTCCCCTGACGAAATGGAAGAAACGAGCAGTCCCATTCCGCCCCTTCCTGTTGAACACGTTGAGTTTGTGAATTTGGACGATTCAAAACAAGAGTCTGTGAGCAGTTTGCAGAAAGAAATCGTTGACGAAATGTGCCTCGGATTTTCCAATATGTTACCCATTGTTTCTCAAAAGCACTTTGAGAAAACCCTATTAATTGTGGCGTTTGACAGTGACGAAGTGTTTGAGCAGTTGCCTATGATTGATGTAATTTACAGGACGCACTTCCGCAACATCCTGTACTGCGGCTCGCCGCACGCCTCCCTGAACACCTATTTGCACAAACTGCAGTCGGAAAATAGGACCATCTCGTACCTCCCTGCCATGACTCCCGGCTACGAGTGTTTGGTAGGGGCCATGGAAATGGATTACCACGTTGAGGGGTACTTGCTGGCCAGTGCCCACAGTCTTCTTCTACCCGAATCTCTGAAAAACCTTGACAAGAGCGTGTTCTGGTACGGCAACGACGAGAATAATCTTCTCATTTCAAAGAAGAGCTGGCGCGACGTTGATCCTGGCGGCAAGAAAATCCCAAGAATTATGACCTCAGTTGTGCAGGCGCTCAAATTCGTGGCGCACCTCGTCGGCGTCCACGAGGAAGACCATCACGAGTCCGGAATGGAGGACGAACATCCCCACTCCTCAGAAGAGACTCCGCAGATTCCGAGTAACAAAACCACCCCATCAGAAGTTGCACTGCCTGAGGAGCACAGCACACATTTTGAGCTTCATTTGCACGCCGAGGGTGTTTCACCCCTGACAAATCTGACGGACTACGAAACATTTGGAAGTGGTGGTCCAACAGAAGGCACAACAAAATCGAGTGAAACAACTGTGGTAGTTGAAGAATTGCACGATGGAATCAACAAGACTGTGATCGATTTTGTGTCAATCGATCATGAGGAAAGATTGCCGTCGGAAAACAGCACCTATTTGGCCGACTCAAAACCAGAAAAAGCCGAAGAACAACCAGACGGCGAAGAGGGTGCAACTTTCATCGAGTACGACGCCACCAGTCCAATTGTTCCTGACGCCTCGCCTGAATCCATCAGCGAGAATCCGGGTGAAAGTGAACTGGTGCTGAATGTCTCCACTCCGAACGAGGCGCATCCCGCCTATTTGGATACCAAGAGCCGCCAGGTGTTCAACCTGAGTCTTCCTGAGGGTCCGGGAGACACCCTGATCAACCCTGTGGAGGACGAAAAGGGCTCGTTTGACCTGGAATCGTCCAACAACTACGCGAAACGAACCGCCGAAGGGGCTGCCCTGAACCGCACCCGCCGAAAAGCGCCTCTCGACCCTGAGGTTTTGATTCAAGAGAACCGGGTCGTGGACGGCGCTTTCAGACACATCGAAGACCTGATCGGCCTGGTCTTGTCCAAGTTGGTTGCCGAGGCGGAGACGCCCAGTCTACCCTATCAGTTGCCGCACCAAAACTCAATGCGTCTGGACCCTCGGGAGTTCAAACACCTGAGGTGCGGCGACCACAACATGCCGTCCTTCTATACCAACAAAGACTTGTGCACGTCGCTGCGCCAATTTTTCAGCAACATCGACCGCCTGTACAGGAGTGAGGGCGGCGGTTTTTTGCCTTCCTACAACCACTACCCGGTGTACTACGTGCCTGTGGGCCAGCAGAAGGCCTTCTACCTGTTGGCCAACGTGTTTCTGCAATTCGGCGTACCTGACCAGGTGGCAGTTCCTCTCATCCTGCAAGGCTTGGCCAACAACAGGGTCCATCAACTGACACGGACCTACTTCGGCAGCGACACGCCGGCCGTGGTTGAGCCAAGTTATCCGCTGTTCGATGAGACCGCCAATTATTTATTCCCAGTTTATCTGCAGAGGGACCTGCACGGTGACAAGCGGCTGCGAACCATTTTCTGCCTGAAGTATTTGTACAGCATTCTGTCGTGAGAGAGAGACTTTATTCTTTCGACGAGAGCAATTGAAATGTGATATGTATAACTTTCTTGCATGGAGTTTCAAATTTTTGTTTGTAATTTTATTATTATATATATTAAATATTATATAATTCGTGCAATAGTTTACATCAGAAGAAAAACGATAGGTTGGCTTTCCCGTTGAATTGTATTCCTCTCAATTTTCGACCCATCCATTCCATGAAATAAACCTTATGAAAGTAAGGGTTGTTTTAAATGACTTTTTACATTCTGAAATCCAGCAAATGTTCCTGATGTCTTTACCTGGCTCATTGTAAAAATCATAATCAGACCAATAAAAACAATTAAAATTGTTGAGTAATTGAAAAATGAGCGATGGATTTTGTTATTGATCAAATTTATTACCTCGAATATTTCTGTGTCCTCGTATTTGTATTTAGATGCGCTGCAAACCGTGAGTCCAAATATAGCGAATCTCCGCGTCATGGCCCCCAAAAGCTTTATAATTACAGGATGCGCGGTCTCTCCAGCATTGCGGGTGCACAAAACAGGCACTCATTTAACATTCCAATGCAAATTTGCGAGCCAGTTAAAAATTACGCGATGCAGACGAGAGCTGCACGCCTGGTTGAATTAATTAATTGGGCGTGACAAAATTTTAAAAGGGGACAAATTAATTCTCGGAAACTATTAAGCCATGATCATGGGAGGTGGGCTTTAAATGCCACTGTGCATACAAATCGGACATTCTCCTAATTTAAATCTATTCAGGTTGGTTTTATATTTAGTTAATGGAAATAATTAACATTTGCGGCGTATCTGAAAGTATCTCGTTTGAGTTTTTATTTGCTCCGCTTAAACTCACAGTCATGCACACCAGTTTTATTACTTTATTATTATGTAAGTATTTCTAAGTCGTGATTATAGTTAAAGATTTTTTTTTTCGAAAGATCGCAAATTCTGCGCAACAAAATGAAAAATCACTTATCTTTTTTTGATCATTTTCCATTGTAGATTGCTTGAAACGTAACACACTATTAGACACAACATTTTTATTTTTGCGTGCAGTCCGTTCAGGCGAACGCGCACGAGATCAGTGAGCAGAGAGGAAGTAGCGAAACTTGGCCAGGGTCGTGCGCTGTTGCTGTTTAAGCGTCGTCATTGTTAGCAGGGTCCCTCCGAAAGGGCTCTCCCGCTGGATCGCCATAGTCGTCCTCCGGAAGGGCCAGGTGGTGCATTTCTCTCGACTTTCCCGCCGTCACTGTGTGGTGCTGCACAGCAACGACAGGATCCCGTTTCCCAAATCTGCAAAAAAAAAATAATGGTTTTGTTGAATTTAATTCTAAATAGATCTATAACTTTCTTGTTACTTGAGATAATATAATTTAAATTTTTTCAGTTTCGTTAAAGAAAAGAATAACATTTTGCTTTGTAATTTATTTTGTTATCAAATCAAATAAATATTTAATTTGATAATAATTTGACGATAAACCAGTATAAAAAATCTAATTACTGAATGAGCAGTTGGACTTTTTATTTACAGCCAATTAATTTCACATGCACCTGAGGCTTATGCAACCGGTAGAACTCTTAAGCTTGGCTGGTTGCATTTAAAAAAAAGACTTGTCATGCTTGAAGTAAGAAGACCTCAATAAATCATTTTGAAAATTACCTTGGTCTTCCGGCCATAGCGTAATAAGTCCGCAGCTGGTCCAGATACAACTTGAGCTCGTCCGCCGTGATGAAATGCTTCGGTCTGTCCGGTCTGACGGTGATCTCACCACCTGGGCCGATATACACATTGTCTGGCAGGTCGTAGAAATCGTCTTTGGGGATGGAGCTGGGCAATACGCCGATTTTGCACGAGAACGGCGCGATCATGCCCATCATCAGGAATAACAACGCCGCCGCAGTATGCATGTGCCTCTGCAGGTTCTGTGTAATAATTTCAACAAAATTTAAATTTAAATAAAAGCTGAACAAGCATGAGTGTAGAAAAAGAAAAGTGTGTAAAGTTGGTTTTATCTTGTTTCGCATGTTATATCAAGAAGAGATCAGAACTACCATTTTTTTCTGAGCCTCGTTTAATAATCGAGTTTTGATTGTTTAATCTCTTTTTCTTGTGGTTGAAACTTTTGTTCTGCAAAAAAATAAAAAAACGCCCACGGTAAATTTTATCTTTCAATATTATAATAACAAGTTGTTGCAAAGGACTATATGAACGCACTGTTCCTGCAGCGAGGACGGCGATCTAGTTTTTTTTTATGCCACCTCGTCGTGCATCGGTCAAAAGTTGAGAAACCTTTCCACGCGCCGCTCAAAGTACATAAATTTGCACACCCAACTTCCCAGGAGCTCGGCGTTGAGAAAAAAGTTGAGGAAAGTAAATCAATTTGATAGGAAGCGTGCTACATTATAATTTAACGTAGGTTGTGTATACACGAAACATGGAAAAAAGTGCTCTGTTTTCACTTAAACTCGCAGAAAATTTATCTTCAACAAAATATATTCTAATATTATTTTGGATTCTGAATCGCCCGCATCAGAGGGCAGCCCAAACTGAAAAATGTAGTTTATTTTATATTACTCGCATCAATCACTAAAATCGCCCCCGACGCGTCTTTTCGGCGCACAAACTCTGCTCTTCTTATTTATTATTAAGAGCCTGGGGATCATATATCAAGCTACAGGTGGTTACTCTGTCGATTATTACAAACACATTGGCTGTCGTTTTGCCGTTTCCCTTGGCTATTTTTAACCCATGAATGACCAACAGCATTGCGGGAAGAGCCTCCTCAATGGAGCCGCCCTGCAGGAGGGTTTCATTGATGAAAAAAAAAAGAAACACGCCGCCATACGTAATCTTAAAAAATTTGTTCAAAAACTTCCGATTTAGGTGCAAATTTTTTCACGCCGAGATTAAATATTTAATTTGTTTTAGAGTTGAAAAGCTGCATGTAGTTGTTTCGTTTCAGGATCCATGACGTCACCGAAATTTTTCACGCAAAAGGCGCTGCACAATGGGCATCATTATGCGAGTTTAAAATAATGAGAGTAATTAAGAAGCTTCATTAACGCCGACGAGGGTCGGCACAAAAACTGCTCTGTGAAGAGCAAGATAAATTAATTTTTAATCCGGCAGTATTATAACAGGTCAACGCGAATCTAAAAAGCTACAGGTCAAAAACACTCTAAAAAGTTGGTAAGTTATTTCTTACACATTGTAATTATGTTTTCATAAGTTTATGTGCCAACTAAGTTTATTTAAAGTAAAAATAAACAATTGTTTTTGAAGTGCAATGAAGAATAAAAACAATCAAAAACTTATCAAAAATATTATGTTTCCCAATTATGTAAATTTTTAAATCTTTTTCTATAAATATGTCGATCTATAAGTAAACATTTATTTCAATACATTTTTATAATTTGAGTATATTTTAAATGTTTAAGATAAATTTTTAATTTAAACTGTAAAATATTAATTCAGTTTAAACTAAGTAGATCTGAAACTATTTATTAAAAGTTATTTTTGAATTCAGCAGCTAATTTGACTTGATACAAATAGAAAGCTGTAAAAATTATTAATAATGCAATATAGAATTATTGAAATAACTTCTACTAAACAAGGTTTTATTTTAAATTTACTAGAGATTAAATACTTGAAATTAGATCAATTAGTTTGTACCGGTTTGTACCGTTGGAATATAGTTAAGTTCCAATTGGTACCTAAAAATAAAGTAAATGTGGAAAATGAAGAATAAATTTGAAAAAAAAATCTAATGGGAAACTGACGAGTACAAACTAACTGTAAGTAATAAAAAATTTGGAGCTTAACAATGGTGACTTACAGTGGCAAAGGTGGTGAGAGGTGGCTCGAGAGGCGCTTGCAGGTCAGACAGAGCACCAGCTTGGATTGATCTGGCGTTTATACCCTCTTCGCTGCGTACCCTCTTTCCCTTCTACCTGTACAAGACACCTCCTCGCCGAGTGGTGCGCGAGCCGCGCCGCCGAGGAAAGTGCCTCTGCGTAACAGTCGTCCCACTTCCCACGTCTAAACGCAGATAGAGATATTCTTAGGTGGTTTTAGCACAGACCAAATTCAACAACTTCCTCTTCTGCAGAGCAAATAGTACTAATTGCAAGCGTTACAACGGAAAACTAGTGTTATATCTTTTTATTTCCAGCAAAACATCTTGTCCTCGGAAATAGCAGTTTAATTTTGCTTTGTAGTTTCCTTTAACTTTTTAGCAATACTTATTCAGGGCTTAAAGGGTAAAGATAACACCAAATTAATAAGGTTTTGACTGAAATTGAGTAATTAATAAAATAATTTACATTACACATTTTTATATATATAAAAGCTATAATATCTTAAAATATTGATTTTTAATTGAAAATCATGTTAATTTACATTGTCACTGGGCGATTGCAGTCCGAAATGTAATTAAAAAAAATTATTCCTTTTGCAGTAGTTTTACAGCTGATAAATTAACACATTTCAAATGCTTTTTAGAAAGCGAAACATTAAATTAAATGTAGTTTCTCGGCTACATAAAATCTCCAAGTAATTATGCAATAATTCATCACTGAATTTAAAAAATTTATTGCTCCATAATTAATTTATATGTATTTTTTTTCAATCAAGTTTTCCTTTATTAGTAACAGGAAATATAATGCAAAAATGAATACAAAAAGTTTTCCTGCTTTTTGTCTTCTTTATCTCAGTGCTCACCCCACGTTATCACTAACAAAATATATACACGACGGGCGTTATGAATAGGGATTTATTTTATTCACGCTCTTAGTTTGCTGTGATTAGATTATTGAGCAAGTGAGAACCTAGTGATGCACGTCGGGCCAATGCGGCATTTTTGAAGTGCTATTACACCAAGTTTGCCTCCCATTAGTAGGGGATTGACATTTAAATGACGATAATCCGCGGTGCTGCCGAACAGATTATGATCTCGCCTCTCTTCGTATCGTGATTCATTTGGCTTCAACGCGGAAACTTGTTCGAGAATCTCACTGCTGCGAATTGATGTGGCGGGCGTGGGGTACCGATATATAGTCATATTACATACAAAAATCTTACCGAGCCAAAAAAGAATTTACCTGGACCTCTGCAACAAAACGTGCAGTTGATGGCAAAGGATAAACAAGTTATTGCAGTGCAGCAGATCGGAAATTTGTGGAAATGCCTCTTTGATGTATCTCGACCAAAAAGATATTTTATTTATAGATACGTTATGCCTGTATTGTACTTCAAGTAATCCGAGAATTATCTGGATTATTTGAAAGACTTTATGACAACATGGATTTGTTTAATTTTTTGCCACTTAAGAATTTTTAAAATGAAATAAAACTAACTATTAGGACATCAATCAATTTTGATGTTAAAAAATTTATTTATTTAATTTTTCATCAGCAAGCTATAGCAAGCTATGAGAATTGATTTATTTTATGTTTTTCAATCTGAATCTCCAACTGTGAAATAACTTATCGCGCAAACAAAAACAATTTAAAAAATTGAACTAAAATTCAATTGGCACGTGAATGAATCACAATGATGTAATTTTTTTGTTAAATATTTTATTTAATTGAGATTTTTGAATTCATAATGTGTTTCTTCCAATATAAACGCAGTGTTTAATGATTTTTTTGGCAACATTAGTGCGTATTTTGATATTTAAAAACAAAAAACAACAACTGAAAATTTCTTTTCCACCAACATGCCCTGCACAGAGTGGGCTCTCAACCTTTTGGGCATCAAGTTGTAGAACTAATTCCTCATTGCGACCTTATTCATGTAAGTCATCGTGGCAGCGACTGTTGCGGAGATAGGGACCAGCCAATACAACTGAATAAAAAATTGTAATATATGAAATATAAAAATTTAATTTTTCATATTAAATTATATTTTTTACCCATTGATTTTCATAGTAGTGGTTATTATTGTTCCAGAAACCACATGCAAAAATCATTGCAGGATTCAAGCAAATACATTTTCTGTTCCAGGTTGTGAACATCTACAAAATTTAAATTTAAAAAAATAGTTTTTTATTTTCTGTCATATAAGCTTGTCCCTAACGCTTCCGGACCAAGCTTCGTATTGAAAATTATTTATTTTATAACTGATTTTAACTTACATGAAGTGCAAAACTATCAATATTTGTGTTGTCAGGGCTCGAGAACAGGAAACACGTGTAGCAAGAAAAGAAGGCAAAAATAAAGGCACTCATAGAAGTAACTGCAGTATCTGGAGTGAACATGCACCAATCAATTTGGTCTTCCGCCGAAAGAAACGCCTTTATAGAAAAATTTAAATTAATTAATTTAATTTTCAGAAAAATGACGCAATTATTACCAAGTTCTTTCTGTTGCAAAAAACTGCGTATTTTTAAAATTATTTGTGTGTACCTTGTTAATTGCATATCCGGCTATTCCTCCACACATATCTGAGCAGGGATGTGAGCGAAGAGCATTTTCGGGCGGATTATTCCAAGAATAGCAGCTCCAACGCTGGTCGCTGGGTTCATGTGACCGCCGATGAATACATGAATGAACTATTTTTTAAATAACAAAGCCGTTAAATTTCGGTAGTTCCAAAATTCTTTCAGAAATTTTACCGTAATGATCATAGCACACCAAAAAACAGATTTGTAGGTGTCGTCCACATAGGAGAGCCGAAAAGCCACTACCAAGGCTGTGCAGATGAACTCGGCAATGGCTACTTTGACGAAACGATTCATTTTGACTGGAAAATGAAAGTATTCACAAGATTAATTAATGATTTCATTTAAAAAGCTACAAATTGCATATAAAATTAACTAGATTACTTTATGAAGGGCTCCGAATCCGCAGCATCCAGCACAGAATTCTTTTTGAACGACAACAATGATGCAAAATAAACAAGTAGTAACAGATAGATTCCTTATTGTTGGTAAAAATTCTTGATTGTTGTTGTTGATTTTTGGCTTTGGTGGGTTTCCATACAGCCAATTCTTATTTTGTCAACTAAATTTTAAATTAAAATTTAGGAAGACAGCTTTATATAGATCATGCAAAGCGTAGTAAATTAGCTTACTCTGCAAAACCAAACTCTATTTTTTTTTTTTTTTTTTTAAGTTGAAAGTAAGGGCCAAATATTTTCCATATGAAGTACTGATGATTCACTTTTAACAAATAGTGAAATAAGCTATTTTTAATATTCTTATATAAGATGACAAAATCTAGTTCATAAAAAAAAATCTCTTAAATTAGTACTGCGACTGAGATAAAATTAAAAATTAATTTTAAGTAAAAAAATTTATATCGTAACATTGAACATTTTAAAATTTCCAATTATGGAAGGAATTATAATTGGAGTTTTTTTTGTGTCAAATCAAATAATATAATTTCCCAGCAAAATTTCTCATCATGAAAAAAAGTAAGCTCTTTTCTCTTTTTCCAATTTTTAAAACTTTTGTACAAATCAAGAATAAATAATTAAAGCAGATCAAGAGCTTATGCAACCTGCAACACGAAAACGGCGCACTACGCAAAGAATGTGGCTACCAGGTGGCAGCATCAGTCGCGACGCACTTGCATTTATTTTGCACGTCTGCAACGCAATCCCCCAAGAATAAAAACACAAACGCCCATTTATTAATATTTGCGGTAAGAAAAGCGAAAAGTAATTCCGGATTAATCAAATGGGAAGAAAGCGTTTAGGAGGATACATGACACAGAATGGACACTTGAATGGTAAATAAATTTAAAGTACATAATATACATAATCTTCAATTTTTGTTCAGTTCTATGAGCATTATAATCAAATGCAAAAATTTTCTCATACATATTTTGATTGTATATTTTTTGACCAATATATAAATAAATGAGTGTTAACTTTTGCAGACATTCTTTAAATCCGCACTCTTCATGTTCTTCAAACCGACTAATGCCTAGTGTGATGACGATCACAAAATCCGTCGTTGCTCATTTTTCTGACAGTGGAGATGTCGAATTTCAAATTCAAGAGGTTTGTTATATAATATTTTTTTTTATAAATTACAAAATCTATCGTCTGTATAATTATATAAAATCGTTATGTTTACATTAGATTTATAAAATTTATACTTTTTAGACTGAGCTACCTCAAGTCGGCCCAAACTGGGTGATAATTCAGGTCCGAGCGTGCGCCTTGATTGCCGCAGAGGACGAGAAGGCCCAGCGAGGTCTCCTCAACAGCCCCATCTCTTCTGCCTCGGGTGACTCGCTAGTCCACATTGGCCAAGAAATCGCCGGTGTCGTCAAAGCTGTCGGAGAAGAAGTTTGCAGCCTCCAGATTGGCGATAGGGTTGTGGGTACGCTCTAGAGACTCTCAAATTTTAATTCATGTTTTATTTAAATTTCAATTTACATTATGTATTGCAGGAATTGTTCCTTTGGACTACAACCAATCTGGCTGTTCAAATTATGTCATGCTGCAGGAGTTTGACGTTGTTCCTATCCCTGATGGCGTTTCTTACTCCGAATCAGCTGCAACAATCGGAGACGCGGTCAAAGTTTACACAGCGCTCCACTATCTCGGAAAACTGAACACAGGGGACACTGGTAAAAATATATTTAAAGTTAATTCAATTAAAGTAATTTACCATTATAAATTTGTTTGACAGTTTTGGTTATCGGAGGTGCCATCTCGCTGATGAGTATTTTTGTCCAACTCACCCACCACTGGAGTGCACGGACAATTGCCGCTGTCACTTCTTTGGAAGCAAAAGCACGCATAAATGGCCTGAATCTCAGCTCAGGTGATTAATTTAAATTATTTTTATCAAAAGTTTCAGGATCTTGAAATAATTAAAATTTGTAGTTCTCGTAATTGATGCGTCTGAGCCCAAAGGACTGAAATCAAGGGTAATGCTGGAGACTGGAGATCTAGGTGCAGATATCATTGTTAGTCAACTGGTATGGATAGCTATTTTTATTTAATAAGATCATCTTCAATATTTCTGTTATTTTCAGTCCTGCCATCAAGAAAACATTCCGAGCCTGCATGAAATTATTTCTTGTCTATCAGTTGGAGGGAGATTGATCACTTCGAATCCTCAAACACAAGTGAGATTTGAGTTAAATTTTAAAAGAATAAAAATTTAAAGCATAAAAATAATTTACAGCTTGACCCTCCTCAGTCGAGACAGCTACTGTTGCGATGTGCCAGTGTTGGATATTTGTTCGAGCAAGCGTGGACCTTGTCTTCGGCTCAGCAGGGTAGATATCAGCACATTTTGATGGATATCATGGAGAAAGTGGCCACAAAGACTTTAAAGTATTTAAATTTGCAATCTCTTTTTTTCGGACTTGATTAACTTTTAATATTTGTGATTAGACCACTCATCCACACGACCATAACCAAGCTGGAAGAAGTCTGTACTACTTTAAAGGATCTGCAGCCAAACTCAGTAAAAGGTAGAGTAATATTAAATTTGTAGAATACTTTATGTGATAAAAATAAATCGCCTCCTTTGGAAATACATACAGAGGTTGTAAAAAAAACCAATCAAATTTTATCACAATTCAACGAGTTTACCAACAAGCAAGTTTAATGAACAAAACAATCACATATGCATAGCAGCCTTAGTCGGATTTGTCTTCTGGGTTAGGAGTGCAGATCTCAATCATAAACGTTTGTCCGTCAATTTCCACCTCCCCGCCAACTTCGATGACCTCGAACTCGACCTCCACAGATTCCTGTTTTGAAAAAACACTATAAGTGGCATGCTTAGTAAAACTAAAACTACCAAAATATATTTGTTTTAAAATAAGACTCGGGTACTTCGTTAAACAATATAATGCTTGCAAATTTTATTGTTCCTCAACCATTTTTTTTTCGCATGTGATATGACTGTAGTAAATGAAAGTTGGATGTTGTACGAGGACTGCTCTCGGTGTTGATGTGGTCGACCGAGGGGCTTGGCAGCAGCAAGAAGTAGGATTCGGGAAGAGGAAAACGGGCAGTTTGTTTCACATTATTAATTCTTTAACACGCTCAGGAAGATAAGAGATACTTAGGTGATGGAGGAACGTGGAAGTGGGCACATTTTTGGAAAATTCCCACCTGGGATGCTCCCTTGATGAATGACCATCGAATTTGTACAAGAAATACAGCTTGACACTTTGATAATAAATACATACTGAGATAACAACGACACAAAAGAGGAAGCAATGCATTATGGTGTTGACCTCAGGAGACATCTTAATAAAATTTGCATCTTTTTACGTCCATTCATTTATCTATTCAGCACGGTGAAAATCATTTTTATAAATCTTTAACAAAATTACAATTTTTGTCCTGCATAATGACAAAAAATTTTAGTTTAGCAACTTGTTTTTTAGGCCAAAGAATTAAAAGTAAAGATTTTTTGGGCAAAAAATTAATTTGATAAATTTTTCTTTTTTTTGAAGATGTGACGCAAATTTCATTTCAGATTTCAAATCAAGCCAAGCATACACTAATATTTTGTAATGCTGGGTTTCATGTCATTCCCAAAAATGCAAATGCGACCAAGGGTGAAAAGGGGGTCGGGGATCACAAACAGACAACATGACACAAATTTAAATTTTGTTATAACCTCGCAATATTATTTAAACACTGTCAACAGTCTTATTATTAATATAAATTTAATATAATTATATACTTTTTATGTTATGCATGTTTAGTTTTATACTTACACAGTAAATATAAAAGTGCTAAAATCTAAATTCTTGCAATTAAAGTAGCTGTCATTTTAATTGCGTAGCTGCTCCTGGTTCACAATGAAATTTTTGTAATCAAGTTGAAATTTTGAATTCCAGCTACACCTCTTGAATTATTTTTAAACAGTGTTTTTTTTTTAAATTTAATTCTTAAAAGGATGGAATATTTAATTTGTTTTTACAATTTCCGTCTTCCGTTCAAATAATTAATCTGGGTTTGTTTGTAACGAGATGCATGTCAAGTCCTCTGCGAAAATTTTCAACTAAGATTTCAAATTTTTCTTTTACATAGTCAACAAATGTAAGGCACTGTGCTAGGACATTTATACGCGTCAAACGAAAAAGTGGAATTTGATCAAAGTCGATTTTTTTAAATTTTTGTTTGCAATGAGAATATATTATGCTGCTCAAAAACATGAAGTTCAAAATGAGTCTACTATAGGCTCTTTTTTATTGGAGCACCAGATGAAAAATCTTTGCTCACATAATTATTTTGCCTTTTGCTAAACATACGAATAGTCAAAAGGCTGTAGAGGTTTTACTCTTACAAAATTCACGAAATCAACATAATAACAATCATTGGCTATGGAGTGGATCAATCTTGTTTTGTTTTTAACTCCTAGTCTTCAAAAATCTGTATATTTTTATGCAATGTATCACATTAATAGCCCTTTGTGTCAAACTTTTTGACTTCAGTAGATTCAATCTGCAGTTTCAAAGTATTTTGAGGTGGAGACACCAAAAGTGGCGAAAGTCTAAGAAACCACTTAATTTTTTTTACAACCATTTTCAGCACAGTTTTTCCGACTAATATTTTGTTGGGCTCCGCGCGTGCCCGAGTCAAGATCAAAGCGCTAGGAATGGACAATTTTCTGCAATGGTTGTTGGTCCCCAAGAATGTTGTTCTGGATTTTGAGAGAGTTCTTGAGTAACAGGTGCTCAATGTTAACATTTGATTTCATATTATGGGATGTAACTGGAACCGTTTGTTTTTCTTTCTATATATTTTATAGTAATTACCACTATCGCATGTCCAGTTTTTTTCTCGCAAAAAGGCACATTTCTGACAGCATAAGTAAAAACGAAACTCGTCGCGCCTGTTGAACAAACCGACGCATCTATATATATTTAAATTTTCCTCGCTGTTTTTTTTCTATTAAAAATACACTTTTTCGCTCTATACAAGAATTTGATGCGTGTCTTTCTTCAACATGCTCAAATTATAGTTCATCATGTAATTACATCAATGCGCAGTTTCTTAATTAGCAATTAACCTCTCAGCTCAAGCATATATTATGTTTTAAAAAACTGGATCATTGGTGAATCGAGAGTGAGATTAAGTTGGCACAGGCGTCCGAGAGCCGATGCATTTTCATTTGTTTAATTAATATAGAAGTATGATAACCGCTACATGCATGTATATGTGTGCAAATTCCAGTAATAAAACACTCAAGCATTAAATCTGGGCTGAATTTTCAACTGCGACTATATAGTGTGTGTTAATTGTCGTTCGGGGAACACATCCTTACTATGTATAATTCTGGAAAATATTTGTTTTCAGCAATGACGGTCAAGAGTGTGATGTATAAAAACTCTATATAATCAAGTGCATGCTGCTGTTCTGTGACTCTTCATTTGCATTGAATTCTTTTCTTTTAATGATCAATAATTTTGCTCGCTGTACTGAAACAATTGAAAACGTCATTTAATTTTAGAGATCATCATCACAGGAGATGTGGCCTATCACTTTTTCATTTTTCCTTTTTTATAAAACAGATTGTACTCTCACCAGGGTAAGGATTGTTTTCGGTTGGAACGTTTTTGCCATCATCTAAATTCAGGGTGGCGTGTATTATTTTTCATACCGTTGTCGAGAAAATTGTTCGCATATGCTGGGCTCACAAATATTTCGTCACCAAGTTTTAAAAACTGTTTGACCCATACATTTTATATATATATCCATGAGAGTTAATTCATTTTTGTTAATATATAATATATATAATTTATAGAGAGTTCAAGATAATTCTAAGAGTGCAAGTTTTTTTCCTAACAAAGTTTTTGCTAATCAGTAATATATCATATGCGCAGTTTATATAATGATAATATGTGAGTACGGCTGGAAGTAAATGTTTTGATCAGCAGGAAATCGCAAGTAAAATGTATATTACTGCCCCTGGGGCTTGAAACGGGGGAAGGAAGACAGGGGTTTCAGGACAGGAAGTTAATAAGTTAAGGGAAACTGCTGCTGCATGGGCCCCCTTTGCAGCCACTGAGCCGGGTGCTCTGTCGGTAGCGACGGTGGCGGCGATGGCTCACAAGGTGGCCCTGACCGCACCTGCACAAGCGTCAGCTATTTTCAAATTAATTCCGCAACACGATTGTCATGCAAGTTCATAATGACTTGTTTCAAACTCTTTTAAATCAGTGCTGATCAAAATGAGAGTCACATACCTGCGCTGAGAAACCTTCGTGTGCAAATCTGCCGATCTCGGTCGAGCCGAACGCATGTTGGAAAGGTGGAAGTGGTTGAGAATCTGGGTTTTCTGTGTCAGCTGAGCTTGGTTTCTTTTCCTCAGTTTCCTATTAACAAATAACACAAACGATGAAGCAAATTTTTAAAAATCAAAATCAATTTTAAATCTCAGGGAAAACTTATCAAAAAGTATTCAGTTTCACATCTCGCAAGTTATTTATGCTTAATCACTTAAAATTTAATTGAATTAAAATATGAATAATATTGGCCAAAATGAATTATTTTTATTATTTGTAAAAAGTAAAAATTTAAATAAGATTAATTCACATTAAGTTCTGATAAAATATTGGAAAATTTGTTTTATTCATTCATATTTCTTGGCTGTATTAGATTTATGGCTGATAATAAATGTTTACCTTCTTCTCTTCCGTTGACGGAGCGGTAGAGGCAGCTGCAGGAGGAACAGTGCCTTCCACTTCGTACTGACTAGCGATTAAATGCGGAGGCATTTGGGTGAGATCTGATTCGTTGTTGGGTCCCAAGAGCTGGTGCTGTTGGGGTGTGTGAGGTTGCTGGTGGTGAGGCAGGTAGTGAGAGTTCATGTATGGCACTTCACGTCCAAGACTGCGGTTGCCAAATCCACCGTTTGGCTGCATCTGAAACAAAATTAACACAATTTTAAAATTTGCATACATATATAAAAATATAAAAAAACACAAAATAAAAAAAGCGTCAAATAAGCGTTTATTGTATTAAAAAGATATTAGAAAAGTGCGTTGACATTTAAAAACTAAATATCAAAATATAAGGGTTCAATTTTTTTGTATAGCGCAATTGATCTCCCATCAATAACTCACATTTTCTGGAAGGAAATACCAAAATTGTTGGCCATTCCAGTATCCCTGATGCATTTCACACATTAAGGAGCGATGCGGGCGCGTGATTTCACTCAAACGCTTAGTGCCCGACTAAAAACAGTAAAAACTAGTAGAAAGAAGAGCAGCAGCGAGAATTTTCTCCGCCGCTCTTCTTCGCCTGACGCACACCTTTTCTATTATGAACGAACCACACCGGACGGACGACGTCAGGTAGCAGAAATGCAAGGGATGCGGGGAGGGAGAGTGTGTATTTCACAAAAGGTATGTCGCGCATAGCTAACAAGAATTAGCCATGCTGCGGTGCAGGTAGGCAATCGGAGCTCTTGCGCGGGCGGGCGGGCGAGCGTGCCACACTGTTTCATAGAAAGGGTGCGGAGGGAGAGAAAGAGAGGCCCTGGCTGAGATACACAATGGACCGAGCGTTTGCTCGGGGGAGGAAGCATGTGCACAGGAGACGTGTTGACACAATGAGGGTCTCTTCTCTCGTACCTGAGCACACCTTCCCCCTTCAAAACAAGAGCCAAATAGATTTCGTCAGCTCGCGCCTTCCTTCGCCGGCTTTTCCAGATAAAATTTATTCCGAGTGGTTCATTGACCGACTTTTGGACTTTTCTCTGAATGGGGGCTCGATTGGTGCCAGCAACCTTGACTGTCGCAGCTTGTTTTATTCGTTTACATGTTTGAGAGAGAAATGCGCCCGCACAGGCAATGTGCACTTGTTGCACTAGAAAATTTAATCTAATATTGAACATATGGTTCAAGGCGTTTTTTTACATTCGATCCTCGATCACGGCCAAGCAGTTTTTTTTTGCGAATGAGAAAATTTTATCAGCAGCGTTCAAAATTTGTAACAATATTTTAAATTATAGTTTATAATATAAATTAGGATACTAAGAATTCTTTTAGAAATTTATTATTTAAGTTAAATAGAATTAAATTGTGAAATTTTGTTTTATTGGCATTGGGCATTTCCTTATTAGATTTCTAATAAATTTTAAAAAGGTAAAATTTTAAGATTCAAGAAAGCCGTTTTAAGATTAATTCTGGCTAATTATTTAGAATGCGGTCCGGGCCAGGATTAGGAAATTTATTTACATTTAAATATAGTTATGTTTATTATATTTTATGATGCATGAACTTAATTTGTACCAATTTCAAAATTTATTAAACAAAATCTTATAAGAGTTAAAAGTGTTTAGAAGATTTTTATGTTTATAATTAAATTAAAAAAAGATAATTTTTTTAATTATTATATAATCATTAAAGAACTATTTAAAAATTGTGGTTATATTTAATTAAACTAAAAATAATTTCTAGTTTCTTCTTTCTTTTTTATGCATAAAAGCAAAACCACGTTAAAAACAAAGCTCTTTCTTTCTAAATTATTTCCACTTTTGACTCATAAATATTTGTTGTATACAAAAAATAGGCTTTCTTTATGAATAAATGAAATAAAATAATACTCATCATTCAATCTTTTCGAAATAAAAACACTGACAAACTTTTGGAGAATTGGGGAAACGCTGATTGACACATTGATAAATTAAAGTGGAAGTTGATTCTCACCTGGTGATGGTGTTGGGGGTGGTACTGAGGTTGCTGGCCGAACCAGCCCGCAGGCAACTGGTGGTGGCTGGAATACTGCATACTGTAAGCGCTGTGCTGGTCCACGTAGGGCGCAGGATAGAACCTCTGGGGCGGCGGCGGCGGCGACGCGCCGTAGGCGTGCACGGAGGGCCCTCCGTGGCCCCTCATCTCGTTGGCAGACACAGCCGCGGTCGCCGATCCGTGGAACACCTGCGGCACAAAAACGGCACAATGAGAGCGGCGAGTTTATATATGCGGGCTGCTGTGTTTCAATGAGCCGAGAGGAGCAGCGCGACTCGGTCAAATCGATATCAGCACGAAACCGCCGTGAACACACACTGCAACCTCCTGCACACCGGCGGCGGGCGCGCTTCATAAATCGCGGCATATTAGCAGTTTATGTGACACTCGAGTGACGGCATAAAGAAGCAGTCAAAGTGTATAATTAGCTCTAGTTAGTAGTATGTGTCACGGCGAAGAGGAGACCTGTTGCTGCCAGGTCCAAATGTCACGGTCGAACAAGAGACGTGTAATTATTCCTCTTTCGACAGTGTACGCCGCATGCAATCGTACCATTACAAATTTAATATATACCGTTTTTCAATTAGCCTAACAGCTCTCGCTTCTTAATGAAATAGCCGGGTGCGAAATGAGTCTCTCTTTTTCTCGCTGGCGTTAATATCGCGGTCGTGCACTGTATTAATGTCAAAATCGATAAAGGGCACAAGTCAACAATTTAGAGCCACACGGCTCAATGGACTATATCCATATATGCTCTCTCAGCAAATTGTCCAGTCAATATGCGGATCTAATAGCGCGGAAAAAATGCACATTTTTTTTATCCGGTGCAATGAACGTGTATAAATTTTTCCTATTTTTTTTCCACCTCGTTCCATAAGCTCAATTACGCGCGTCACTGCTGTATGTGCATGGACCGCAAGTTGGCGATTCGACCACGCACGGTGCTATATCAGCAAGAGACCCCATGCTCTAGAGCGGCGGCCTCGACTCTCACAAATCGATATAGAAACTCACTCGCACCCCACATCCAGCCCTATGGCAAGTGGGCATGCTGTATTGATGATGGTGAGCATGATACGGGCAGCTCCCTTTCCTAGACGTCATTTGACGGCGCGCGGTGCCCACACCAGGTGTGTGTGTGTCAATATCAAAGAGGAATCGCGGATTATTATCATTTCCCGGTTATTTTTTATTGCGTTGATAGTAATCAAACCGGCGGCGTTTGCGCCCTATGGCGAGAGTGATATTTCGCGCCGCTTTCGTCCGCGCGCTCCTCACACTCCACGCGGTGAGGAGGAAATTTTGGCGGCCTATTGATTTTTCATTGAAATCTGCTGCGTGCAATGAAACGGTTAGCAACGCTGCCCGGAAGAGTATATAAACGCGGTGTGTTGCCCAAAACAGAAAACGCGCCTCGCGTGAAATTATTAATAATTTTTCCATGGCAATTAATATTTTCGTATTGATCGGTTTGTTTTTCGATTTCTGCTGACGGTGCTTCCCTTTTTATATGTACAACATGAAAGTGTGAAGAGAGAAAACGGCGGCTCTGCACGAGGCCGAAGCCCATCGAATTATATGCGCGCGGAGAGGAGCAGTTTCAAGAGAGTGCAATCGATTTTCTTGATATAGGCAGACGACTGCAGAGAGCCGCTGTCGGTGCAAGCCAAAAAAGTTTCCCCCCAAATGAAACACAATTATAAATTGTCCAGTCAGCCAGCTTGTAAAACGTCACCCCTTTTCCTTTCCGGTACGCCAAAGGAAAATCAATTGTTTGGAGGGAAAAAATTAAAACTCTTGTATTAAAAGGTGCGATAAAATCAAATCCGCGGTCTCAACCTCGAACAAGCACCTAATTAAAAAGCAATTACCCAATATGCTAATTTGACAGGGCAGCACGCACAAGATCGAAAACGGATCAAACGTCAAGGGCAGCGATTTTCATAATCAACAGGTTTTCTTTCTTTATTTGTCTGCAGTTGACGCTGATCGCACTGAAGCTGTGCAAATTTCGTGTGTGTCTGGTGCGCTTCGTCGTAATGCAGCAGTTCGGGCTGACTGGAATACGTGCTCGGCTCTTCCCGCATTCCTGCAACAAGTGGCTCAAAGTACGTAATCATTGAGCTAGATTTGTGCCAGCAGTCTGCACAACGTCGCCCCCATGCTTTCGATCACTTGGCATCCCGATAGGCTGGGTTGCATACCCGCGACTGCGTTGCCATGGCGACTGCCCGTTTCCATGGCGACCTTCATCAAGGCAATAGTCGAGGATGGGCTGTGCACGCAGGCAGCAGCAGTCCTACCAGCTCCTCGCCGGAGCGTACGCAGGCAACCTGGACGGCGTATCTGCGCAACCAGTTGCATAGTCGCTCACTCTGCAGGCGCTGCAATTCGCCTTGCTAACTGCACTGCCGCAGTCGCGATGCCCATGAGACGAATAAAAATTTACGACCTTAGTTGGGCGTATTAGATGAGTTGCTGGGTTTTCGTGTTTAATGTAATTGTTGCAAATTTTATGCCCCACAGAATTAAAAATTCAAAATGCAAATTAAAAAATAATATTACGCGTATTTTTTTTCTAGTAATTAATTAGTTTAAATGTCTTTCACGGAAATATTCAAATGTGCCGCATCCGTTTATTACGGCAAAACCCGATAATTGAGGCGAATAACAATTTCCGCGAATTTTCCCCGCATCGCACGGCCGGTGATAAAATCAACTCGCTTTTCCGAGAATAATAAAAAGTTTGCAAGGGTTGTCGTGATGTGGATGTGAGGCGCTGCATCACGCCTATGACGGGCTCGCTACCCTCTAACATTTATGCCAGGCAGGAGCTAATCGATGGAAGGGCGCCACCAGTGTATTTTGTGTACGCTGGATGTATGGGGTTCGCGCAAGCGGAGGATGTTACGTTCCTTCGATTCTCTCGTCCTCATCTGCCGCCACCGTCCTGCTAGGGTTTCACCGCCCTTAGAGAAGCGAGCGTGTATATGTGTAGGATCGATTGCAGCAAATAAGAGGGTGGGTTTTTTGCCGCTCTCTCTCACACAGCTCCTTTCTGCCGCGTCGTGCTCTCGAGACGTTCGTGCAGACGGCTGCGCGACTTTGACGTCAACCCCCGCGAATTTTGAGCTATCAGTTTATCGCGCAGTTCTCCCTAATTTAATTTAAAAAATTCGCAAACCATTTATTATTGTTCGTCTTTTATTTTAAAATTTTCAATTACCTAAAAAAAAAATGCATAATAACTAACCTTGTGAGGGTGAGCACCAAAGGGCGGTATCATTCCTGGTCCGTTTCGGGGAAGGCAGGGATGGCGCATCATGTGAGGAGGAGGTGAGACCTCCCGCTCCGCATGTCCGGAGTTCTTGCGTTGGCGGGCGGCTCGGAGCGCCTGCTTGGTCTGATCCCTCTGCGCCTTGCGAATGCGTGCCTCTTGAGGGTTGTAAACGTACCCTGCGAAAAAATAAACAACCACCGCACACTTAATTCAAGATGCTGTAAAAATGCAATAAAATCTTTGGCTGGCGGCGACAGTAAGTAGGAAGGTCAGTGTGCGAATAAAGCCACAGAGCGGCTTGTGTTACGTCACTCATAATGGCAATCAATAAGAGAGTGAATTTAGCAATGTTGCATAAAAGCAGCAACCGCAGCGTGACACGCCAAAGAATTTGTGTCAAACTGCAAATATAAATTTTGGCAAAACTTTATTCAATTATTGTTTTTATTCAATTTTTGCACTTCATTCATTCTCATCGGCCACAATTTGCACTGCGGCCACGAGCTTTTTTACAATATTGATCGCCAATGTGACCGTGTCTATATGTGCTGAGAGCATAATAATATGATACGTCGACTGCGACGAGCAGCATTGCATGGCAAAATAATTGAAGCCACCGTGCCAGCAGGGCTAAGACTGCAGATGGAAAGCGATTCGCAGTCTCTGTGGTCCAGCTCAAGTGCCAGCGAGCAGTAACTCATCCAGCCAATTGAAACTGGCAAAGAGCGGCAGACTTTGAATACCCAAACATGCTCCCTCACCAACACACATGCACATGCTATTAAGCCTCATTGTGCACCGAGCACCACCAAACACCAAAAACCACGCAAAAATGAACCACACAGCAGAAAAATTAGAAAACAAAATTCCCCAAAAGAAATTTGAAATTTTTTGTAAAGAAAATAGCATGCTATACAAAAGAATTGAATGCAGAAAAAAATTAATTTTGTACCTCCGGAGTTGTAAGAATTTGAGCTGTACTGGTGCATGTTATTAAAATGCGAGCCGTAGTAATCTTGCTGCGGCTGCGGATGCTGCTGTTGATACCCATTGTAGTGGTGCGAGTAGTAATAATTATTACTTGGGTAGTTGGCCTGCGTCTGCAAGCCCAGGGACGCACTCATGTTACTCTTGGGCGGTGTCGGCTGCTGCTGCTGCTGCTGGTAATAGTAGGAAGAGGACTGTTGGTACTCATACGGAGGGTAGTTGTTACAGTGGGGCTGGTAGGGTTGCTGCGACGGCGGCGAGGCGGGATTCAGATTATTGTAGTACGGTGCGGCTGCTGACGATGACTCGATGTAATCACAACAGTTCATAACCACTTTCATGCTATTGCATGCTGTCGTGACGAAAAAACGGCTCGTCCCTCAACCTGGCGCTGCACAAATGTACCTTGCTGTCGAGCCCGCGCTTCCGATAATCTTTCTCGGTGCCACTATGGATCGAGTGTATGTGTGTATACTGGCGGAGTGTGAGCACCGAGCAGGCAAGGCGGGCTTGCCTATGTTGCACGGCGTCGTCGCCGGCTCTGGCGGGGTCAGCCCGAATCAATACCTGAGGCAGAGGATCGAGTCGGCGGCGGCATGAGTTTGCTAGCGTACGACATCCTCCAACGTTCAGCCGAGCTCGCGAGCTCACTATGTGCGCCAGACTAACAATAAAATTCAGCCGATTTGTGCTAAATAACTGCAACAAAATTGCCCATTTACGCGTCAAGAAAAATAAAAATTTTTCAAAATGTATCTTCAAAATAATTACGTAAGAAAACTGAAAGATTTGAAACTTTTGAAAAATTTCAATACGCCGAATCACAAAAAAAAAAAAAAAAAATGATATGAATGTAAAATATTAAAAAATTTCTATACCATCTTATGACCCTCCCAAAAAATTTAGCTTTCAAATTTCTTGAAATATAATTTCCAAAATAAAATTTTAACTTACATGGATTTTTACGTTTGTGCTCTGCTGCAAGTTCTCTGGCTCTTTCTTCGTAAGCGTTTTTGACAGGAGCAGGAAGTTTGCGCCACATGTCTCCAAGCCTTGGAATAAGAACGATATTTTTTTAAATATTTTTCTATCCATAGGCAAATGATAAATTTTAAAAATTGCTAAAAAAAAATATTAAACTTACAACACGCTTATGTCCTTGTTTTTGAGATCTGGATTTTCCTCAGAAAGCCTGGACCTGAATTCTCTAGCGAATATCATGAAAGAATTTGGAGGCCTGCTGATTTTATCCATTTTCTCCAGCGATGGCAGCCGGATCCTTTTCTTTGCTTTCACTGGCGCCTTTGCCTTTTTAACTTCTTTGGGTGGTTCATTTCCAACCAGGTGGGCTGCGAGCTGCTGGATCAGGCAGCTGGGAACTTTGCCACCAAAAATTTCCCTCAGGTGGTCATTGTCACTTCCAATGGCAACAGCAATCTCGTCGATGCAGAGGTCCGCTTCTGACGGAACCTCCCAAGAATTTTCGGACGAGTCGTCAATGTACTCACCCTGAGCAACAGGAAAATCAAATTCACATATTTCCACTGTGAATTTTCCAGTGTACATTTCCTCAAGAACTTTGGCAGCCATTGCTGCTTCTGAAAAATTTCAAAAACGCGGTTCATGAACATAAATATTAAATATATAATAACAACTTATTTTGGAAGTAAAAAAATATATTTCTAAAAACCTCCATTAAATCTACTTAATATGCGAACCAGAATAAAATTTTTGAAATTTTATAACGGTAGCGTAGTTCTTTTTTCTACTGGTAGAAAGAATTTTTTTAAATTCTTTATATAAAAATTTAATTATAATCCCAGGAAATGAAAATGTTTTTGAAATTCACCGGACAATTAAAATATTTGCAAGCAAATATTCAAATAGTTTCTCATGATTCTTAACGAATTTTTAAAAATAAATGTAAATTAATTCAAAATCAAATTGCCTCAAGAATTCATGAAGAACTTTGAAATTTTAAATGTTTCAAATGATACAAATAATAGGAGGAATTTACAATGATTGCAGAAATTAACAAATTAGCAAAATTTCTGAAAATTCTTACCTTCCTCAGCATTTCTGCTGGTGCCGTTTTTTGATCTCGTCCAGTAACGACTCATGGCGCGTCTTGACTGTAAGAATTCTCCCAGTCAACTGTCAAAATTTGAAACTCTCGAATTGTTGTTGTTGTTGAAAGATGCTGCGTTGCTTGGATACCGATACCAATCATGATTGTTTAATATGAGAAAAAACGTTGATAAGAACCTCCCACTTACCTCTTTTTGTTTTTGAAATAGTTAAAACATGTAAAAAAAAAATAATAATAACGTCCATAGCGGATGAATTTTAAAACGAAAAATTCTTTTTATGCTAATTCTCTTGTACGACGCATAAATAACATGAATAGGGGAAATTGTTAAATTCACACATTAGTATTATATACAAATTTTAGATGCTAGTGAATTTTGAGACGCAAATTATGTAATTAAATAACGAAAAAACTTTGAAAGTAGCAAAATTCTTGCTATTTGCCCGAGTCGTGGTCTTCGCGGCTCGCGCCGCTGGTGACGAAACAGCAAAACTCAAAACAATTGCGCATCGCCGGTCCAATCATCATCTGTGCGGTTGAAAAATATTTTCTTGTTTTCGTGTCGTCGGCTGTCTGAGGCTTGATTTTGTCCAAAATTCAGCATGTAAAGAGGAACATAGAGTCAATTTTTATTTGAAACGTAAGAAGAATAATTTATAAATAATGGCTGCTGCTTGCATAAGCTTTCGGTGGCTCGAGTTGTTGGAAAAGGAGTTTGACAAGGCGTTTGTGGACCTGGATGTCACTCTCGGTAAGTTTGTTTATTTTCACATTAATTCGCCATTTGACACGTTTATTGATATTGCCTAATATTTTTTAATAAGCAATAATTTTTTTAAAATAAAACTGATCGCCCGCACTAAATTCTGTCAGTCGAATCCGTGAATTTTCGAGCCCTTAATTTTATTCGAAACTATTTTTGTACAGTACACTTATTGATTATTATTTAACATTCCCCATTTTCAGCTGTGATGGAAACAGAGGACTCTGACTGCCTTTACAGTGCTAGGCAAAGGATGTCAACACTGAGCTCGTGCTTTGCCCAACTCACCCACAAAGCCCAAACGATTTTCCAAAACAGTGCAAAAGTTGAGGTGAGTTCAATTTTCATTTTTCGAAACTCGTTCAAAAGCTTTCCGGATTTTTGTTCATTATATGAGAAAATTAATATCTAAAAAATTTAAATTATTTCACATCTGTCGGCATTTAAACAAGTTTTATTTTTTATTTTTGGCAGTGTTCATCAGAATTTAAGTATTTCATACATTTTTCATTTTAAAACAATATTTATTATAAAAATTAAATTAACTTTCGTCTCCATCCTTTGTGTCCTGTGCAGCTTGCAATTCCACATACTCATCTTCGTCTAGCTTTTCTATTAAGCCAAAATTTTAGTTTAAAACCAAAACAAATTTAAGCAATCAAATCTGTGTAACCTTTTCCCAATAATTCCGGCAAGTCAGGCTCTGTGGCAGTTATTTCCTCAGTTGAGTTGTTCTTGTTTTGCGAAATTATATCCTCCAGCTCGCTGAAAATGCTGCTGTTGGTTTGAGCGTACGAGCTGCCTTCCAAAACCGACTCGTCCACAAATTTGAGCAGGATTGGTTTCAAATCTTCAGTAACTCTGGTCGCTACTGTATCAACCGTGAACTCCTTCTTGTGCTCCTGAATGGTGTCTCTTAAAATATTCAACGCCTTGAAAATATTTTTGGCGTCCCCGGTGGCCACCTCGCTAATTTTCTCTGAGATTCCGTGCAGTTTTTCCAACTCGCGAGAAACTCGTAAGTCCGTGCTGTAGAAAGTGTCCAAGAGGCGCTTCGTTTCTATGGTTCTGAAATTTTACTGAGATAAAAGTTAAAAATCTCCTAATTATTTCCTTACTCATTGATGAAGTTTTCGTGAATGCGAATCAGGTAGTTTTCAATGGATTTTTCAATGGGCATCTCTCTGTCCTGTATTCTGCGGCAGCTGTTCTTCAACTGGTCCTGGGCCTCTTGCAAGTTGATCAGTCTGAACCCCATGTCTCTCCCGAGCTGGTTGATTTTACTTGTTATCCGAGAAATTTCTGAAAATTTCCTCTTGATTAATAGTTGCTTCATTAAATTATGCTTTCTCTTGCAAACCGGCAGCTGGAGCTTGGTAATATGTCTGAGGAAATTGCTGTGGAAATTGACCCTGATAGCCTGCCCTTCTGAGGAACTCGAGGATGTGGCTGTAGGTGTGATTTGCGACGGCCGAAGTTTGCACTACTTTGTTTTCAATGATCACCGTCCGACTCCAAAGATCCGTGCTGATTTCCCGCACCTGGAAATGGAAATTAATCAATTTAATTTGAATGTCTGCATTTGTTGAAAAATGATTACTCTCGTAATAATAATAATAGTTAACCTTGGTTTCCAAATTGCCAATTTCAGTTTTCACCAGATCCATTAATGTGTTGTGGCTCCTCGTTAAAAAGCCGATGATGTTTTGCGACAAAGTCTGAATTATTGTGCTGAAGTCGAGTCCCTCGATGTTTTTGAGACTTGTCTTAATTTCTTCCACTTTTTTGTCAACCAGACCAATTTCTTTCCTCAGCCGATTTTCTCCAGACGTTATCGTCCCCTATAAAATTTCATCCAATTTATAAATTTGGAAATAATTTTTAGACCAACCGTTAACTGGTGGCAGCAGGCCGAGCTGGTCGAGAAGTCTTTTTTCACGGCCCCCTGTAATAATACAGAGACATATTGCGTGGGAGGATTTTAATTGACTTGTTTTAATTTAAAGAGTGACTCATATGCCAGTAATTCGTTGCGCTGATGTCAAAACTAACAATAATTGAGTCTTGCCTGCACTTCTGTCGGGTGCCTCATCAGAAAGTCCATTTTCGCCTCCAAGTGGCCCATTTTATTAAAAATCGTTTCTGAAATGCTCTGGAGTTTGTTGTTCGTGGTTTCTGCTGCCATTTCCTCTTTACCCTGGCGCCTTCCTAAGTTCTTGAAATCATAAAGTCTTACTTGAAACCAATATTTTTTTAGCATATCAATTTTTTTTAATAAAAAAGTAGAAATTTTATCTTATATAAATTAAATAATGTAAAGTTTTACCTCAGATAGGGTGTTCAGTCTTGTGTCGAGCGAGCCCTCGATCCGTCCCAGTCGCGTTTCGACCGCCTCCAGTCTGCGCGCCAATCCCTCGAGGTCCACCTCAGTGTTGGCAAACTCGACGTGCGACTGCCCTTTCAATGCCTCGCCCAGGGATTTCAACCTCTCTTCTAAGGAGGCTAAGATCTGCGGCACGGTCTGAAATCATCAAAGGCCCGGTCAGAGAGTGCGGCGTCTTTGATGTGTACAATTAATTATATCGTGAATGCAGAAATACTTCTTATCACATGACTCGGAGGGCACGCCGACGGATTTGAACTCTGGCCCTCTTTTGTTTTTTCACAAAATTCGGCCGAGGGTCGCGCGTGTGTTGAACTTTTAATTCCTTTTTGCCCCTAAAGTCTAATTCATTTTTAAATGAAAAAAATTTGGTCTGCACGTCGCTTGTACCTGTTTGGACGTGTGGGCCTGGACTTGGGCGGCAGCGGCGACGTTGGTGGAAAGGGCGCCCGACGCGCAGCCCTTGATGAATAGCAGCAGGGCGAGTGCCGCTGGCGTCAAGTGCATGGTGCCTGTGGAATGTCACGCCAGTGTTCCCCGATGAGTGAGAGCTCTCCCTGCGAGAGATGCGAAGCCAACACTGCGTGGTCCACGAGATAAAACAGATAACAGCATCCCCACTCTGTTTGCCATTCAACAGCCGCGGCCCATTGAGTCGCTCCGGTCGGACGCACTGTTGCCTCCCGATTTTAGGCATTTCGCTCTCAATTATGTTGTCAATGGTTAGGGCTCTCGCGCCAATTAGACGCGCTCGTCGTCTCTGTTTTCTGACAGATAAAATCATCGGTCCTTTTCTATCTCTCTCTCGCTTTCCTTTTCTTTTAATGAACACCGTGCAGCATTCCTCCTGTGGCCTTGGATGCTCAGCCTCTTGGATTTAAAAGCGAAACTTGTTTTTCCAACAACTATACTTTTATTTCTGCTTTGCGTGCGCACAGAGATAATTATAACTGAAGGTGGTCTGTTGTAAAAAAGAGGGTTTCCAGCCAATAAAATGTATAATTCCAAGAAAAGGAAATAAAAAAATATTTTCTCTGCTTTTAGGCCGAGCTGGTGCATCTTCGAACAGAATTGGCCCAGGCGAAGGTAAAAAATTCCACTCTGGAAAGTGAGCTGCACCGGACGCTACTGCAGCTTCACGCAAAACAACTCCACAGACACAGTGACACCTCCGAGCTTAGTCCGGAAGACGTGGCTGCGACGGAAGAGGCGCTTCGGAGAGTCCAAGCGGAACTTGAGCTTGAAGAACAATGCAACGCCAAGGGCCACCCTGCAGCTGCGTTGGCCAATGAAACAAATAAGCTGCTGATGGATGAAAATTCTGCTCTCAGAAATTCTCTTCTAGCTCTTCACTCGGAAGTTTACGGTGCCAGACTTGCAGCCAAATACCTGGACAAAGAGCTGGCTGGAAGGTATTTAAAATAAATAACATTTCAATATATTATGTATTTTAATTAAATTATTAAATTTTTTTTAGAATTCAGCAACTCCAGCTCTTGGGTCGTGATATGAAGGGTGAGATTAGGGACAAACTGTGGCGGCAGCTGGAGGCCGAGATTCTTTTACACAGACACAAAACGGTCATTAGAGCCTGCAGGAGAGGAAGAAACGGGCCAAATGCTGCACCACCCTCAAAAGACATGTCTGCTGCTTGGCATAGCCATCAAGGCGTAGGCGAACCGAGGAGAGTAGCAATTACCAGAGATGCTGACGAGGGGTTGGGAATTTCTATCACAGTAAGACAAAAATAACATTTTCAACTCCAGTGGTATTGATTAGCAAATTTCAGGGTGGTCGAGAGCACGGTGTTCCCATTTTAATTTCCGAGCTAGAGCCAGAAGGGCCAGCAGCCCGAACAGCAGCTCTTTACGTCGGAGATGCCATTCTTAGTGTCAACAGTATTAGCTTAAGAGATGTGAATACCTTTTAATATCTCTGTCAATGAAGTTGAAAATCATCTTAAATATTTTAGGTTGGTCATTATGAGGCTGTTGAAATATTGTCGGCGCAAGCTGGGACTGTAAGCCTTGAGGTGCAATACATAACATCAGAGGATAGTGATGATGATAATTCACTTACAGATTTTGTGGATGGATTTAAGTATAAAAAAGTGCTTTTATTTTGTAGCACAAAAAAATTATGAAAAAATTTTAAGGTTTAGATTTTTTGATCAAGAAGTAATGATGTCTGGAGAGAAAGTCAATTTCCATTCCGCAAGTAACGGTAGCATTCCTAAAATGCTTGACGCTTTTGAAGCCAAGGCAATGATTAACACACCAACAGCACCTCGAACACCAGAAAATTTTCAAGGAAGAGAAAGGTAGTTAAGTTTCTTTCTTCATACTAGAATACTAATAAAATGTAATTTTTAAATTGTAGTGTCGTTGACAACCACGATTACTCGGAAGGTTTTGAGAGTCCTGCTCAGGATTCAGCTAGTCAAGAGAGGCCCCTAAGCCCTGCTCCCCCTTCAACTCTACCATCACCCCTCCCAAATCTTTCATCTCCTCCACCCTCTAGTGGCAGATCAATATCCAGACTGTCTTCAACGTCATCTCAGTCCATGCTAGTGCTTGGCTCCCCAGGTCGGGCAGTGCCAGTAAAACCCCCTGAGCCACCTACCCCCACACACAAAAAGAAAACAAAGCTTGATAGTGTGGTAACTTCAAATCCAGATTATGAATATGGCACGCCAGTGTGATAAGTGGACTTGCCTTCAGTCGTGTAAATCTTTATTCTTAAAAACCATTCGTTGCATTTCTATCTACGTCTGCTTGTGATTATGTTTCCTTTCGTAAAGCAAATTTTATTTTTTATTGTGCATCACATTTATTAAATAAAATAGACATAATGCAAAAAACCATCACAATACATAGTCTTATCTTTGCTGTATGTAAACTGAACCAAAATTATCAAAAATTGTAATAGATGCTCAAAAAAGCTAAATTCTACGTATATTTAGTTTACTTGGCACGGGCAATGAACACACGGATCTCTACAACATTGAATTAGCTGCTCTGTTCACACATCACGGAGTTATTTTTACTCTACGCGGAACGGGAACCCCAAACACTAGGTTCAGAATAGCATTCCAAATCAAAGACCCAGACAATTTGATGCTTCTGAACCTTATTAAAATAGCTTCGTATACTCCTTTAGAAATTTCTCCAGAATTCGGCACATAGTCATCATAATTATTCCTGGAAAATAAAAAAATTAATATATTTTCAAAAAAGTTGTTATTGATTTTACTTGAGTTTTTGAGCAGTTTCGTTGACAAATGTATACATGTAGCAGGACGGGGTTAAGGAAATTGTCTTGATGTGGTGAAATGCTTTGCTCTCAACATCTACTGCTTCGCCAGGCCTTACGATAGCTTTTCTAACAACTTCCCTCTCGGAAAGCAAGGTGTTTTGCTCAAACTCAACCTCTCCTTCTAGTACAGTCAAACTTATATTTCCAAGTCCTTCAGAGATGAAATTTTCCATTGACAGGCCTGAATAAATCAAGACATTAATAGTTTGCTCAAGTTTGCTTGAACACAATGCTTTAATAATTTACCTGGAAAATCAGCAACAAACAGCACATCACTGTAATTGGACCAAGCAAATATTTGATTTTCAATTTCAGGCAGTTTTATTCTCCAGGATGATAGGTCAGTCAAAAGAGGCAGTGTCCATTTAGGTTCTTCGAATGGTGACCAAACTACTTTTGTCAAATCGACTCGTGGGTCATACATACGTTGTTGGAATCTCCCGTTTAAAGAGCTTAAAACGTCAAGAAAGATAGAAACATCGTTCATTCCTTGGGTATCCAACAAGTTCTTTTGAACACATTTAGCCCATTGGTAAACCATATCTGGATGCTTGCTCCACCTGTCAGTCTGCACCCATGCCTAAATTTAAACCACATTTAATAATACAAAGAATTTTATGAAAATATTACATCTGGATTCAAAAATATCTCCTTCCCAGAGCTCCTGTCTATAACCTTTGGGAGAACTAAAATTGTGTTCCACGAGTGCACCATCATATCCCACGAATACCCATACAGCCCTGGTGTCCAATTCTTAAAGCCCTAAAAAATAAGTTTTGTATTTATTCTGCAGGATATATTTATGGAAATATACGGACCTTTGTGAAAGAATGGGAATACGGCAGTACAGCTTGAATTGAGATATGGGACGCTAAACACGTCAAGATTAAGTAATGCTTCCATTGGATTTTCAGTTTATCTTTGTGATAAATTGGCTTGAGGCAGCTCGGATCTGTAAAATTCAAACAGAAAATTTATATTTGACACAACGGATAATTCAATACTTGCCTTCTGAACCAGTTTCATAGTCATTAGTAGTACTAGTTGGGAATATTTTCCTTGGCCAAGATGGGTCACAAAATAATGGCAAAGTTACGAGACAAACATATGGAAACATCCCTGTTAAGTGAAGTAGAATATTTAGAAATCTCGAAGATTAATTGAAATTGTTCATACCAATTGAGAAGATTTGAGAGTTCATCAAATGGAACGAAGAGCAAAAGAAAAGTGCACTGGGCCTAGTCTTGTCGAAGAACAGCCAAAATGCAACTGTGAGATCAAGGACAAATCCTCCTACGTGGATGATCCAAAGGTCAACTTGTTCTGGTGTCATAAAAGTCCTGGAGAATTAAATTTTAATTTTTAATGATTTTTTTTCAATATAATCAAATACCTGAATGGCTGAAATACCCAGTGGTTGGCTAAGTAAGTCATGGAATAACCATTTAGCCAGTCAAAGTCCAACTTCTTGAGCCCAGCCAAAAAGTACAACAGGAATAGCTGATAACGTAGAATGGCATAATTCCACAGAGGAGCTTTTTTCTGCTTTTTGGGCCAAATCCACGCATCGAGAGAACTGCAAAAAATTGCTTATCATTTCACGGGAAATTCACAACTTCTCCAATCACTCTTACCAGTACAGGTTAGCTTGTGAAGGGAGCAACAAAATAGCAAGTAAGCCATATAGGTAGGAATGATTATTCCAAGAGGACTTGTCCATCAGGAAAATGTACCAATAGGTGCTAGCAAAAGCTACACAACTTGTGCGAAAGAAAAATCCCAAAGTGATACCAAGTGCACCTGTAATTCCAGAGAAAGCCCAACACCAAGAAGCAAGTGAGGTTTCATATTACGTACAATTACTTCACAAAATATGGACCGGTTGAACTTGAACTACATAAAAGGCACTCGAAAAACAGATCTACAGGTTATTCTACCTACCTATCCACATTACTAAGTACACCATGAACATCCACTGGAGTGAGAGGAGAGGCAGAAAATCAAACAGGGGAAATCGGCAATCAAGAGGGTTGCCCCAGCGAATGTCTGCAATCGCTAAACCGCGCTCATCAGGAATGTCAAAGACCATCAGAAATCCTGAATTTTATTTTTAATTTAGAGCATAGAAGAATTTTTAAAATTCTGAAGTGAAAATTTACCAAAAAGCGCTCGAACAACTCCCAAGCTGGCAGCGTCTGTCGGTCGACACATGAGAAGAATCAGACTTTGGCACGACCTCAGGTCACTTGGGTAGAAGCCGAAGAGGTGGTAGAATTTGCCCCTTTTCTGCGTAGCTTCAAATTGCTTTGAAGTTTCTTTAGATTCCTTGCTGACGACGTCAGCAATTTGATCCTTTTTTAAAGCGCCCTTCATTTTAGCTGAAATATAAGGAATATTGTTTGACAATTATTTGGTGTTAGCTGTTAATCACATCGCCCTTGTTCTCTGGAGCCAAGACGAGGTATGAACTTATTTTTTGGTCCCAGATCAGACAAGGGCGCACACGTAGCCATGGCAACAAATTGGAGAAGTTCCCCTATCGTAAAGACTGATCATGTTTACGACGTGTCTCACAAATTCTCATTCTCATTTAACGCTCCAATAACCTATTGATGTTTTAATTTAAAACAACTAACATACCTTCAAGTGGTATGAAATATTATAATGGTTGGAAAAAATAAAAATAAAATTCATAGGCTAATAATTTTTGTGAATGAATACAACTAATTTATATCCATCATTAATTACAAATAATCTTAAGAAAATAAGAAATTAATAAATGAGAAATTACATAAATAATAATAATAAAATAATTTTTCAACAAATTCCAAGTCAAGTAATTAATAATCAGAAGAAGTCATTCGCAGTCTATGCGCATTGCTAAAATAAAATTTGTATAAAAATTTATGCACCTTTCTTTGCCAGCTTTGCAGAACCGTTGACTATGTACCTGCCCATTTTCTGCAATAATTGCAAATTTTTGCAACTGGAGAGGAAAAATTATTGCAAATTTTCTTTTATGCGTATCCACTGGGCCGGGCCAGGGAGGACTTGTGGGTTCAGGAGTTCAGGAGGGTAAAGCAGATCGAGATGAGATCAATTTTGCTCGATGGTATATTATTGTTTTCTAAACCATTCTGCTCTTGTCGGTCCTTAGCTCAGGATGTCAATGCCCCGCTGCCCCCCTGCTTGAACCTGCTGGTGAACTTTTTTGTTGCCTTGTGCCTCCTTGCCTTGTGCCTTGTTGTTTTGGTTTTTTGTTGCCAGATGAGCGTGCGCTGCGCATGTGCGAGCGCCACACGCCACACACAGACAGAGACACGCCCATCTTGCACTGCCAAAACATTTTTTGACATTCCAAAAACAAATATTATTTTTCAGTTTTCTTCAATCCGAGATAGAACTTTTACCCAAAAGTTTATGCTTGTCATATGAGTGAAATTGAATTGTATTAATTTTTAAATTACAGACAGAAATACCAATCATGTCACGTCAAGCAAGTAGATTAGACGCCAAAAAAGTGGTAAGATAAATTAATAATAAATTTAATTTTTATAATTTATATACATACATTTTTTTTGCCGATACAAAGTTTCCATTTCGTTTTTTTACAAATTATATGTTAATCTTGTAAATTTATTAAATTATTTTATTCTGTTGTTAGCAAAAAAAGTATGTCCACCGTAAAAATTTAGCACCAAAAGTTTTTTACGTAAATTTCTTTCCGCAGTTGTTGATTGGTAAATTTTAAATTTATTTAAATTGCATATAAAATTTGCAGAATTCAGAGCTTTTTACACTCACATATGGAGCCCTGGTCACTCAGTTAATCCGAGATTTGGACACGGTAGAGGAGGTGAACAAACAGCTTGAAAGAATGGGATACAACATTGGGGTCAGGCTCATCGAGGACTTCTTGGCACGGTCAGGGTCGGGCCGTTGCTTCGACTTCAGAGACACAGCTGAAAAAATTCAAGTAAAATTCTTGGTAAAAAATTATAAAATGAAATTAATTCCAACTGTGTACAGTTGGCCACAAGGATGTTCTTGGGCGTGAACCCCATTATAAGCAATTGGAGCCCTAGCTCGGACGAATTCTCATTGATCTTAGACAGCAACCCTATCACAGATTTTGTAGAGCTGCCTGACAGTCACTTGGGTCTGAAGTACTCCAACATGCTAACTGGTGTTATCCGAGGGGCCTGTGAGATGGTAAAATTAAATTCCGCAAATTTAATCTGAATAACTGATATAAATGAAATAATAGGTTCAACTTGAAGTGGCTTGCTGGTTTGTGCAAGATCAGCTGAAAGGAGACAGTTCAACTGAAATACGAGTGAAACTGTTGCGAAAATTAGAAGATTCAGTGCCTGCGGGAGAGGACTGAACACATAAAGAAACTGCATCTCTGCTAATAGAGTTACACAATTGTCTTTAATATAAGCCCAATTATATTATACATAAATCGTCAGTTATTATGATATAAATAAAATACAATTTTTTGTTTAATTTTTTGTTGTAAATAATTTATTAATTACGCAATAATACAAGGCCGTCATTATAATAGACAGCATTTAAGAGCCATTCTATATAAATAACATTGCAACACTTTTTAACATGACCAGAGGTAACCTGCTTCAGGAATGAACACTTTCTATCAAAAGTTCCTCAGCAATAGCAGCAAATTTTAAGTCAATCAAAACATCCAAACACGCAAAAAAAAAACCGAGGTCTGGGCTGTCAAATTTTAACAACAGGGAGCGCACCCTGTTAAAAAAGATAAATTTATTTGTTATATTTGAGCCCTAATTAAGTATTAGCATGGTTGGCTCACTTAAATTATGTGGTGTAATTCTAATGTGGCGCAAAAATTGGCAGAAGACTTGGCCGTTTTTACCTCCAATGACAATACACACTCCTTCACACTCATTAATCACGGCAAATGAAATTGATAGAAAACATACAAAAATCTTAATTCAACTTACAACAAAAGGATATTGCAATTGCCCATATAAAATTGTTTGTATTCCGTAAGTGGAAAACGTGTTAGATTAACACAAAAATTGATTATTTTAAAGCTTCAATTTTAAATTCTTGGATTCTTTATTACCTATGTCAGGTTACTGTAATGTAGATCAAAAGATGAGGTCAACGGCCACAACATACAATTGTAGTGATTAATTTCAATCCAAATATGTATCTTAGGCAGTTACTGTGTTGTTAACAATTTTAATTTCAGCCTATATATTGGTACTAGGAAAGCAGACTGTATTTCGGGGAATTCGAGAGGTGTATAAACCCAAACAATCCACTGATTCAGTCGCAAATTCAGCATTAGACAGCTGTGTGGTAGCTTTAATTTTGCTTCAGTTTCTCTTCAGCCACAGCATTGTCCGCCTCAGCCTTCTCAGTTATTGCTGCTGCTGGAGCAGGTGTGCCAGATTCTGGCGCTGGCAAAACTTGTTTGGCCATCAACTGTTGCAAGCAGACTAGCATGAATGCTGCGACTAGAAATGGACTAAGCCGATAGAGAGAGACGGGAGCAAATATAAGTCCCACGGCAGCCACTCCAAATAAAATTACACTCATTTCTTGGCTATGTTTCCTGCAAAATGAATAAAAGTCATCTAGCTTTGTGAGGAGCAGTGTTGGAAATAATCAACTTACAAATACTGGCGGGGCATTTGGCGCTGCCACAGGACAGGGGCACAGACGCAAAGGGCTAAGGCTGCTGCCAAAGAAGGATCCGGGCTTAAACGAGTTCCAAATCTGTGGGCATTAAGGGAAAATACAAGGATTGGAATTTATTAAAAATAAAAATATTTGATACTGCTCGTTCTGAAATCTGATGGTTGAAATTAGACTCAATTTTTTACTTCATTAATTTTCACTACTTACGGAAAAGCTCTTGCCCATGCTAGGGCACAAGGTGCATGGAGACCAGTTGTGACCGCCCACAGAAGCAGTCCAGTGCAATGAAAGTGAAGTTCAGATAAGAAGGTTTCCGAGCGTCCCCAAATTTCAGTGCGCTGGCCTTTGATCAAGCGCAAAGGCACTTTCAGTAATTCCTCCAAGTATTCTTCGTACATTTTTACAACCTGCAAGACAATTAGATAATTGGAACAAAATTTGGTAAATGTTTTATACCAAAAGAAAGTAGAAGCATAGTCCAGCAGCAAGGGCAAGGGCGCCGCAGGTTGCATAAGCTAAAGCAACCAGCAAAAATGCCACTGCACAAGGGAGTTTGGCAAAAGTCCCCAAAACCCACTCGGACCAGCGAAATCCTCCAAACAAAGATCTTGAAATGAATCTATATTGGTAAAAATTTATAATGAATGACAATACAAACAAATTGATCAAAAACAGACTTGACTAAAATCTTGTTGGCTGTTGTTCCCCACACAAGTACTGCAATCCAGACGGCTAATCCAAAAACGTAAGCAGCAAATGACGCAACACAATACAAAATCAGAGGTAGGAAAAACATGTCCAGCCCTTGAGCATACAGTAAAACCCAATCTGTCATTGGAAATATTTTAGCAACAGGGCCCAGTCTGAAATGAAATCAAGATTAATTTAACCTCATTTTTTGTTCGTCTCAATTATTTACCTTAGGATGTGTACAGAAATTTTGAGAATAGGCATGAGGAAGTATGGTTTTGATCCTGAGGCGATTGCAGAATGAAAGGCTATGCAAGTGTTGCCCTGAGATACACCATCAAGCTGAGCTCGCAAAGCCAGAAGTAGGACTGCAACAAGGTATGCTGGCAGCTGAGGAGCGTAGAAGCGGACAAGTTGGCCCAAAATCATTGGTTGCGAAGGTTCAATCCTAAGAAGGAAGAAGTAAGAAATGTTTAAAAAAAAAAAAAATTGGGATTTATACTTGAGATTGTAAGTACACAAAGGATCCAGTTGAAGAGTAATGTGAGCGGTTGCGTTTTTGTCTATACCATTGGGACGGAGAAGGTGCAGTTTAAGTGGAAGACGCTGGGAAACAGTCGAACTGAACAAACAAAATTTTGAAATGAGAAATGGAGAAATTTTTACTTTCCACTTACGTAACAAAAGCGTGTGAATCCTCAGTACTCCAGTCAGTGGCTAAGGTGGCAACAGCATGATGGTCTAATGCAGCACAATTTGCCTCAAACACAAAACTAGCAGCATGCCAAGCTTTCTCCAAGGAAGGCAGCTGCAACTGGTAATACAGAGCACCCACTGCTGTAGTTGCAACAATTTCTTCCGCGCTTGTCGAATAAATCGGCGGCAGAGATTCAACTTGAAGAATCCTCTCCTCCCTCGAAAATACGTCAAAGTTTAGCAAAACCTGGAATATTATCAAATTTTTATGAGAGTTGGCACACTAATATAATTAAATTAGGAATATAACAGTTCGTTTTGACTTGCGTGACTTTTTGTATTTCTTCTGGAAAAGTATACGTTGGAAATTATTGCATACTTTGAAATACAACCACACTAACCTCACTAGTGGAAGTAGGAATCTTAACGATGATGTGGCTAATACCGTGTTTCTTTAGAGAGTGCAGATTAAAAGTAACACTCTTTCGTCTTTTCATCAGCGAAGGTACAAACTGAGTAAAGTTTGACAAATTTATTCCACGTTCACTGAAATTCAGAAATGACATGATTGTAAAACAGCAAATTTTTAAAATTAATCCACTCACCACATCCGAACGTGTTTGTAAACCAAGTCAGCATTGCAGCCGTAAACCCAATCCCGTTTCTCTAATCCAATGGCTTCGATTGCGACAAATTCATGTTTCAGGTCGTTTGGCAATATCCGAACCATGATGTATACAGGTTTCTTCAGGTGCGTCTCTTTTACAGTAAACTGACGCTTTAAGTACTCTCGCCACTCTCCCTCTTTGTCGAACTCGGCTTGGAGAGGGTAGTTTGCATCAGTTACTCTCTTGCCAAAATTGCGGTGCAGTAGATGGTAGCTGAACGCTTGGTGTCTGATTTGTGCATCGTCAGTCAAGAGCTTGGTTTTGGGATCTACGGAATCGAACAGAGCTCTGGCCAAAGACAAGACAAGCTGTTTGCACCACAGGATGCACAGATGATCAGCTGAAACCCAAACAGCAGGGACAGCAGTGCTCTGCAAAGTAAATTTGTAAGATGAATTTAAATTTAAAAGCACAATCTGAATACCAAAGTTGAAACGTTTCCTTGAAGTGTTAGTCCTGAACGAACCAGCAAATCTCTGTGGCCACCACCAACAGAAATGAGGAGCCTATTTGGGTCACCAATTTCCCAAAGCGAGTTGACTTTTTGATAGTAAGAGGCTACATATGGATCCAAAATCATAACTGGGCTGGAGTGAGGCGTGGCTAGAGTTAGCACTGTGTTCACAGAGCCTGGAACAAAATCTGGCTCTAGGAACACACCCTTAGCAACCATTCCTCCCTAGGGATACAAATTTCCATAGTAAAAAAGAGCATTTTTTTTATATATAATTTGACCAACCATCGAGTGACCAAAGAGCAGGACCGACTTAGGCGGATTTCTTGATCGTCCGTATAGTGAAAGAATTTTGTTGATACAGACTGATATGAATCTGGTCTGCTCAGCAAGGACTCCTCCAAAAAGGGCAGAGTGCTCTTCGTTGAGGTCTGCTGTGAAGAAGTTGAAGTGGAATTGACTCCTGCTGTCACGAGCCTTTCGTAGAGCAACGGAAGCCAGAGAGCGTACTATTTTTTTTTTTAATTATTTAGAAAATTATTCAAATTAATTATGATGATTTCCAACCTTGCTTGTAGGATCCGCTGTTGCCAGGTACAAATAAAACAGGTATGCCATTAAACTGCATGTTGCGCAGCTTTTCAGTGTACTGTCCCTCGCCGTAAGCGTACAGTCCGTACTTCGGAAACTCCTTCGTATCATTGTCAGACAGTGCAATTTTCTGGAAAATAAAAAAGGTGAGTTTTATGATTTCGATTATTATCACAGGAGAAATGGAATTGATGAAAAACATGTGCGAAGGGCCGGCTTGAAAAACTCACCACATACTGCGGATATTCGAACATGTAAGTCATTTCACATGAATTCTCTTCATGGGCGGTCAAGTAATTATGAATTCCCAAAACGAAAAGTGCAAAAATTACGCCAGATATGGCGATAAATAAGTTGAATGCTGCCATCGCTCTCGTGTTTACTACATTATAAGATAGCAATGTCAAAGTGAAGAATTTGCAGCACACCACATTGTTGTGTTCACCGACCAGAAAGTCTCGCCCACTCGCCCCAGGGCACATTCAACTTATCTAACATAACAGCACTAAATATCTATTTATAAATTGCATTATTGAGTAGCTAAAATAAATTTAAGTATTGAATTATATTAAAAATTGATATTAAACTTATAAACATCCCTAAAACTTACTCGAAAAGATTAAATTTTAAATAACAGATTTTATAATTTTTTTTAATTTAGTTGGCAATTCGTAGTGTCAGTGAGACAATAAACAAATCGCACGCAAGTAAAAGCTAAAAACATCCGAGTTCTCAATTTTTAACATCTTTTATTAATTTTTAATTCAACTTCGCTGGCGTTTAACTTTTTCCTATGATGGACGGCGAATCTGCCCAAAGTGATGATGCACTTGGGCCTCCAAACGAGGCGGAGAGCGATAACAAGACACCGACTGAACACCGCGTCAACGAAATGCAAGAGAATGGCTCGCCGGCTGTTGCCTGCAACTGCAACCCTTCAATCACCGAAGATCTGGAGGAAGACGTTGAAAAAATCAAAGGAGACATGATTGGTACGTCGTTTTAAAATACATTTATTAAATTGTTTTAATAATCATTTCACATAGTTTGCGTAGTTGCCAAGTTGTTTTGCTTTATGAAATTTTTTCTTTCATGATAATGTGATGCTCTTTGCATTGATATCATTGATTCCTACTCTCCTCAAAAATAATTTGGAATTTTCTGATTTCAGGTGATACAGTTTATAGTGAAAGATGGGTCTTAAAATGTTTGATGAACATTACTAAGGTACAATATAAATATTGTATTAAATTTGTGTGCACAAATGTGTATTGAAAAAAATTTTAAATTTTTTTTTTGTATGTAACTAATTATGAATATATTATAAACAGAAATTTACTGAATACTGCCAAGAAGAGGAAATCAAGGAATTAGAGTCGTCATTCGAGGAAGATCTGTGCACAATTTGGGATATGGCAGCTGAAAAAGATGTTGCTCAGTTTTTAGCAAAGCATGACATTTTGAATCTTATTGAAGCTATCCTATCTGAATGCAAAAATCCACGTCTCATGGTGAATATTTTTGATACAGAATAAGATTAAATAATAAATTTGCGTTCATATTTTTTCCAGGAAATTATGTTAGGAATCCTAGGAAACTTAGTGTGCCAATCTGAGATCAGAGAAGAGGTTTCAAAGCAAGAGTCGTTAATTGAGATCTTGGCGGCAGCTCTCACCTATCCCGATGGACCAGCACTGATTCAGCTCGTAAGACTGATTAGAGCATGCCTCTGGGAACTGCGAAACTCTGAATTAAATGATGAACCCCGAGATAGCTTCTGGATAAAATCACTTGCTCAGGACGAGTGCAGTGCTAGTTTGACTTTCATCATTCAAAGCTCTGTGGAAGGTATTGAGAAAAATGATTCTGAGAATTTAGTTTTTTACCTGAAAATTTTTGTGAATCTGCAGAGGACTTAGTGGTGGCAGGAATCAAGTTGATGGAGACATTGGTGTACATTAGACTGCCTAATGGAGCTGGTTTTTTGGGCAAATATTTTGCTAGCACAGGTTTGTGATTAAAATTATAATTGGAATTGAGAACTAAGAAAATAATTGCGTTGCATAGAAGTCGTAGCTGCACTTTTAGAGGGACTTCGAGAAATCACATCGAACTCAGACAAGTCTGAGTACAATGTTCCTAGTATTAATGTGGAAGAAGCGCTTACTGCTTGGGTTTCAATTTTGCATGGTCTCACCTTTTGCACAAATGGAGAATCTGCCATAAGTGTGTTAAAAAATTTATTCAATTTTGAGATATTTACGATTGTTTATTTTAGGATCAAATGCTGAGCCTATTTTGTACTTTCTGCACCTCATTGTAAGCAATTTTCTTGAAAAAGAAAACTGGAAAGAGTATATTGACGAGCAGGCAGACTTCATCATGTGCGCCACAACAGTCTTGAATCTCCTCTTGCCCACCGACTTTCACTCCGGCTGCCTTGCCAATGCCGTTACTTTGTTAGAACGAGTTCAGAACATTGATAATCTTCGAGAAGGACTTGAAAAGCTTATGGTGGCTGTTGCTGCAGCTGAGGGCGTGCAGTCGCAAATGCTCTCAACACTCTCCGAGTGCCACGCACCAGAAGTGGAACTTTGCTTTTTGGCAATTTTCAAACAGGACCGAGCTCTGCTGACACAACTTGTGGCAGAACTTAAGTGCATCAACAGGACTGATAGACTTTGTGAAATTGCCAACAACATTTTGAACAGGTAAAATGATTTAAAACTTCAACTTTTTATTTCCGAAAAATAGTTATGTGAATTTAAATCAACGAACGGATTAAATGCTTATGAAATAACACAGCAGAAAATCATTTTTTATCTTAAACTTTATTTCTATCACAAAATAACAAGATTTAAATCTTCCAGCTATTCTAAAACACAAAATAACCCGCCGGAAACTTCAACTATTACTCTACGTACATCTACCATTGAGCTCTACTTCAATAAATAAATAAATTTTATAATTATAATTTAATAATGTTAACAAGAACTTAACAGCAGGACAGGTACTTATTCAGCTTTGATCAAACATATTGGGCCGAAGCATAATATGGATAAGCGGATGCATATTGCGCGGGGTAGGGAACGTGATAATTGTAAATTGGTTGTTGGTGCTGCGGGAAATAAAGGCGATATTGTGGCTGAGCATATGGAGCCCTTACGGCTAATGGATGATGAGGCGCACTTGAAACGAATGAAACCATCACAGCAGCTATCACAAGGGTTAAAAACAGTAGGGCGCGCTGGAAAAAAAATAGTGGATTTAGTTTGATCACAAATAAAATAATCTTTATATTTAAGCGGCCAATGAAAATTGGAACTTCAAATTTGTTTTCACCTCAAAACTCAAGTAATACTTGTTGATTAAAGAATTTTTTTTATAACTATTTTACCTTTTTTATAAAGTAAAATTCAATAAAAACTTGGTATCATTTTGAGTATTAAAAAACACAAAAACAGTGATAAATTTTAAATAATTAAAAACGGTCTCATAATACACTTACCATATTGACACGCCGGCGCTTCTTTGGGCTTGAGTCGTATCTGTAACGAGTGCTGACTGCTGTGTAGCGCAGGTTGTCTTGCTTTGGCCACTGCAAGTCGTGGTGTACCAGGCTTTATATGCAGTCAAGCAAGTGATCTAACTGTGCTCCAATAAAAATGAATCCCTCCATGGGTAGCCTGGAGGCGAGTGCGTCCGTTAATATGACCGGGCGATAACACCGCACAATTCGCCGCGCAAAAAAGTAATTGCCCCTCTTTAGTTTTGCTCCTGATGTGGTCAAAAATAGTTTGTGGGAGGCAAGCAGAGCACCGACCTCCGGTCTGTCTGTCAGTCAGCAGCCTGTTTCGCTCACTTCAGCATAATTACGGCCGATGAAAAAATATTACCGTAGATACATCATCGCTGAAGAATAAACAATAATAAAATTAGACATTAATGGACGGGCATAAAAAAATTGGCAAATTTAGAACCTTTATTATTGTTTTAACAAGCATTGAAAGAATTAGCAAAAAATCTGAAAGCGCACACCAAACGAGGTCTCGTGTTCCGATGCAACAGTAAATTTGCACTATCTATCATCTTGATCGGTGCTGGCTGCTGCGCTAATGGCATAACTGCATTATTTTTATCTATGCCTACAAGAAGAGTGGATCTATTGAATGGTCTCTATTGTGCTTGCAGCTTGGTAATTTGTCATGCTACGTTAAAATTCGGTTGCTATAAAATAGCAGTGCTACTACTAATTGGATGATTTCTTTTTGATGATTGTTTTGAGTATAGAACTGCTGTACGTTCGCCAAATTTATTTTGTATTTTCTTGAATCATGTTTGTCTTATTTATTCGAACAAACCTCCAAGTGCGCGCATTCAACTATGCATAGAAATTCATTGTATTTATAGTACGGCAAATAATTTTGATTCATACCAATTCATACTTTTTTTAAATAATTTGTAATTTCCAGTCTTCATTTCAATTTTTAAATGTTAATTAGTTTTATATTAAGTTTTTTCTAATATGGAAATAAAATAATATAAAATTTCAGTAAAAAGGCAAGAAAATTGTATGAAGGTGTTGTACTTTATTGAAAAATGGGGGAATCTGTCCGCTTATCATCCAACAAGAAATTTTGATCAAATGAACACATTGCAAAAACTTTAACGGCGCAAAAGTAATAACAAAAAACGTGAAATCAGTCAGCTGGAGTCATTTCCAAGAGCAACCTCTTAGGCCTTGACGTAAGTGGCGGCGGCATAAGGGTAGGCGGAGTAGGGGTAGGCAGCGCCGTAAGCGTAGTTGTAAGCAGCAGGGTAGGCGGCGTAGGGGTAAGCCTGGTAGGCGGCATAGGGGTAGGCACCGGCGATGTAGCTGACGGGCTTAACCTCAGCGGACTTGGCCTCAACCTTGACTTCGACGGGCTCAGCAGCCTTGACGGCCTCAGCGGGCTTGACAGCGTAGTTGTAGACGAAGGGCTGGTAGGCACCGGCGTAGTAAGGGGTGGCAGCGGCGGCAGCGTAGTAAGGGGTGGCGGCAGCGAAGTAGGGGCTGGCGACCACGGCGGCCTGGTTCTCAGCAACGGAGTAGGCGAAGTTGCCTCCAACCTGGTCCGACTTAACGACGGCAGCGTTGTAGGGGAGGAAGGCGGCGTTGGCGCAGGCAACAGCCATGAGGAGGACAGCGAACTGAAAGTTTTATTATCAAAATTAATTTACAATTTTAATTAAATAATTCAAAATAAAGGCAAAGAGGTTGTCACAAGAAATATTGAGATTGGGTGACAATTAATTCAGTATAATAGGGTTATTAAAAAAAATGAATTTGACAAAACAAAGAACATGAAAATTTAAGTAAGAGTATAAGTAAATATTTAACTTTTAAAACGTTTAATTCACACAAATTGAACTCTGAATTAAAAAAAAAGAATGAGTGAACAAGTAAAATTTGAGCTAAAAACTCAATTTTTGTTTCTCATAAAACTACTTACAGCCTTCATGATGCTAGAGATGAGGTCGGACTGGCTGCGTGAGCTAGATTCGAAGTGCAGAGCCGAGCAACGCACAGGGGTTTTATACCTCGGCCAGGGCGGTGGTCAGGCAGGGCTCCTTCACAGCCTCCACCACAATTTTCACTGTCAAGGTCGCCCGCATTTCGCAGTTCCCAAAAGCTTGGCTTCTTTGGGAACGCATCTTTTCATTGGCCGCGCCGCGAATTAAACACAGCCGAAGAAATTATTACACACACGGGATGTGTATCGAGAATCTTCTTCTCCCCTGTGTGCGCGATAATAAAAATACATGAGCGAAAGATCAAGGCCGGTTTGTTCTCAAGGTTTTCGTTTTTAACGAAAATTCGTTTGTGTCTAGCTCTGCCGTAGCATCTGCCCTAGCATCTGTTGTGCGTGTGCTTTTATTTGCATGCTGGCGACGAAGAAATATACAATAACGAGGACCGATTGCCTTAAATGGTTCACGAGTGAACTTTGCGAATTTAATTGAGCGCTGCCGATGCATTATTCCAGCACCGTCCCAATGGAGAACAAAAGGGTTTCAAGCGCAAGTCTTATTAAGAACCTGAAATAAACTTGCAGAATTGTAATTCGAGCAGAAAAGCTTGTTTATTGAAGCAAAATACAAAATAAACGATAAAAATATAAAATTAAATGTGAAAACTTTGATTTTGCCTTACAAAGGAAGCTCCCATTGAACCTAAATAGGTTATTTTTTTAAAACTTGAAAGATTGTACATTTCTTTGAATTGAAAATTTGTACATTAAAACTCTTCATTAAATTAAAAAAGGTCTATAAATGCTACTTATTCACTTTTATATTATTAAATTATTCTTAATTACTGATGTGATGTACTCAATATAAGTATTAAATTTAAAAAAATTAAAAATTTGTTAAATCTTCAAGATTCAAGAGTGTTTTTGCAATATAAATTAAAAATGTAAATTATTGTATGAAATAGTATAAATTAACCAAAACAACAGCAAAAAGGGTTAAAATATCATACAAAAAGAAACTATTAAAATTAATTTATGATTGTAAGTAATAATTTTTTTTAAATTAACATTTATCTTATTTTATAGGATGTTATAAATTAAATAGTTCTAATTCATAACCTGTGCAAAAATTACAAATTTTACACATACCATAGAAAATTTATTCCAAGTAGTCAAGATAAATAAATTACTCGCATCATGAAGACCCTCTTATGCATTTAAATCCCATTTTTGCAACTCTTTTGGGCTTTTTAAATTTATTTGCTCCGCAGGCACATGCCAAAGTTAAAAAATACTGCGCTATTTTTATCATGAGATATAAAAATCTAGTGTGGGATTAATCGTGCGTGTGTGAGCTATAGTGTGCTGAAGGGCCGGCCGGCGGTTTTTGCTCTCTGGCAGAAAATGATTCGCTCTCACACGCGGCTACTACATGGGGTCGAAGACATTTTGGCCGTTGGTTCGCGCATCACTCTCACTCCAAGGTCTTCAACTTGCACCAATTTGATTGCCCATTTTCGCTGTGGGCTTGGTCACCACACCCTTTGCCAGCTGCTTCACTTTTCAGAGAGACGCGCCTCCTTGTTACTAGGCAGAAAGTTCGCGAATACGACGCAAAAGAAACCAAAAGATGATGCTCGAAAAAAGAGAAGAGGCTATAAAATTAAAACGGTATTATTTAGTTGCAAATTTATTTCAATAATTAATGAAAACAAAACGATTAATGAAACAAACTTCAAGCGTTGAAATCACCTCCTTGCTAAACGCAATAAGAAAAAGATATTTCAAGAAATGAAATATGATTTTAATTCAAATTAATATCGTGGGATAAAGTAATAAGGGCATTGAAGACACAAAATCTAAATTCTCTAAAAAAAAGAGCCATCAAAAAATAATTCTTCATTACATTGAGACTCACCTAGAGTAAAAAAGTTTTTAAAAAATGTTTTAACCCATCACTATACATGGAGGCTATTTTCTGAAAACGTGTCACCGTTTTCTTTTCACAATCAGTTAAATGGAAAAAAATACTAAAAATAAATTATTTGGTCTATTTAGTTTCAAATTATTTACTAATAAATGTCTTACCTTCTATAAAATGTTTTGCAATTAGTAGCCATAAATTTTTGCCTTTTCAAAACGGCAGCAATTAGCGAGTTAAAAACTGGTTGGAGCGTCTGGCAAAAACAAATCATAAAAAAATTATAGTTCTTTTTCCTCGTAATAACTTAAATATATGAGTAGAGTGTATATTTCAATATAACTTGCTTATCTCTCTCTGCATACATTTTTATCTTTTGCTTAATTGGAATAATGTGGGAAAAAATATTTGTATTTTCCAATTATGAAGCATCTAAAATCGAATACATCTATTTTCATTTAAACTTGGCTATGATTTTTAGTTAAATATAATTTGAGCTTGACCAAGAGCAGGGCCTTTGTTCGCTGTTCTCCAACATGAACATGCCGAGAGCCCCTCTACCTGCTTGGTCTCTGCTTAGACCTGACACCTGCAGGTATTGCGTAAAATTTCAACGGAGGCAAAATTCTCAACCTGATTCAAGAGAGGGAGCCGCGGTTGAATTCAAACGCAGAAATAACTCACGGATACATAATTTATTTTTTTTAATAAAAAGCAAGAGATTAAATTCACCGCCGTAAAAAGTGATGTTTGTGTTTTACGATTGGTCACGTGGAAAATCATCGCATTTTATGTGCAATTACGGAAAATGCCAGAATTAATTGAAAAAGCACAACTTCTGACTTCAAAGAAAAGCGATGCCGGTGTCTCAGGTGCTCCACGTGGAGTTTAAAATACAGCTCAAGAAGTGCATAATAGCTCAAGATCAGCGGGGCCATTATTTATAATTGAAAAATAAATTAACTTTAAATTTCACTTCCACATATTACAACTTTGCTACGAATTCCATCCTCCTACAGCTGGGTGTGTTGGACCGCAATCATCCTCTCTTTTTTACTCTTGATACATCCCAACAAAGGCGGATGAAATCATCAGAGTGTGTCCAAGAGATTATTTTGTTTTCTATAATTGGATTCTCCGCTTCAATGACCGTTACGATGCATGTTCTTTTTGTTTGTCAGCAGAAAGTAAATTGAATGCATAAATCCTGCGGTCAAGACCTTTCAGAGCCTTAATTCAGAAAATTTAAAAAAGAAGAAAACTCGCGGATATTGCTAATTTACGAGTGACACTGGAAAGAATCGTTGGATTGCACAAAAGTGATTTTCTGCTTTGAAATTGGATGCTGGCTGTATTTACCAACATGCAAGCAAATTTCCACAAGAAAAACAAGTTTTCTCCTCTTTTTTCGTTTTTGTTGGCCGCGAGCGAAATTACGGACTGGCAAGAAGTGCTAAAATTAAGTGGTCCCTCCTCGCACCGCAGGAAGATGAGTTGTCCCTTCTGGCAATATGCAACCCGCCTGTCAGTCTCTCCTCTACCGCGTGTTAGTGGAAGGAAGCTAATGATCGGAATCAAGGTGGACGAGGCATTGTAGAATTTTACGACGAAGGCTGCAATATAGATATTTTCCACCGCGTCAAATGCACATCTTCGCGGACGCTCTTCATGCGATATTACGGGCAATTACACTTCTTACAGAGCAGTAGCGTGTTACATATTTGCATCGTGAGCAATGCACATCAAGCCTAGTTATCCGTGAACACCTGCTATAGAAATAGAAAACCAGCAGCAGCGATATTGCAGTCGTTAGAATTAAGTGCGCACCTTTCGCGACTCATTGAGTGCGCGATAATTATTACTTTAATTGACAAAATACAGTAAATTAAGACAGTTTAATCGCGAATCTATTCAAGTGCGAAGTTTTATTAAATGGGTAGAAAACGGAGAACACATGATTTGTGGCCTAAAGTGCAAATAATCGTGTCAAGGGAGTTATGTGAAATACTGTAAATTGAATAATAAATTGTCTGTTTCTAACATGGTCATTTACCCAGATTACAGTTATTTGTTGATTTTTAAATAAATAAATTTTTTATTTAATTGATTTGTCAACTAAAAAATATTTATTATTGCGAAAGTGTCTCAAATTATTTATATCACTTAATTTAAATTTTAAGAAAGAAAAATTATAATGACTTTATTTTAAGTATATTTCGCAATTAAAAAATTTAATCACATTATTTTAAGCGGCATAAAATATAAATATTATGTTTAAAAATTTGGTTTGTGAATGAATTCATTCAAATTTGGTTCAAAACAATATTTATTAAAAAAAAAATCAGAATTCATCAATTATTATTAATTATAACATTTGGATAATTCACGAATGAAGGAGAATTGACCGTTTTTAAATATTAAGCTCCTTTAAAAGTGATGAAAAAGGTAGCATTAAAATTAAAAATTAAATACATCATTGTTCATATCGTAAATATAATAACTTGAAATAAATTTTCCGAGATGATAATGCAGAATATGAAATGTAAAATGATTTACAAGTGAAATTTGTTCACTTAATTTGAATCTGCGAGCATATTTCCTGCAAGATACATGTTGCAAGACCGTTTTTCCCTCGTTTTAATATCACTTCAATTCACCGCTGTCGATCGCGACTCATTTTTACATTCATTTTTCAAGCTACTGCGATTACAAGTCATGCTCTTGCCAATTTTGGTTTTACTGCCCCGACGCTGTGCAATCTCCGGGATAAAATATTGTCCAAACACCGACTCTTATACGACCGCTAATGACTAAATTTTGAAGCAACATGAAAAACCTGACTCGTAAGGATGCACTCAACGTCAGATTGTAAGTATCACACGGGCACATAAAATCTTAAACATCTCGATGCCAATCTCGCTTATAATTACACGGCTCCTTTGAATCTCTCCAGCCATAAATCAGCTCTGCGAAATTCAATCAAAGTGGAAACAAAAAAGCAATCTGTCTTGCTGAAAACGAGACGAAGAATCGAGGCGAGCATTGATTTGCATGTACCCGTTGACAGTAATTGCGCGCACTTGCACAACCGCGTGAACCGCGCCTGTCTCAATGAGAGGCTCATTAGTCGTTTTTCTCGGCCGTAAAGAAAGGGTTAGTTGGCTCGATCACGCCACGATGATATTTAATTCAAATAAAAGAGAGCCGGGTGGG